CCAGGAGCCGTAAATTGAAGCTGAAGCCGTTGCCTCGTAACTCCCATGTTTGCACAGTATAGAGGGACTAGCCATCATGTGTCCTTATGGCCTCTTTACATTGAAACTACATGCACCCTTCAAGTTGTGAAAGTTAAGTTAAAGAAAAGTTTGTGTAACTTTTGTTAGGGAGATGTTTTTGCTTTGCCTGGAAAGTTCCACAGTATGACTTTAACACACATTCATACTGTACACTGAAGCCTTAATAATGCATGAACCAAAGACTTCAATCATAATAACTATATTAAGAATGATTCAGGTTTAGTGACTATATTATTATGAAGGAGCTAGGAGTTAGGTTATTACTACTAAACTATTTCTTCATTATAAATTAAGTCTGTGTTCATGCTTTATCAAGGTTATTAAAAGTTATTTGTTTGTTTTTTTACCCTTGAACTCTGCTTGCATTTATTCAATTACAAAATAACATTGAAAACATGCATTATTGTGGGCAGGCTCGCCTCTAAGCAGATGTGACCTGTAACTTAGGCTCATGATGTCACCTGCTTGCAGTGATTTTAATCCCATGGAGAATTCTAGAGAAATCACATCGCCATGGAAACCAACAGGTGACAGACCCCTCAACAGAAAAGTTACACAGAGCAGCTTTAAGTCTGTGTGATACATTTAAAAAAGCCTTAAACAGATGTTGCTGTTTTGTATCAGTCTCAGAGGGGGGTGCAGAGGGACCTGGCTCGTGTCAGTGTAGCGAGGAGCTCTGAGTGAAGCATGGCAGCCATGAATCAAAGAGAAGACAGAGCCTCACAGTCTGAATCAATCACACTGCTCCTGATGCCCGTCCATATTCTGCCCTGTATTCAGCCTGCCACCAGGAAAGCACTCATTACTCCACGCTCTCAAGGCCAGACCCCTGTTAATGCCTTTTCTCTCCTCCTTTCTCCCCTCTTTTTTTTCCATTTTCATCCTCTGTTTCACTCTCCTCACCCTGCTGTCTTTTCAGCTGACTTCGGCCTTTGCCAATTTTATTTGCCTTTCGATCCAGATCAATCTCCATCTTATCGCACAGAGGAGGAATTATAAAGATTTCATGGGATCAGGTTTGACACTGATGGACAGACCGGAGGGAGAGATAAATGAGGAGGGGTGAGGAGGAGAGCAGGGGGTGGACTAGTTTGGACATAGGGTTGTTGTTGCTTTAAAATAGACTATAAGTAAATCGAAGTAACAAGCAGGTATCAATGCTTGCAAGGGGTTCTTTTTGTGTTTTTTTATATATTTTTTTGCAAACACATTTCACAAAATGCTAACACAAAGAAAATGATTGTGAATAAACAAAAAAAAAAAATCAGCTAAAGCATTATGGGGGACATACATAGCCCTACATGCTTTACCACTTGTTACAAACCTACATACTCTATAGAATATCATTGTCAATACGGTGTCATTCTATCTATGTCAATACGATGAGCAACAAAAGTGTGATTTTTGTTAATGCCAAAGTTCATGTTGTTTAGACTGGTGGACTATGAGGGACACCATGTAGTCTCTGAAATACCAGATATACCAAAAATTCACGTATTGTGTAGAAATCTATCGGATATCTGCACCAATATTGAAGAAGTAGCTTGATCGGATATTGGCTTCCATATATCGGTTCTTCTGATATATCCTGGTGTGGTCACATAGTGTGTCTTTTACTCATACAAAATCGATGTGTAGTTACTTGTGAAATAAATAACAGTGACATAACATCACTTTTGCTATATTTTACTTTTTTTTAAAGGAAACAGATGCATGGGTATGGGTATTGGAACTGAAAAAGCTTGTAGTCCCAAGTATTGTGTAAAAATCTTTTGCCTTTTATCAGCCCGTTTAAAACTGTTATCAAAATACATGTGGATTTCTGAATATGGTTGTCTCTGAAGTGTCACCAGAATCAAACATCTCCCCATAAAAGTGCTCAGTGTTAGCAGACTACATTGTGGTAGTTGTGGGTGGCGTGCTGCTGGTGTTTGGGGCTTCTCACTTGGCTGAACCCGGACTCATTGTGCACAGCTGTCTCTGTGTCTGGGCCAGTGAGCGACACGGCACAGAGGGGCGTGTGTGTGAGTGTGCCTGCGTGCTCACTCCAATCTGAAGTGTGCTCTGTCATGTTTTATTCATAACACCAGCATTCATCGCAGTCAGATACCTTCAACAGTTTGGAGACGTGGTGTGCTTAACGGCTTAATGTAGTTGCTGCAATTTGGCTCTCCTGTGGCTGATTAACACTAGCGCCCAGACCCTCAATATGTTCTACCTCGCCAAGGATTAGCAACATGGCTTCCAGGCTCTGTATTAGCACGAGTTTACCTGACATTTTGTGATTTAAGGTCCAGCGCAACACAAACTCACATTCAATTAAGTAACAGCTTATTTTGTTGCAATTAGACCCAAAACATATGCAGTGACCTTAATTAAAAAGTGTTTAAACAACACTCCCCCAAAGGAATATTGGCATTTGAAAATATCTTAAAGTGTATGTTTTGTCCTATTTGGAAGATATGAATTAATGAGTTATTAGATGAGTATATATGAAATTTTAAATCACAATAAGCAAATGTCAAATTCAGCTTAAAGAAGGCCATTAAAGATTTTGTGTAAAAGTTTGATAATTGCTAGATAAACACTTGGATCTGAACCACCTTAAATGCTAGCTTCTTTCCTCTTTCTTTAGGTCAAACTTTAGTGAGAGCAGAGCCAACAGTGGAGCAGTTAGAAGTGCCACCTCAGCACCTGTGCTTTAATGATTAATACCATATTGATGGTCTCAATTAATTTCCTATTACACCAGCAGGAGGCAGCGCCCGCTCTGTCTCTGTCACGGCCCCGCGCTTGTTTTGGGAAGCCTCTCTATGGCAGCTGCAGAATGAAGATAGTCTGCTTTTCTCCTCTTTTCACACATATGTAGCCAGCACAAGATTACACACAGGAACATGTGCATATACAGTTACAATTGGGATATGTATTGTAAGGTGAGGAGGCAACAATATTGTAATGCTAATGGTAATGTGCCCTAATGTGGACTCACAGTTACACACTAACATGCACACACACAATTACACAGATGTAACAGTAATAAATAAATAAATAATACATTCATTATAAATTAACAGTAAACTGCTAACTGAATCTGCTGGGCTGAAAGTGCATGGGTTAATTGTTATCTAATATTAAGGGCATGTTAACAAGTAATTTTGTTATTCTGCATAACCAAAAAAAAATGTTAGTCACCTTTTAACACATTTTTATATACACAGTTACACACAGGTAACATGCAGACACACATACATAACAGGCACACACAATAACACACTGTAATATGGCACACACACACAATCACACTCAAAATCCACACACAGAATTGCACACAGTAACATGCACACACACAATCACACATACGTAACATGCACACACACAATCACACGCAAAATCCACACACAGAATTACACACAGTAATATGCACACACATAATCACACATATATAACATGCACACATAGAATTACACAAAGTAACATGCGCACACACAATTACACACAGTATCATGCACACACACAATCACACACACATCACACACACACACACAGTATCATGCACACACACAATCACACACACACAACACACATGCACACACACATTACACACAGTATCATGCACACACACAATCACACACAGTATCATGCACACACACAATCACACACAGTATCATGCACACACACAATCACACAGTATCATGCACACACAATCACACACAGTATCATGCACACACACAATCACACACAGTAACATGCACACACACAATCACACAGTATCATGCACACACACAATCACACACAGTAACATGCACACACACAATCACACACAGTAACATGCACACACACAATCACACACAGTAACATGCACACACACACAATTACACACAGTAACATGCACACACAATCACACACAGTATCATGCACACACACACAATCACACACAGTAACATGCACACACACACAATCACACACAGTACATGCACACACACAATCACACACAGTAACATGCACACACACAATCACACAGTATCATGCACACACACAATCACACAGTATCATGCACACACACAATCACACACAGTAACATGCACACACACAATCACACACAGTAACATGCACACACACAATCACACACAGTAACATGCACACACACAATCACACACAGTAACATGCACACACACAATCACACAGTAACATGCACACACACAATTACACACAGTAATATCTTAGGGAAACACACAACACTATTACACGCGGCTTTGCTCTTCCTATTTCACCCACTTGCCCACAGACAAACTGCTTCTGCGTCTATATAAATCACTTTAAAAGGGATGACTGGTGTTTTACTGTGAAACTCATCAAATCTCTCTGCGTTTAGGCTCTGAGCTCATTGTGTGGTGTCAGTGTAGCATGTTTACATTTAAGCTTCTTCTAATATGTACTATTTTTATATAGTGGGTTTACTCTCTGTGCTGATGTAACATTAGGAGCAGAGTTAGTTATGGGGATCCCTCTGAATGCTGTGACTGTCAGTTCTGACCTTAATTGTGTGAAGCCAGAGCTCAGGCTGCAGACAACAGTGCCCCTGGTGAGTGCCTGGGGAAGTGCGTCTCATCAGATTGGCAGACTGGTGATGGTGCTTTTCTCTTCATTACCTTTTCATATCCCATTCAGCTCTTGTTATCTGGGACCACTCTGCACTTCACCTATAAACCGCTCTGTTTATCTTTAACTCATCCTTTCATTCTGTGGCGCTTATACAGCCATTCACACACACACTGTCTTTATTTTCCATTTTTCATGCAGACCCAGTGCACACCATCGGTTGCTAGGAAACCATTTGAGCGTTTTCTCTTTTTTCCCAGGGGCAGACGTTTGATTATCCATTTGTATGGTGTGTATTTGTCTGTTTGTGCGTCTCACAGGAAGGTCTTGCCAAGCTGAGCTCTGGGGCTGCTCCAGTATCAGACCAGTGATAATAATGAGCACCTTTAATACGGAGGGCCTCTGCTGTTCTCGCTGTATGCTCCATAGGCCTATAGTTAAAGTGCATATGGCAGGTTTTCATGTTTTTGTAATTACTTCTTGGTTTTGTGGTAAATATTGATCAGTTAAGTGGCAATGTGTGGAAAAAGTTGAGAAGAAAATAACAAAAATACAGAAAGTAGTGGTGAGTTCTAAAATGGAAAACCTGTGCCTATGTCATCAATACTGAAAATCCACCCAAAATGCAATGAGACAATTAAGCACAAGGAAGACATTGTTTTCTGCCAGTATAAACCTTGGAAAATAAAGCTGTCTTTCTTTATTTTCATTAGCTTAAACATAAATACTGTGCAATTTAGACACGTTTTGGCCCTCATTAACAGTACAGTTGCTAGGTAACTGTTATGGAATTACCTCTTCATATGTCACAACTGTCACCCATGTCCAACCAAGAGGCAAGGTTTTTGTACATTTTAATTATAATAATGTTATAGTGAAATGAGTAGCCTAACCTGTCATATGCACTTAAAGAGCCAGCTGAATAAGACTCTTCTCCCACATGCTCAGACACTGCTGCTGTTAAAGCAAACAAATTGTGTTATCTATTGTTGTCCCATGAGCTGGGGCCCTGGCAGATAGCGGCCAGGCTGGACACACTTGAGTCCTCCCAGTGACTGTGTAGAGATTCAATGGGCCGGCCCTCTCCTGACTGCTCCTGTGAAGCCCTGATTGGCTCACAGACACGGGCAGCGCACATAAATAGTGCGCGATGTCGACTGGCACCAGGAGAAAGGCCTGTGCAGAAACAGTGAGTGAGCACTGATATGAAACAGACCAAGCTGAAAAGAGGCAGTGCAGAGATGCTATTAGCTGTTTAGGCCCAAATGAAGTGCACTTTGCCCTGGTGGAACACATGAGAATGAGAGAGGGAGTGGAGAAGGCTCAGACAGTTTAGAGGTGATTGAGAGACACAAACAGAATGACACCAGAATGAAGTCTTGTCTCTCTTTGTCCCTCTGCCCTCTGTCACCTGCACAGTGCTGTGTATGAGTGTGAGTGCTATAGGCAGAGCCAGGGCCATTATAGTGGCCACATGAGCTGGTGATAGCAGTGTGTCAGCTGCCCCTGGCACCGCGGCCTCTCACATGGGCAGAGCTAATGGAGAGTGTAGTCGTCTGGAAGGGCCTCAGGAGGAAAGTGCCGGCTGTAAACTGTGAGCTGAGCTGAAGGGGCTGCTGACTTATGCGTGCCGCCCGCCTGGCATCACAATATGCCCACATATATTCTATACACCCATATCCTGCCTCAGTGCTGCCCTTTTGCACTCTCATTGTAATGCATTCAGACACTTGGCATGGCTCACACTCAACACCTTTATGTTGTGCAGCACAAATACAATATTTCAGAGCAGGAGGAACTCCACAGAAAGAGAGCACTCTCCTGCACAAGTGTTCCTCGACAGAGGAAGTCAAATACACATCTGCACAAGCACGTACACAAACAAGTCCATCCTTACACTCTCACATTCTTCTAACCCAGTGCTGAGCAGTTCTGCCCCTCTAAGCTGAGTTATTTAAAGCCCTGCTCTCAACTCCATCGGAGTGATTATGTGCTCCTGAATTAAACATCACAGGCTTCAGCCCCTGGCTTCCTCTGAAACACTCAAACAGGCCGGCCTCTTCCTGTTCCTCAAAAGTTCCAAGTGGAGCCTTTCATATCATCCCGACCCGAGCATGCACAAGGTAGTTAGGGAAAGACAGTGAGGTATAGAGGTGGCTCCCCCACTGAGCTACTTCTCTGTAGCTCTAAGTCCTTGGACAGAGGGAAACAGTCCTGTTCTGTGAGAGTCCTTCAGAAAGATTCTCACCCTGGGCCTGACTCGTGCCTGGCACCAGAACAGTGTTAGAGCAGACAGCAGAGTAAAGCAGACACTAGTGCAGCAGAGGCTGAACTGAGACTCTAAACAGCCCTATCACAGCGTCTCTTCTCTAAGCAGCCTATCAGAGCGTGTCTTCTCTAAACAGGCTTGCACCCCGCAGTCTGAGGGGGTGTCAGACGGTGAGTCACACAGGTGCTCCGGGCGGGTGCTTTCAGGGTGAGGTACAGTTGTGTTTACTTGAGCGTGCGTCTTCTTTACTCTGCACGTGGTCTGTGAGAGCGCACGAGGCAACTCTATCCTCCCCCTCTCTCCAAAAACAGCCATGGGCTCTGAGCGATAAAGCTCCAAACAAAAGAAGTCTTGTGGCTTGTGAGGTGAACTTGGAGCACCATGGAGGCAGTTGACCTTGAAATGAGCAGCAGTGTTTGGGGACAGGCGGAGGAGGGCCGTGTTTAAAAGTGCAACCTCAGAGCCAGAGGCCAGGAGGCTGCTTAATGACTGGCACTTAATGCCATCCATCACTGTGCCAGTGCCAGGGCAGTTCCTCAGGTCCATAGAGCAGGGCCCTGTACCTGTACCACACAGGATAACATACATACATGATTGTATGTAGTGGCTGCACACACAGAGAATGCAGTGAAATAGCAGATGCACTCACACACTCACAGCTCATTGCTCCTCCTGTGTGCATACTGATGTGCACACACAGCCGACATACAGATATGTGCCTCTAGACACTCATTCACATGCTATTTATAATTGACTGTAGGCAGATGCACAGAGAGGAGCACAGACCAAAATACTATCACATACACCTACTCTCCATTTACGCCTTGATGTTGAATATTTGTGACAAAACAATTGACTGCGTCGGCTTTCTTGATATTATGCATTGAAGTGGATCTCTCTGTAGCCTGCTCTGCTCTCCCTAAAGAACATTCTCATCTGCTTCCATATTTGCTCTCCCTGCTCCGGCACAGATGTGGGGCTACGCTCCACACCCGAGCTCTCTGCCTCAGTAAAACAGGCTTTGAAGCTCTCTGCTCTGTTTGGGTAATTTTATCAGAAAAGAACAAGGTTTGCTGCTGCTCTCCTCGCCTCATCCACATTCCATGAAGCATCCCCTCTCAATTAAGATCCTTTCATGTTAATGGTGTTCTTATCAGGCCTGTGCACAGCGTGTGAAAGCGAGGCCTAACACTACAGTGCAGGCACAGAGCACGACTGCACGGCTCACAATATAGAACGTGTCTCTTCATTGCTCTTGTCTTGTCTTGTTCTCTCTCTTAATGAGCTTTGCACTGGGCTGTCGGACCACTGGCCACATGGAGTCATTCCTAAAGCCTGGCACATTCAAGGGATAAGGTCGTGGGGACTTAATGAGAGACTGGACATACAGTAGTCCTTGTCCACTCACAGCTCTCACCACCAGTCGGGTTTTGTAAGTTTGGTTAGCTCTAACTAGCCACACACGTCCACAGCGCTAGAGAAGGTCAGGGTGCCTATCTGTGTCTGGGGCTCCATTAGTGATTCTTTCTCCTTCTCTGCTCGTCTTCACAGTGGAACAGTGTTTGACTCCAGGACGAGGTAGGCAGTCAAGAAGCTCTGGCTCTGTGCGTGGGAGCCTCAGAAACCTGTTGCCTGGCTACGACAGCACCTTTATCCTCTCAGTTGCGATGGCGATGACTTGCCCATCACTTGTGTGTTTGGTGAAGGCGGGTCTGTTTTTGTTTATATGCTCATAAATGGCTTTTGTGCGCTGTGGATGTATTTGTGCGTATGAAAAAGTGTTGGGAAGGAGCCCCACCACCTACTCAGCAGGCCTTCCACCCCCATGGCTGACTCCTCAAGACTCTGCCAGTAATTAGCTGCACGTCTATCCATCTGTTCCAGGGAGGTGCAGTAAACATTAACACAACACCGCAATGAGAAAACACTGGCTGGGGAGACGCTATATTTTACACTTTCAAGCTACCATTATGCTTTAAGAGGCGTTAGCTTGTAAATCATTAGCATACCTGCTTACAAATCTGGTCATTATGCTAATACGCTTGGAGTTAATGTACATTCACTCTCAGATACAAAAGTGCATCTATCGGTTCATGGCACAGTGCTTTATTTTCTAATACAGATTCTGGAGCATTGCCTTCAGAGCCGCACGGGAAACACGTGAAACGCAAGCACAAGACTCCATCACACAATTAATCAATAAGTTAATGAGATCTCATTTTCTCCTCAAAAGAGTATCCAGGCAAAAGTTCCAGCTCAGCTTTTCCACCTCTCAACCACAAGCAACTTCATATGATATTACTCCATGAAAAAATCCGCCGCAGGAAATTAAATTAAAGGAGCATCTTGACAGATTTATTTGACACTTTACATTTTCATTGTGTTGTTTTCCTCTCAGAGCTAAGGTGGGCCTGGGTTTGAGAAGGCTGTTAAATCTGTAGTAAAGTTGGAGAAGAGGTAGAAGGCAGTTGGGTAAGAAAGTTGTTTCATATTCTTTAGGAGGCTTTCATACCATATACAGATTGGGTACACTATAGCACAGAGTTGAGGGAAATAGGCAATTACTCTTTGTATGTCCATGTGGGACATGAGCGCTTTAAGTGTGACTTCCCCTAAACATTGGAGGTTACTTCTGTTCAATAGTTTCCATTAGAGGGCGTATGCAATCACCAGACTCTTTAATTAAGTTGAAAAAGAGGAAATGTTCAGCTATATGCACTCTGGTGGACCAAATATATGGACTATTCACAGGGCAACAAGCCTCGGTGTTATTGTGAGTCCAGAATCTGATGATTTACCAAATGTCTCCCCTTGCCCTTCCCTCTCTTTCTCTCTCTCTCTCTCTCTCTCTCTCTCTCTGGCTTTGTTTCCCTTTCCTCCCCTCTCTCTCTCTTTCTCTCCCTCTCCCTTTCTCTCTCTCTTTCTGTCCCTCTGTTTCTCTTTCTCTCTCTCTGTCCCTCTCTGTCCCACGCTCTCTCTTTCTTCTCTATCTATCAGTCTATCCTTTCTTCCCTTCCAAGCCTAAAAGGTCACCAAAATAAATCGTAAAAAGTATTAAAAACACAGGCTCTAAGTGCTGTCCTGCTCCTCTTAGCTTTTTTTTTTTTAAGGTAATTTGTAAGTAGTTTGCCTGTATTCTATTTTGATATGAAGGGAAAGGCTCAATACCCATATCATAATGAAAAATAATAATAATTCTCATTCAATTTTCAACACAAAATATGAATGTTTCTTCCTTTTTATAGTTCCCTTTGGTCTATAAGATGAAAACTATTCAGAAAAGGTCAGATTTATTGTTACTATTCATGTCATCTAGTTTGAAAAGTACATGTAGTATTGATTATTATCTGGGCTTCTATACACTTGTTGTTTACATATAACTGTGTACAGAGTTCTGCTAACCCTTTTGTGTTGTTGCTTCTGTACGTCCTTGGCCTGTCTTTTCCTCTGTTGACTCAAACTTGTGAGTATTGTGCGTAGCCTCTGCACACACGCTGATGTACCCTAATAATGAAATGAACCAGTCTACATTTGGCACTCTCACTCCATGTAAAGAGTCAGGGCCTGTGCTGGGTGTTGACACAGCTGCTGGTGCCATCTGCGGGGCATCGTAAACCTCTCCGTGCTTCCTCCATCCAAACATACACACCAATCACAATGAACTCCCAATACACAACGCTCTGTTTTTAGGTCATGTTCAACTTCTAGAATTCCATTATGCTAAAATCTCAGAAAGGGCAATGAATATTTTTTTAAAGAAATCTCCAACCACAGAAACCACAAATGTTGAAGTTAATATTTTATTGTTCCACAAACTTTCCACATTCCTTTTGCCTTTCAGTCCTGTCAACAATCATGACATTGCGAGTCTAGTTTAATGCTTTTGTGAAATAATTATTTTGTTCGTTTGAGCTGATAGAGAAGATGTAGAACTTTGTGCCAGTTTTTGTTTCATGTGGCTACGTAAAGTAATTACAAAGATACGAAACAGAAACAAGGATTAATGGTATCATTTTACATTAAATTTTAAATCTTTACTTGCAATTCCTCGCCTCTCGTGCTCTGCCTCTGTTTCTGTGCAGGGGTGTGTCTGTGGCCTCACATTTACTACAGAAATATGGACTATAAGTTTAAACTAGATGGTGTCAAAATTCACTGCACAGTTTAGGCTTTTTTACAACTAAAGAAATCATTAACAAACACATTAACTGCAGTCCTGATGTGGAGATTCTGTCCACAAATTATTTGTAGGAAGACTTTATAAACAACCGACTTACTGTTTGGAATTTAGCTCCGTTGGTTAAATTGCCCATTTTTAGTGTGGACAATTGGAATTCAAGACTCTTTTCAGTTTTGCAGTTTTTTTTTTTTCCTTCATTCTTCCCCTTTTCATGTATAAACCAAATAAATGATTAAAGCATAATACTTTTATTAGTAAAGGTGATTCTTATGTGTTATGTGTTCTTATGTTTTATTCACATGTTTGAGTAATCTTTTATTATTAGTAATGTAGCTGTAGTGCTAACTTTTACCTTTAGTTCAGAAAAATTATCAAGTCCAGGCCTGAAATTACCCAAATCATTCTAGTGAAGGTGTAGAATGTAAAACACAGTGGAGCACTGCACTGTCATTCCTAAATATGCAGTGTTTAAACATGTGTGCATGAAACAAAACACAACTCTTGGTATGTTTTTATGTTTTTGATGAAGAAATATTATTACAGCATAGATTAGAAAACAGCGTAGTATGGGCCCTTTAAGAGTAAACAAACCAGAGATTATAGCATTGTGATTGTGAAGTTGCTTATGACGATGTTTGGGCCACACCCCTGTCTGGTATAAGCAGCGGGCTTGTCCATGGCGAGGAGGATGTGCATATGTGTATGTGTGTGTGTACGTATGTGTGTGTGTGTATTTGTGTGTGTAGTAGCAGATTAATGGCACGCACTGAGAGGGAGCACGGACCTACAGTAGCAGCGGCGTGATTTATTCCCCACTTAGCCCTGATGAAGCCTCAAACCGCACTCTCACACGCATGTTGTCACTGCATTTTTCACTATCAAGGTCTTTGTTGGTTTGTCGATTCCCATGTCTTGTTTAGCCACGTGCCCGCTCTCTATGTGTTAGCCCGGCCTTCCAGCTCCCAGCATGCATTTGTTTTGTATTCAGCGTGAGGTCATTTGCCTATTACATTTGCTCCGGCATAATGGCAAGTAGATGCTTCGAACAAATTGAATGCAATAAGACCTACAACAAACACAACGCTTATTTGAATGTGGCGGCGCTTTTCATAAAAAGCTCTTGCAAAATATTCTTTCTAAATTGTAGCTATTATTCAAATGTTGTCAATTGAGTGGATTTGCAGAGGTAACCCAGTAACAGTATACAGATGGAAAATGTTGGGTTTTCACTCTGTAAATAGTGGCACAGTTAATTGAGGGCATCAACTCGCCATGTGGGAGGACTTGACAAAATGCCATAAGTGTGTTACATGAGGACACAACGTAATTACGGGCTAGCGCATAAAAATGAATGGATGCACTGTAAAACACACACCAAAAAATGCTAGTTGTCATGGTAAACTTTTGGTAAATATTTAATGAAATCTGTTTTCCTTTTTATTACTATAGTTACAGGAGCCTTGATGATAAGAGATATGATATTACAGTATATTTGTATGACTATATTTCAGTTTTATTTTTACTTGTACCTGTACATTTACATAATTATGCCTTATTTGAATTTATTATCGCCATTTATTTTTGCTCTTTGTTATTATAATATATTGTCATGTCTGAGCTACTGTGTCTAAATAATTTCCCTTGTGGATAAAGTCTAAATCTAATAAGAGGGGTAGCTTTATAACTAGAAGGTTCAATCCCTGCTTTGGCCAATGTAATCTATCATACACTGCAAAACACAAACAGATAAGAGCTAGTTACTGTTGCCATGGTAAACTTTTGTGTAAATATTTAATGAAATTTGTCTTTTTTTATCGTTATACATACAAGAGCAATATTAGCGTTGATGATAAGAGGAGTAGCCTTATAATTGGAATGTTTGATCTCTGCTTCTATCTGTTTACTATTCTGTCCTTGAGCCAGACACCTAACCCACTTTGCCTTTGTATGAATATTGCACGTGAATTGAAGTGAACTGAAGGGATGGCATTTTCTGTCTCGTGTCCAATTTTTTTAGAGAATGTCCCACTTTTTCACTGATTCCATGTGAATTGTATAAAAAAATTGATTTACATAGAAAACATGTTTATTTTTATTATTTATTTTATTTTTTTGTACTGCTTTTCAGGGTTGTAATATGTTCTCAGCTATTGCAATTCCAACCTTTCTCCGAGCCTTACTATTGATAAAAACTGAAAATCAAAGTTCATCCCGCCATGTCACACCGTTCAACACTGTTCCTACAATTTGAGGTGATCACCCTATTCATGGGTTTCATCTTCCAGTTACATTTTGAAGATTTTTTCCCATTCAGAGGATATAATATTTGCTTCTAAATTATGAATCGCTATGGCAACAGTACTAATTTTTCAGCAATTTGAAATCCGTACATTGGTGATGGTTGAATATGCTTTTGGCTCAGATTGGTAGTATTGATGTTAAGACCCAGGGCAGTTGCGAATAGGGGGTTATCACCAAGTCTGAAGAGTGATTCAATAATGTAAAGTGAGTGACAAAAAGGACTATAAAACCCAGTGTTATTTCATTACTGCTGTGGCTACTGCTGTATTTCTCTAACCACACCTTTCAATGACCACATTTTGTCTAATCTATTCTCTTTTCTATCCTGCCCACAGAACCCTGACATCGTGCTGGTCCACTATCTGAATGTCCCTGCCATAGAGGATTGTGGGAAACCATGTGGTCCCATCCTGTGCTCCATCAATACGGACAAGAAGGAGTGGGCCAAGTGGACCAAGGAGGAGCTGATAGGCCAGCTCAAGCCTATGTGTGAGTACTAAACTAATCCAATGCACAAGTATGCATCGATCCATCCAGTCACCACCATCGCACATTAATCCACACACTTAAACCGCTCCTATATGCTATAAAAACGTCTTTAATCGTTCTTTCATGGCAAACTGGACCTAATAGTCAGTTTCTTTTATCTCATAGTTTATCTCAACAAAGGTAACGTCATCATATTCGAGTTTTATCAACATGCTTTAATTTGTTTATCATTTTACTTTCAGGTTGGATATGGGCAGCTGATATGACATACTTAGATGTAGTTCCGTAGCTGTTCCCTAGCAACCATAATGTTAACAAGGGCTATAGCTGTCATGCACAATATTTATGATTAGACTAATAAAAGTACACCCATTATTAAATGAATGAACTTACAGGAAAAAGTCCTGTTCCTTGTGAATAAAATGTCCCCTGTTTTTTTTACTTCTCAACTTTTTTCCCACAAACTGCCTGATGTAAAACCATGATAGATATTTATCACAGCCACCATCCCACCAAACCAAGCCCTGTAGAAAAACATGAGACATATATGCACTTTAAAATATTCCTACTGTGAGTTTGTACATTGTATAGGAGCCATCTTGCGGTGTTGGGGGTCATAGGTGATGCGCTCCATATCTGGGCTCTGGACAAGGCTAAGAGCACGCCTCCTCTCTGCCCTGTGCAGGAAGTCCACACGCGGCTGCTTATTGATTCATGTTGGACGTGGGAGCGAAAATGTCTGACTCACCACAAACGCCCCACACCCTCCTGCCCCCTCCACCCCACCCCACTCCACCCGCTCCCTCTCCCCCATCACTAGATTGATCCTGGTTCCTACCCCCTTTTTACTAATGCAATGCGATGTGCTCCGTGTTTTTATTAGTCTCGGAAAACAAGACAGAGGAAAGAGTTTTTTTTTTTTTTTTTTTTTTTTAATAGGTTGTGTTCATGTTTCAGAATTTGATTAGGTCATAATTTCAGATGGACAGCAGGCGCCTTCCTGTTTTGGAAGGAAGTAACCAAACTGAAAATCCCCACATGTGTTGAATTAGATTATCTGTTTGGGATTGGGAAAGTTATCGCTAAAAGCCCTTTTGACTGAGAACACATATTTGCAATTGAATTAAGATGCTAATTTTTAAGTTATTGTGACATATGGATAGGCCCACTAATTACGGAGTTATCAACCATAAAAAAGGACAATACATTTGCATTTTGACAGTTAAAAGGACCATTCTACCATATCTGACCTGTCCGGGTGGCTCAGCTTTAAACCATAGGAATTCTATAATGCTATAATATGTGAACACAACCTATAGGCCGCATTTGTCTGAGAATATTAGTGTCTGAGTGGGGACTTGGCTGTGCTCTAGAGACAGATCTTTGAGAGAGCTGTTCCCATAGTGTTAACAGGCTGACTGTGATCTGGGTGTGTCTGAAAGGCTAGCAGGCCTGTGACTGATATTCCAATAGCCAATTATAGGTGATGTGGCCAGGTAAAGAAGAAGGTGTCAGCATCTTTACAAGCTCACACACACACATACTGAGGCTGCATACTGAGGAGGCAGCCCAGACTAGAATCACTAAAGTCTGTGCTGTGTGCTATCAGCTTTATTTTAACATAAAGCCTTACCCCAGGACAGCCACTAAGCAGCTCCAGCCCACTGTATTCATTACATCTGTGCTCTAATGTAAAAACCAAGATCCATTTGCAGTAATGCGTGAAGTCATTAACTTTGGGAGTTGTTGGGATGAGGAGAGAGTGAGATGCCTTCAAGCTGCCAGACGAGTGAGGGGCTACAGACAGACAAACCCCTCTTGTGCTTTTGTGTCTTCTTCTATCCCTCCATCTCAGCCCCATTCCTCTGGGCTGCTCCAGTGCCTCTCTATGGTGGAGCAACAATGCCATCTAGTGGGTTCTTCTTATTATTGCACTTTAAACACTCCATAGAAATATGAATATCCATATAGATTATACTATTAATAAAAGATGTGTTCATACCACTTGATACATATTTCATAAACTGACCTATATGTAGCTATTTCTCTTTCATTTTATTGAGGCATAGCATTTATTAAATCTCTTACATACGACAGGCCTCTTCTCACAACTTCAAAAGTACGCAAATTTAATCATTATTTTTACACTTGTGATATGGTAATATATGAACGCATGTGTTACTGTCCATGTACAAAAGCTCATGTAAAAGTGATCACACATAGTTCTTAAAGAAGCAGCGGTAAAACCTCTTCCTTTTCAGTCTTCCTCTTGTGTTTTGTTATTCTCCCCATAAATTCTCTCCTCTGTGGCTCTTTTATGGACACAAAAACAACATCAGAAGAGATTTGGGGATTTTTTGGATCAGTTGAGCTTATTTTATTTCCCAGAATAAAGACACACAGACTACCTGTGTTTTGAGCCCAAACACATTGTCACGCACGTCCAGTCGCAGACATAAGCCCAGAGGAGCAGCTCTGTGTGACCTGCTCCTCCTCGCCCTGTGTTTGATGAGGCATTACCCATGATGCACTTCCACTGAGAGGCAGTCTGCTCTGGTCTAATGCTCCGAACACATATCAGCCCACAGCCTGCTTAAAGTGCGTATGACAGGTTAGACTTCACTTTCAAGATTTTACTACGACAGACGTTAAGGTAATTCTATAAGTATTAGAGTGCAACCATAATGTTAACAAGGGCCATCTCTCTAAACTATACAAGCCCTTTATTTTTTGAATTAATCTTTTTTGGAGTTTTCAGTGTTAACGATAATGAAGAGGTATTCCCTTTTAACGGAACTGTAGCCTGCCCTCGTACTCTTATAATCCCAACTGAACCTGAGTTACCAGTGCCTTACCCTGTATATACAGAACATAAAACAATATCTGAGTATATGGACCAATATGGCCATACTTCATGTGAGAGCTCAGAACCTTCAGAATTCACTCACTGGGCTGCAGAGGCTGCACTAGCACTGATCAATGATTGGCTGTAGGTGCTGGGTAGTGAGAGAAATGAGAGAGAATCCTTTTAGGTAGGCAGGGGCGTTGGACTGGTGGGGCGATAAAGGGTAATCTTTATCCAGGGCCCAATGTGGGGAGTGCCCCCTCACAAAATCTGTAATGTGCATTTTTCATCAACTTGTAATGCAGGCCCAAAAAGATCCAAGGTCCAGAATTTGGTGTTACACCCCTGTAGGCAGGTCATCATTAAAAGTGGCAGCCGAAATGAGAGACTCATTCTGCTTTCTGATGTATCTAATATCTGATATATCAAATGTTATGTTCATTGTTTTTCGTAATTAAAAATAATATAACATTATAATTGTTAACAGTAAAAGCTATACATTGAACACATTTATCTTGTATCTCAGAACACAAAGAGTTTATGAAAATTTAAAATCAAAATAGCATATACAGTTCATTTAACTCATCAATATTAAACATCACAGCCACTACCCCACCAAACCAAGGAGTAATTATTAAAACATGAAAACCTGTCATAAGCACTAAACATCCAAAGAGAGTCTTGTCTGTGGGCTAAAGCTGCCCACCACATAGACTATAGTTGTTCTTCTCAGAGCTGTCTGCTAAAGCGCACAAACACAGGGACAGTGTGATGCAGTGTGTGAGTCCAGCCGTGACAGGACGCAGTCATCAGGGCCGTCATCATGGCACTCAGGAGCTTTGGTGCCAGGGCCAGGAGCTCCGAGATCAGACCTAGTGGCTCTGCTTATGTCACGTCTGCTCTGGAACATCACCCTGAGTGAAGAGAGCAGACAGGAAGACATGGTGGTAACTATATGTCAACACCCGGCTGCTCCAGGGGAAGGCCATTCTGCACATGAAGCTTGAAGATGGTGGTTCTGGCATGAGAGATCAGGCCAGAGGAAAGACGAGATTGTTTGGACAAACAGGGCCAGGCTATAAGATGTTGGATTAGGCCCTCATTCTTTCAGACACATTGGCAGATTGGATGCACTTGTGTCCGGCAGCTAGCCTCTAGGCCTTGCTACATGAGGGGCTTCTGAGTGCATGAGTCGCCCTCTCATTTGAGCGTTAGTGATAATGGCCCTGCTCCTTTGTAATGTTTCCATCGCACACTGACAGGGCCTGACTCACAGCCAGAGTCTAATGAGGGCTTCAGACAGACACTATTATGTGTACAGTAATTACAGTGACATCCAAAACAGTGCCTCTGCACCAGCTCACCCCGCTCTTTGTTTAGACTCAGGCTATTGAGACCTGCATAATCAGATACATTAGTAAAGTGAATCCAGACATAGAGGTGTGAGGTTACTCATTACAGCATTACCAATGTAAAACAGCCTGTCAGTGCAAGAGAAGGGACCAAGATCTTGTTTTGTCTCTTGTTTGGCTTCAAGTCTCATGCTTTTGAGTTTCAAGTTCTTGATACCAAATGATTTAATACAGCTCATATTTTTGAAGTGTAGGTTTTGTAAGTGGTTCTTCTTTAAGGAGGGGTTATTACACATATATGGTGTATTAATTGTTAACAGAAAACATATTTAGATCACCATGTTACCATTTATAATATTAAAAATGCTATATTTGCAGTATATTGTATATTACACTGTTGAATAATTTTCAGTTTTGTTTTGAGTCCCAGCTGCCCTAGCCAAGTCATTCCCCTTCAGAGTGCTATCACAACACAATCAATGTGCATTCCACTAATGAAAGTACTGCACATTGCATCAGGTTTGTGAAGTTATAGTGTACTGTTTTGTATATTGATTTTGTATAGTTATGAACCTCGGCACAGTGGCTGAGTGGCTTGCAGGCTCAGAGTGGTAATCTGCACTACTATCGGGTGGGGGCAGTCCACCTCAGACCACATTTGGGCTGGTGCGGTGGCCTCCGATTCAGGGGCGGACTGGCAATCTGTGCATTCTGGAAAAGCAGAGCAGATACGATAATAATAAAGATCCCCGGTCCTTCATTTGCATTTTAGGCCGATTTGTGGGGGAAAGGTCCAGGGCTGTTTTTTGGTCCCAGTCTTTTCCCCGGTACTCACACTTCACAAAAAGAAGGTTCCAGGTTCGATCCCCATGTCGCCTGGCTCTTATTGCGCAGAGTTTGCATGTTTCTTTCCCTGTTTGAGTGGATTTCATCTAGGCACTCATTTTCCCCCCATCATCCATTACCATAAGTAAAATCATTCTAAACAAGGCTAGTAACAAGATCACAGGGATGTGCTGTGGTGTACATCACTCCTAAGGAGATCCCCCAGCAGCACTGAAGGATGGGTTAAATGCAGGGAGCAAATGTCCCTTCAGGTACACTGAAGTTGACTTTAAACTTAACAAAATTGCCTTGGGTGAGCATGGGTTACTTAGACTTGTGGGCTGAACATTGTACAGGCTCATACTGCTAACCATAACAAGGCTACAAAAAGTCGATTTTGCATAAAACCCTAACTTTAAAAAGTCCAGGTCACAAATAGAGAAAAGACAGAAAAGTGCAATGGGTTGTCTATAATGAAAAATTTATTAAATTATGTTTTTGTTTGTTTGTTTGTTTGTTTGTTTGTTTGTTTGTTTGTTTGTTTTTGTAAAGCCCAAAATCACAGCAGCAGCAAATATAGTTTCTACAAAAAGTTCTGATGAAAAAATTGTTACCTGTGGATAGAATTTATAGTTCATTCCCTTTTGGTATGAAACTGTAACTTAAGTTTTAATAGCACTGAAAAGTATGTGGATGCATAGCAAAATTAAACTGTTGTCTTGTTTCTTCAACCATGTGCCTCTGGAGCAGCCTGTCAGGAACAGTGAGCAGCTCCAATACAGTGCAGTGCTCAGGGACTGATCAGCTTGGTCAGGACTATCTAGGATTTTACCAACCTTACATGTTTTAGGATGATTTATGTTCTAATTTTGCTACACTGAAAATCTATTTTGATATGAAGTTGCAGTCAACATATTGCCTGTTCTACTCTGAACTGTAACTGTAGCCACATTAGCAGATAGATGATGTGTTCCTCAGGGCACTGGTCATGTCATTGGTCAGAGCACAGGTGGAGGGCACACACTGAGATGCTACCACCTTCATCTGCATTCACAGTCAGAGAGTGGCAGTACACTTATGTAGACACCAGGGGGCACACTACAGCAGTGTGCAGAGGGGCAGCCTGGAGAGTGCTGTATATTATTGTGTTATTTTATAATAATTATATCAGACTCCAGTCACTTGTATCAGCAAAATACACAATTAAAGAACCCATATTGTGCTACTTTCTGATTTATGTTATAATGTTGTTTCCTCATCAAAGACATAACTTGGATTGTTTTGTTTCATTTCACACATTTTTAACACACAAACCCTACATATTCAGGCTGAGTTCTTCCCTCAGACAGAAAACACTCTGTTCCATCTTGTGACGTAACGTGGTATTATAAAAAAGTTCTCCTTTGTGTTTTTAAGCTCCATTCACCATCAATAGAATCAATTTGGATGATTTCACCCCTGGAATTTCCAATCTACTGAAGTAAAAGTAAAAGTTAGCCATTAACAGAACTTTTTGAGCTTTGTAGGTGTTGAATGACTAATAATAAAGTTATAAATAAAACTCAACTGGTACTGTATATTTTTGAGGAAGTAACAACATTCTAACGTGGCTTAAAGTTCACAAGTGTCAATTTTGTAATAATAATAATATAGGACTTTTAATAGAGATATAGTTATAGCTTGTCTCTATGGATATGCTATTGCTGGTCTATCTCTAGGGGTCAACAGGTGACTCCAAAAGCCCAAATTCATGGTCAAACCTGTTCAGAGGCATCCCTAGTTACAATAAAAAGAAGAAATGTATGTTTCAGTGTAACAATTCTTTATTCAGGCGAGGATCTTCAAAGATTAGTGACTGAGACTACACACAAAATTGCAAAGTTACAAGTGTGGTTCACCAAAACAATTTGTCTCTAAATATCATGAAAGCAAAAGCAAAGTTCTTTGGAAACTGTGAAAAAAATCTGAGTACTTTACACACACATTTCTTGGTGTAACTCTTGATCACAAACTTTACTGGAAACTCCACATTAAAACCAAAATTGCAAAAGTTATAGCCTTGATGAACAAATCTAAATTTCTCCTAAATAAGAAAGCCCTGTATACAATTTACTGTACTCTTATCTTACCCCATTTAAGTTACTGTGTAGAGGTCTAGGGGAATTCTTATAAAAGTAACACAGACTTATTGTTTACAAAAAATAAGTAATATGAATAGCTCACTTACTCAGATATAGAGAACATACAAATGCACTCTTTTGCCAAGCAAAGATACTTAAATTTGGGGACCTGGTAAAATTGAAAACATGACGAATCTTATTTAAAGTGAAACTCCGCCTGCTCCTAGATAACATAAATAAAAAACATCAAAACATCATAATAACATAACATAATAACATAATAACATAACATCAAAAACTGTTCTACACAAATGAATTCAAATACAACCCGAGAGGTCAAGTGAATTTTAAAAAACAATTCTCTCAAACCAAAAGCATGTGTGTTACAAAGATGTGGAGTAGATTTATGGAACAGCTTAGATGACCATCAAAGCTTGTACGAACTTGGTGCACTTAAAAAAACAATGTAAAAATCAAATCTTACAGAAATATCTAAAAGACTAGATACATTGTCTTCACAACTAAACCATGACTATTAACTAAACACATGCTTTTCTTTAACATTACCTTTTATTTTGATATGATCATAAACGATAAACTTCTGTGCCGTCTTTATCATTTTTTACTTTGTATGACCATAATACAGTACGATACAAAAAAGAAAGAAAGAAATTGGGTAAAAATTATATTTATTATGCTTAGTATGTATTTTGCTGTATGTAAATATTTGTACATTTTTGTCATCAATGTACAGCAACCACATAATTTTAGAATTTTTTAAACTATATAATGATTAGGGGTGTGTTGATGTAAGTTTTTTTTTTCTTCCCACTCCATTTTGAGAAATGTGCTTTTCTGTTGTTTACAATGTATATGTAGTATGTATATGATTGTTGTTTCTCAAAATAAAAGAAAATCAAATATTTATCATGGTATTTTGGGCAGTAAAAGTCTGTAATTGAATAAATGTAAGATAACTAAGTTGAATAGTGGATTGTAGAATATTCCCTGGAAAACAATAGGAAACCAGCAGGTGAAAAGTTACATAGTGCACTTTTAAAACCATTAGTTTATGTTTCAAAGTTTTATAAGTTTCTTAAAAATGCATATGTTTATTTTTAATGGTAACAAATTGTATGGTGCATAATTCTCAAGTGTAGTATAAACCATCACTATGACTATGTCTCATCATACATTGAATAAGTGATAAGTGTAACTGCGTCATGTCCCCCCTCAGTTCATTCACTTTATTTCCAGCAGAGGGTGCCAGATGCTAATTCAAGTGTCGTCTCTAACGCTGAACTGAAACCCATGACTTCAATGGAAACATTTTAATACGTAGGCTAAAGGTTATTTTAAGATCAAAACTTTAAAAATTATTCTATTTGGCCAGACATCCTTCACATTAACTTCTCTGTTTCCACAATAACTACAATTTATGTCCCACAAAGCTCTAATGTAAAGTAATTTGTTCCTCTCTCTTCTCTCTCCCACTCCTCCCTTTCTCTCCTCTCTCTCCTCTCCCCCACCTCCCTCTCGTTCCTCTCTTCTGTTTCCCTCTGCCCGCTCTATCTCCTCTCTGTCCTTTTTCCTCCTCTTCACTCTCTCCTCTCCCCCTCTGCCTTCTCTCTCTCTCTCTCTCTCTCTCTCTCTCTCTCTCTCGCTTCTCTTTTTCCACTCTCTCTTTTCCCCCTTCTCCCTCTTTCTCTTCTCTCCTCCCTCTTCCCTTATCTCTCTCTGACAGTCCATGGCATCAAGTGGACCTGCAGCAATGGAAACAGCAGTTCTGGCTTTTCGGTGGAGCAGCTGGTGCAGCAGATTCTGGACAGTCACCAGACAAAGCCCCCTCCCCGCACTCACAACTGCCTGTGCACAGGAACCCTGGGTATGAGCATGCTTTGGACTCACAAATATAATTTTAAAGACTTCAGAAGATACAAATGTCATGCTTTGCGTAAGTTAAAATAATATTACCAAATATGTTTGAAAGAATTGAATTAATAATAATTGAAATGTCTTATTTATTTGTATTTATTTATTATTTATTCCAGACACAAATTTTATTTGGTTCATAATTAACAAAAAGGACAGGATACAAAATATATACAACAGCCAGATTAGTCCATAAAATTCATTAGTGAGTGTGGAGTGTGGCGTGCCCAATGTGTTCTCAGAGGTGTAACGGCATGAGCTCACAGGGTTGGGAGTCATTATAATAGTGTTTTCCGAAAACTTTGGAAAAAGTGATTAGTAATATTAGTATAGTGTATTTTCAAATGTATTTATAATGTTCTGTTGGTATTCCTCTGCTCTCATACTGTTTTACTTATTGACTTTTCATGACTTTGTGTTGTGTTCCCTGTAGGAGCAGGCAGCAGTGTGCACCACAAGTGCAACAGCTCCAAACACCGGATCATCTCCCCAAAAGTGGACCCCCGCTCCGGGGCCTACAGTGCCCACTCTGAGGTGCAGAACAATGATGTGTCTGAGGGCAAAACTGAGCACAGCTCCCATGGGGGAGGCAAAGGCTCTGGAGCAGGAGGAGGGGGCAGCACAAGAGAGAAACGCAATGGAAAAGTCCATAAGCCCGTCCTGCTGCACCAGAACAGCACAGAGGTGTCGTCCACCAACCAGGTGGAGGTCCCTGACACCACCCAGAACTCCCCCGTGTCCATCAGCAGCGGTCTGAACAGCGACCCTGACCTGGCAGACAGTCCTGTGGTCACAGGCATGGGTCATGTGGCCTCTGTCATGTCCAGTCTGTCTCAGAGCGTATTCATGTCGGAGGTGACCGGAGACCCTGTGTACAGCATGTCTCCCACTGGGGGCCCTAACTCCCATTTGATGGGCCCCGATGGCACCTCCCAGGGCCTGGTGCATAAGTTTGCTTTTCCCGGGGGAGGGGTGGGGGAGCCCGGCTCTTCAGCGGGAGACCTCTCCATGTTGTCCTCCGCGGGGGTCTCAGAGGAGCTGGTACTGTCCAGTAGTTTGGACACTGGTGGCCTCAAAATCCCAGAGACTAATATGAACTTTGACCCTGATTGCTTTCTTAACAACCCCAAACAGGGTCAGACCTATGGGGGCAGTGCTTTAAAGACTGAGGGGAACTCTTCCGCCAACTCCTCCTCCAACGGCAATGGTAACACTAATGGTCTACAGCAGTCCCCTTCTCTGTCTGATAACAGCTACAGCTACAACTCAGCTCTGGTCAAAAACATCAAGACAGAGGACACATCCTTTGAGCAGCAGCTGGCTAAGGAGAGTGGTTACCAGGTGGGGGCAGTAGTGAATTGTGGCAGTGGGGTGTCTTCAGGAGCTGGCTCAGGCCAGACTGGCCTCGGTCTGACCCCAGCTGGTTCTCTGCTGCCCTCTGGTGGAGGTCTGAGCCCCAGCACTACTCTGGAACAGATGGACTTCAGTGCCATTGATGCTAAGCAGGAATACAGTTCCACTGCAACAGCAGTCAGCTATGGTCAGTCCATGACCAGCCCCCACATGCAGCACCAGAACCAATCACCCAGCTTCTTCCTCCAGGACACCTCTCAGAACAGTCATGCCCAACAAGGCCGCCCCAGCCTGGGCCAGAAAACTCACCTGATGGAGCACAACCACGACTCTGGGGCCTACATGGGCCTCCAGGTGAAGAGCGACTCTCCCGGTAACAACAGTCACCTCCACCACCACCACCAGGGGCAGCACAGAGCTAATTGTAACGGAGGCTCTCCCACAGAGGGACCCCAGAGTGGCTCGTTGCAGCTGCTGCAGTATCAGGGCTCTTTCCCTGGTTTAGGCTCTGAGCATGAAGAGGTGGTGGGTTTAGAACAGCAGAATAATGTCAACTCTGCTCAGAGTGGGGCTTCCGAAAATGGCACTGACAGTTTGTTGAAAGCGGGGGATCACATCCAGGCCTGTGGGGCAGGAAACGGGGACGGAGGAGTGTCTGAGCACTATTTGCAGCAGGCCTCAGATGGTTCTGGAGGAGCAGAGAACATTCATAATGGAAACACCAACAGTGACGGAAGTGGTCGCTCACAACAGCAGCTGCAGCCTCTGCTTCAGGGTTCAGCCATGGTCCAAGGTCTGTACAACCACCAAAGCCTGACTGCCTCAAGTAATGGGGCAGCGGGAGGGCCTGGCATGGAGATCAACCTGGATCACTTTGACATCTCTTTTGGGAATCAGTTCTCTGACCTCATCAATGACTTTATCTCAGTGGATGGTAGTGGGACAGCTATGGCGGGGGGCGGGGCTCTGTACACTCACCAGCTTGTGACCTCACAATGCTCAGAGACTCAGAACACAACCAACGGAGCGCCCCCTCAAGGCCAGGAGGATGGAGAAGCCCGAGGCACCGGGTACAGCCCGTCAGACCTCTGCCTTCAGCCCTGCTGCAGTCCCCAGTCTCTGAGTGGGGCGACTGGAGGGGGAGGCTCTGCTGGAGAGCCAGGTTCACTGTCCTACATGAATGTAGCAGAAGTGGTGAATGCTGCTGTGGCCCAGGGAACTCTGGGAATGCTCCAGGCCACCGGACGCCTATTCATGGTCACTGACTACTCCCCAGAGTGGTCCTATCCTGAGGTATGCCACATGACACTGTCCTTTAGGAGAATTCATGTATAGAATAGATTACTCAAATTCAGATCTAAAGTAATAATGCACAAATGAAAGCATTATTTTTGTTTTATTTTTGGCTGGCCCAGCTAAAGTCTCACACTTTAAATTAATCTCCACAGTTACTGTATTGTGGATTGTAGCACTGAAGTGTATTATAGAGTATACTGTTTCTACTTAGTTTGAAAATGCTGAGAAAAAAAAACATGTTTGCATCAAAATCTTAAAAGACATTCTAACCCCATTCATTTTCATCCATTTGTTCTTGTTTTGAGAGAAAAGAATGAAAATAACAACTTTGGGTGAGTGGAATTTGATGGCTAAGTAATACTGCTTAATAGAGCTGAGACAAATCAATATATTGTGGTCCACTTTTAACCATTTCACGTGACCACTAATGATTTTAATGCTCTCAGTTTGAAGATGTAAATCAGTGATATTTGAGAATCAGGACAAAACGTGTCTACAACACAACTACAAACATACAGCATAAAACCATACATACATACATGCAACATGTATGAAATATTTTTTAAAATATTAACTGGCGTACTAGCTAAATCTAATGAAACTGTGTATAGTGAGGCTCATTTGGTGTATGCCAATATGCTCAAAGATGTAACTTTAATAAATAAAAAAATTAAATAAAATATTTTGAGGAGGTTTTGATTTTTTGGTTGAATGGTGTAAGATTGTTTTTATGTTATTACACTGTTTCACCACATGATGGCCTCAGAGTCCATTCTTTGAAATGTCTTTTCCCTATTTGATGTAATTCATGGCTTTAAACAATAGATGGCAGAAGAACACCAGGAACATTTGGAGACATTGGAGCAGACTTGGCAGGTCTGTGTGATTAAATGTCATTTTGTTGTGGTTAACAGGGTGGGGTAAAGGTGCTCATCACTGGACCCTGGCAGGAGGCCAGCTCAAACTACAGCTGCCTGTTTGACCAGATCTCAGTTCCTGCCTCTCTCATCCAGCCAGGAGTCCTGCGCTGCTACTGCCCAGGTAGAGAAGAAAATCTGCCCTCATAATATCCACCACATCATCAGATAACCCTGCTAATTTCTTAATAATATACAATGTGACATGTGCTCATAGCTCACGACACAGGACTGGTGACACTACAGGTGGCTGTTAGTAACCAGATCATCTCCAACTCTGTGGTGTTTGAATACAAGGCCCGTGCACTGCCATCACTGCCATCCTCCCAGCACGACTGGCTCTCTCTGGACGGTAAGACTCCACTAGTTCCTCTTGATTTTGTCCGATTATTCTATAAAAACTGATAAGGATTACTAGGCCACGTGCTGCCTGTAAAAAGTGGTATATTTAGGACAAAGCTATCACCTTTTAATTATGATTTCTATAAATGTTATGTTTAAATAATAAATGATTGACCACATAAAGTCAAAATGATAATGTTGTTCAAAGCTGTAGTTATCTGTCCATCTGTTAAAATATCTTGTTTCCTGTGTGTACTGATGAGTGGCCTGAGTTTGTTTGCTGTGTGCGGCTGTAGCCTGCTGCAGCGCTCTGACAGGATAAAGTAGGGCACAGTGAAGTAGCGGCTCACAGGACAGCTGCATTGCAGACGGCCCTTGAGGGAGTGAGTAATCCTGAGCTGGAGGAACAACCAGGATGCAGTCTCCATTCATGCCCAATGTCTCACTGGCCCATTCACAGAAGCAGTTAAGGAGGAGCTGATGTCTCAGGAAAAACAGCCCACCCTATTACCTTACTTTTATTAACCCTTTGGCTCCTTAAGATTTCTCTGTTTTTACCATAAACGAGTGTTGTTCAATGCATGTGAGTCTAAACATGTTTGGCTTGAGTCAGAGCTGTTTCCTCAGAACATAATAGTATGGGTGCCATTCTGATTATTGCCTATAAAGTTTATGTAATGATGTGTTTACAAGAATATTGTCACAAATAACTGGTGTACATAAGGTTCATATTGCCTTGTTGACAAAACCTGGTTTCAGCACCAGAGCAGTGGACAGCGACAGTCCAGCACAGCTGGTCACGCAGGCCAAAAAAGCTGAAGGATGTTTGTTTGAACAAGTGCTGTTGTTTTGTCCTTTGTGGAAGAAGATGAAAATGTTTCTGGCTTCTGAGAAACTTTTCAGAAGTAGGACAGGTGTAATTAGGCGTGCAAAGACAAGAAGCGCCCCACATATAATGGAAAATTGATGGCTATATCCCAAATATAGAGTGACACGATGCCGCTCACCTAACGTGACAGTGTGAGTGTGCAGACTTCTTTAACCCCTTCGCTCGCTAGACTGTTGGCATAGCGGGTTTATTTCACTGCTCCTCCGCAGCCGTAATGCTATATGCTCCGGATCCAGCCTAGAGTTTGTTGTAGCACGCTGGACTCGCTGAGCTATAATGTGCTAATGGAACAGCTGCCTGCCTGCCTTGATTTGTCATAATGCAGAGTGGGGGAAGGGGCGCTTTTTCTCTGCAGCACTGCAGGTACGGAGCCATGGGCAAGACAGAGCAGATATCAGAGCCGCACAACTCTCTCTTTGGCCAAACAAAGGCGCTTCGTTCAGATCCAGCGAGCTATAGACTATTAGTGGAAACACCCATGAAAAGAGCTGTATCGCGCCATAGTGACCCTGTACTGAAAGAACAATGTCTAGGAAGCCTGTAGCCTGTAGTACACTGGCGTGACACGCGGCTGCCCGCACACACAATGCAGGAGCGAACAGTGGGCGTGTTTGCCTAAGTATGGTCAACAGCCATAAACACTGTGTACAGACAGCGGTTTGGCCGCGTGACGCTCTTCTGAATGACCGTAAAGAGCCGGTTGTAGAAGAAAGAGTGCGCGCGCTGAGCAGTCACACGCGACATCACCACCAGTTGAAGCAGCCAAAATAGTCCTGTGGATGAGTTGAGTGTGAGCTGATAAAAGAGCACGATAACTGCGAGCACGACCGGGGCTGGAGGAGGAGGAGGACACGGCAAAACGGAAATTAGGGCGACTGTTTACCGGCGGCACGTGCGCACTACGTCTCTTGGCAGCGGCATTTGTCTTTTTACTGCAGGCTGGAAGCAGCGTTTACTTGGAAAATGCGCGTCTGTGCGAGTTGAATCGAGTCAAGCAGAGGAGGGGCTGATGGGAGAAGTAGTGCGCTCTCTCTCTGTCTCTCCGCACGTCGCTCTCTTCTTCACTTTGTTCTATTGTTGACGACTCTCTGTTGGGCTTGGTGTTTGGTCTACGCCGAGGATTTACTTTTCTTCTCCAAGTGGCTCCGCCGCAGTTTGTTGGACTCTCTGGGTCAGGATGCCAGAGACACACCCGCGCTTCGTAAAGACAAAGGGCAGCCCTGACCCATGGAGAGTAAAGTAGAAGGTTAGCTGCGCTCGCTGTGTCTGTGTTGTCTTGTGTTTGGACTGTTTCTGATCTGTTTGAGAAGTTTGGTCCCGCATGCACACTGTAGAAGTGCTCTTCACTAGACTTTCCCTGTGCTGTACCACGATAGACCCAACTTTGTTATTGCGCCTCACTGCAGAGAGTTGAGGCTTGTTGTGGTTAACTCGTGACTCACGACTTTTGCTTTCACGTTTTACGGCTCATTTTCGTCAACAAGGATAGTTTACGTTTACAAACCTGTTTAGCATAACAGAAGTTGACAAAGAAGGATCTGTGCTGTAACACGTGCGCTGCAGTAAAACGACACTAGTGGTAAACCATGCGTCAGACTCACGGTGCTCCTACAAACATAGCGCTTTACATGTTTGTGTTCATTTTCTTAACAAATAGACCTGAGTGTAATTTTCCCGACACCATCACTGTTTCACGTGTTTAAAACCTCACCTTTCGGGTCACCGGGAACTAGCGTCACTCTGGTGCATTGAAATACTGTCGCATCCCTGAGTGCTGCCCAGGCGACCGGGGCCAACGTCGCCTCTTACGTTCATTTAAGCCACTTTGACACTGCACGTTCACGCTGGTTATGAACACAATACAAACACGTTGCCAAAATTCAAACAATGCTTGTCTAATCATAATCATCCTATCGCAGCCAGTTTTAGCACCACCGCTGAATGGACAGCAACTTTCCGCGTGGGGTGAGAGAGGTCCTGTCCGCTGTTTGCATAACGCACACACTCAGAGTCGTGCCTATACGTTTACCGACCTGTTGATTCTGTCTTATGTTTTACTACCGGCTTTTACTAACTCTCTGCTATAATGAATAAAACACATGGTATACAGGAGAGCTTAAACTAGAGTTTGGGCTTCTGTGCTGAGATCCAGTGTCCTGTAGATGTGCCCTGTGGTGCAGAGGACACCTCTGACCTCTGTTTACAAAAGCTAATGAGTAGATTTCTGAGTCAGAGACTTCATTATGACCAAAACCTCTATAACCTATGTTATGGATGTTGACATTTCTAATCACACCTTTCACCTTAACCTAAATTAGATTAAAACAGTGAAATAGGAGGCATGATATTGTTCATATACAAAGAAGGAAAAGTGGTTGCTCACTAAACTTCCTGAGGGCTCTTCAGCCAGTGCTTCATCACACCATTAGTGTAATAGAGTTTGAAGGCAAATCCCTGGTGTTGGCTCTTGGCATTTGAGCTCTAGTGTGACAAGTGTATTCAGCGCTGCACCTGTATCCGTCCTGACCTGTGGAGCTGGGCTGGGGCCAGCAGGTTAAAGGATGTTTCACCTGTGGGTCCTTGTGCACTGAGGGCCAATACAAGGCTGATCACCCATGAATCTACTGTCTTTATTCTCACATCAGCCTCTGGAGAAACACACTTGCTTTCTCTTTAGACTGTTTTGAGGAATAGCAATGCTAATGTGCTAATGGATGTCTTCTCTGGTAAGACTCTTTCTCTGAAAGCACAGTACCTTGGAAACCTTTCAAATAGTGGTTTATTTATATGCTGTGTAGTAAATATATATTGCATGTTTGTTATATGTTGTTGTCTACAGTCATTGTATTCTTACGAGAGGCTATCAATCACTGTTTAACAAAGTGTAAGGTTTGTTTTTATCTTGGTGTTTCTATGGCTAGGACCAATTGATTAATTAAGCTTTATGATTTATAGAATGTATCATATCACTGAGGATGTTTTTGAGATATGTGAAAGATTGAAATGTTTGAATGTGTTCATTTCAAATGTAATGTTGCTCAAAGTTTTGTCTTATTGTAGAGCTGTGCAGTGAATCTCACTGTAATTGAGATCAAGACTGAGTCATTGTTATTGTCTTTAGCATAGTACAGCCAATCCTCTGTCAGTAAAAACATGTGGTTTGGAGCAGAGTTCAGAGAAAGAAATCTGACCCTACGTGGCACTGCTTAAAAGTTATTGTTAATGCTCATGAAATGTATTTTCAAACTCATTTTATTTGTTTTTAGTAAGACCAAAAGATTAAACAAAAATTGAAGTGATTAGATTTGTGCCTTTGCTGAGCTTACAACCATTTACTAGAAACAATTGAGACAGTAACTGGTAGTAAGGTATCAGTATCGTGACAATATTGACAGACCTCATTTATTTCACTGGGTCTGTGGAAAAAGCACTTTTCACAGCCTAAAGTACCTGGGTAGGCCGTTTTTGTTAATCATATAGCTCTATCACGTCACAAAAATAAGTAACCAGGAAGCAACAGGCTGAAGTAAACACTTTCCCCAAATTGCTGCACAGCAAAGGAGCATTATAGCAGATATTTGTTGGTTAAAAAGTTCCCTGTTTTTCTTAAAGATTACACAATACCCAATTCCATGGTATTCCATAATACCATGGTATTTTTGGCCTTGGTGGAAATTTCTAAACATCCCATCCTTCGGTGACTCACATTTATTTTAATTATTGCTTGCTTATTTGTGAAAAAGACCTCTCTAGTATTCACGCACAGTAAAGCCAGCAATGATTAAAGTGAGTGTATGGTGCAGTAGCACAGAGCTGTGTTCTGCGCAGATGGCCTTACACAGTGGTAATAGCAGCTCCTGTCAGTCAAGCAGGCCAAAGGGGGCGGCCTCACGCCTCTGGACCAGCCACATGTGATGCGCTGATGGAGGAGAGATAAAGATGTCAGGCTGATTGATTAAATGAATGGGTTCAAACATGGTGCTGAGAGGTGACCCTGAGTGCGAGAATACACCAGTAACACTGCAATAATCATGTTTCAAATGTTATGCAGTAGTTATTTTGACACCTTTGAGATTTAATAGTGGGGCAGTATCCAGGCTATTAGGGATAAGAAAAGTGTCTTGGACTGAGCGTTGCTGGTCCAATGAAGATGAAAAGACATTCTGGCACAGCTCCATGTTCCTTTCACTCTGGTCTGTTATAAAAGTTGTCCTCTTGCCTCCTTCTTGACATTTGTGAGAGGAAAGGCACGTTGCCCTTTAAACACTTTTTACTCCGACTTCTTCCACCTGTTTTGAGTTGGACCCTCTCTCCTTCAGTATACCTCATTGTCTGTTGTACCCTCCCAGTGTCCTCAGTGTCTCCATAATCTCTCATACTGCCTTTTCTCGCCCCCACTCTGCCCTGCTGCGCGTCAATAAACAAGCTTGTCCTTCCTCTCCCAGTCCGTCGGTATATCAGCCGGTTCTAGCACCTGTCAGCCTGTCCTAGCACCTGTCAGCTGTCCCACAGATGAGATGGTCACATGAGCTCAGACATATTAAACAACAGCAGTAAACAGCCTACAGGTGCTCCTCTTGTAGGACATGACACTGGGGGTTTTAAGGAGAGCTGAAAGTAGACAAAGCACAGAGCGGTGGAGGTATTCAATAGGGCACAATGTTACCTTTGTCTAAATGACCTGTTGTACACTCTGCATATTGGTGTGTTATTCTGATTGTAGTTATTGGTATTTTCATTGCAAGAACTCACTTTTTTATCTACCCCATGAGGCATTTGGGTGTTTTTGTTACATCAGGTACTATTCGTAGTAATAGTATTTATATGATTATAGCATTATAGTATATTGTTTAGAATTACATTTTATAACATGGATAAGATATTCAGTCAGTTAGATCAGAATGCGAATAAATACTTGTAAATCCTGCAGGTGATGACAGAAGACAAATGTTGCTTTTATCCTTGTTAGCCTGTAGCTCTGTGACGCTCTGAGCCTTAAACATGTGCGTCTGTCCACGTCTGTGCCACTAGCCGTCACAAGGGAGTAAACCAGGGAGTGGGTGGGACCTCCTCACGTCACGTTGTTGACGCAGTGGTGTTTGGCTGCTCACCTTCCCTGTCCCCGCCCCCTCTCCTCCCTCTCCTCCCTCTCCTCCCTCTCCACCCTCTCCTCCCTCTCCTTCCTCTCCTTCCTCTCCTTCCTCTCCTTCCTCTCCTCCCTCTCCTCCCTCTCCTCCCTCTGCAGTGAACGTGCATTACATTTGGAGCAGCAGGCAGCAGGTGGAGATGACATCATCTGCACTGCAGCGCACTGCAGCATTGGGTCTGAACAAAGACATGTCAGCCTCCTGCTAACTCCTCTGTCCCCTCTGTCCCCTCTGTCCCCTTTGTCCCTGTCTGTCCCTGTCATTCCCTGTCTGTGCTGCAGCCTGTTGGATAGTGAGGACAGGAGTGGTGTGACCTGTCTCCTACTCTGCGGAGTAGGCTTTACCCAAATTCTTTGTCCAACTTCCACCAGACATGAAACCATTTCATATCTGAAATCCAGACTTTAAGCATCTCCAGTGAAGTTGGAGTTAATGATTGTCTTAAATGTCCTTTGTTCAGACAATTACATGTTCTTTGTGAAGGCTGCAATTTACCAGCCTGTGACTTTACACTGTCTGCTCAATGATAGCAGTTTGGTGACCTGCTTTTAACCTTCTTTATAGGAGGTCTATAGCATTATCCTTTGCACATCGCCCTGAGCATGACTCTTAGGACACTGTGAAGTGTAAATGTCATCAGGTCACGCTGTGCAGGCTCCACACTGAGTTCCCCCTCACTATTACCACAACACCTGAAACTACGGGAGCCCACTGCACACATTTAGCACTTTGGATGATTTATAAACTCAGTTTTCTTATTTTTTTGCCTTTTCCCATTTTTGCTGGTGCCCCATCTCCCCTCCCCTTCATCAATAAGCCAATAGCACGCAGGCAGACCATACACACAGCCATGTTCCTGTCGCCTAGTTACCGCTCGGCAGCAGGTTGCCACAGAAACGGCCTCATAGTGGCTAAATGGGGAATGCTAATGCAGTCTTCTGTACTCCATGCTGCAGTGGGCTTTTGCTACCCATTCTTCTACTCTGTCGGCATATTTGTATGTCTGTGTGTCTGTGCTATAAATGTTGTGTGCTAGTGTGTACATGTATTCAGTTTTACATCATCCACCTGTAGCATTGCACTGTTTAGCTTATGTTCAGCATCGTATGTCATTTTGAGCTTATTTGTGAAAAATAAAGGTGTAGCTAATGTAATTTATTTGTCATTACATGAAAATATACAGCAGAATTGTATGTTGACTATTATGGCATAAATGCTTTGTTTTCATATACCACAGAAACAGGACCTTCTTGTTTCTCATACACTGCACTGCATCTCGGTATACTTAAATAACACAAATATTCTGTGATATTTGAACTGGAAAACATGACTTCTCCTGTTGGTAAAAAGTGCTAAAGAGCATTGCTGATATCCTTCATTCTTTCTAGCAGCATGTTAAGGCCTTTCAGAGCTTCATACCTCCATCCATCTTCTTGTGTAGAAAGAGCAGCTCTCGAGGCCTTGTGTAAGCTGTGATTGATTCTATAGTGTCAGATCTGGACTGTTACTACAATGCAGCCTGATGGAGCAGGGCTGGGCTAGGACTGGGCCATTATGAACCATACTTAATCAGCTGGAGAGGGCCCACTGCCGCACTCCTCTGCTGGAGTACACAGAGAAGGTGGTTTGTTGCATTGGTCACTTATTAGCCACTGTCTTTTAGTCTACTATGAATTGTACTATTCATTGGAAAAAGACATCAGTTCTGTGATGCATTAGTTGTTTTAGTGGTTCTTTTGAAAAACGGCTTGTAAAATGAATAGCAATTAAGGTTGTTTGTTTAGTGAGCATGCCCACAAAAATCTCTCAGCAAAAGCCACAACCACAAGATGTTCAAACTTTTAATGTGTAGAGTTTTGTCTTGTTAACAAGCCTTTTTTTTTTTTTTAAACAAATGTTAAGTTATCCATTATGAGTATACTGCACTGTGGATGTTGCTTGCATTTGAACATGTCTTTTTCTTTCCCTCAGATAACCAGTTCAGAATGTCTATCCTGGAGCGCTTGGAGCAGATGGAGAGGAGGATGGCTGAGATGGCCAGTCACCAGCAGCAGAGCGGCACGGGGAGTGGGGGCACGGGAGGAGGCACAGGGGGCTCAAGCGGAGGAGCTGGGACTGGAGGAGGCAACAGTAGCCAGGCTCAGGTGAGCGCTACCTTATGTCTGACCTTTTATACAGGGAACAGGGAAACCTATACCAGGGTGCCTGACCAGTACAAAAATGTTCTGCTCTCTGGAAATAAATAAACAGATTAATACAGTTTTGTGCATTTTTCTGGTTTTATTAGCAAAAATCAATTTTCATTTCCGAACTTTAAAAGTTAATATCTTAGACGTAACCAGAAGGCAGATATAACCTTGTAAAAATCTAAAGGAATGTCAAATTGATTAAATAAGTCTGCAAAATTACAATGCAGTTACTTGCATCACCATAGATTTTGTTGTGTGTGACAAACCTGGAGGAACGATACAGACTTTAGATACCTGACACACTCTCCTTGCTTCAGTGTGTAACTAGCCCAACCCAGCCCAGCAGTTCCTTTGAAAGCCGTGTGGTGGTGGTCTGTGAGAAGATGATGAGCAGAGCCTGTTGGGCTAAATCCAAACATTTAATCCACTCCAAGACATTCAGGGGCATGACCCTTCTGCACCTGGCGGCCGGCCAGGGCTACGCCACCCTCATTCAGACTCTCATCAAGTGGAGGTGAGAACAAAAACCTGTGTTACAACGAGGCTTTAATCACCTAAACTCAGGACCTGTAAGTCAACTGGTGTCTCTTTACAGGACCAAACATGCAGACAGTATTGATCTAGAGCTAGAGGTGGACCCCCTTAATGTGGACCACTTCTCCTGCACACCACTGGTAAGACGCACATATGCTCACATGTGCTTATATGGTTAGACTTTCACATGTGGTTACATATACTAGTGTATGGTTAGGCAGGTTAAGCTGCTACAGCATGTCTCACTCGATGCCTCTGTCCTCTCCACCTGTGTGTATATGTGTCTGTGTAGATGTGGGCCTGTGCTCTGGGCCACCTGGAGGCAGCTGTGGTCTTGTATAAATGGGACAGACGAGCCCTAGCCATCCCTGATTCTCTGGGTCGCCTGCCCCTGTCGATCGCCCGCTCTCGGGGCCACACTAAATTAGCTGAGTGTCTAGAGCAGCTGCAGAGAGAGGAGCAGCAGCCGGCTGCTCCTCTGCCCCCAAACCGCGTGTCCTTCTCCCAGGCCTCTGACCCCCCCACCTCAGGCAGCTGGATGGCTAACTGGCCAAATGACAGTGTCACCACACACACCAGCAAGAAGGGAGGAGCTGCTACCACTACTACCACTGCAGCCAACACCAGCCTCAATCCAGGCAAGCACATGTTATGTTCATTACATTAACACTTCATGATTATTGATCTGCTATAATAAGGCAACTCTGTGTTTTCTTCTGCAGACTTGAGAAGGCCACGGTCAGAGCCATCCAGCTACTACAGCAGTACAGAGGCCCAGAAAGACCTGCCTCAGGCTAAAAAACACAAACCAAACCCTGAACTGTTCCAAGGCCGACCAGACAAGGCCATGTCTGTCCCTCTGAGTCTGGAGCAACAGCAGCTCCACAAGCTCTCATCCAGCCCCAAGAGCCTCCCCTCAGACGGGCTGAGCTCAGACAAGAGTCTGTCAGCAGGAAGCGGTCGATGGAGCTCGAGAGAGGCCTTCTCTAGTGGAGTGGGCAGGAAGGGCCAGGGGCCAGGGCCAGGCAGCAGTGTGGGCAAGGAGAAACTGGCGAGCCGCCTGCGCCAGCGCGAGCAGCTTGGCATGTTGGTCATGGCTGACAAAGAGATGGCTGATGCAGAACTTCTGTCATACAGAGAGGACCTGGAAAACCAGGACTGTCTCACACAAATGGACGACCTGCAGGTTAATCATATAATCTTGATGTCCTGTGCTGTACTATATGTGTGTGTGTGTGTATATGTATATATATTTGTGTGTATATGTGTGTATATATATGTGTGTGTGTGTGTGTGTGTGTGTGTGTGTGTGTGTGTGTGTAAAGACATACACATACACATACACATATACATATACATACTTTATTTACACTTCATTATACATGAAAAGTATAACACAGGCAGTAACAGAGAGTAAAACATGAACACAAACGTATAGCTTCGGTGGCCTTCAGTGTACAGGCCCCTTCTGTGTGTTCTGCTCCTGGCACTGTCGATGACCATCACTGCATAATAAACTCACTCTATTGATCCACTTCAAAGTCCAAGGGATTTATCTATCTACTTTTCCAAGAGATGAAGTCCTGCTGGAAGAGCACAATGCTGTTGTCAATATTATTGCCCTCCCAATTGGCAAACATTGGAACAGCAAATCTTGGACATCTTAGAGGGCTTAATGGTTTTAATGGTTGGGTAGTTTGGGTACACAGTCCTGATTGTTTGTTGTCCCTCAGGTAAACATGATGACTCTGGCAGAGCAGATCATTGAAGCCACTCCAGAGAGAATAAAGAGGGAGACCTTCAGCTCCTCCGACTCTGCGCCCTTGGACTCATCAGGAGTCACCAACACCATGAACTGGCTTGCCAATTATCTGGGGGATGTGGAGCAGCTCCCAAGCATCATACACCTAAGGTATCACATTAAGGACACTGTCTATCACTCTGAAAAACACTTGAATATAAGGATATAGATGTTGTTTGTGTTCATTTGTTAATATTATTCATGATTACCTCTTGTAGAAACCTGTACAACGAGCCCCTGACCCCCACATCTAACCCCAGCCACAGTCCCGGAAGCTCTCCTGTGCGGGAGGGCCCCCTGGAGAAGTCCACACTGCCATCGCCGGCCGACTGGAGCGAGTTCATCAGTGCCTCCAACAGTAAAGTGGAGCGTGAGCTGGCCCAGCTGACTCTGTCTGACCCCGAGCAGAGAGAGCTCTACGAGGCCGCGCGGCTCGTCCAAACTGCCTTCCGCAAGTACAAGGTACAGGCTGCAGTGGGCCGCCTGCACACTGCACAGGCTGTGCTCCTCTCTGGTCTTAGCTCTTCATGTCCTTCTTCTGTGGATCTGTCTCATGTGTGGTGGTACCTAGACTTTCTATGTCTTCTTCGTCCTTTGGCCTCTAGTGGTCTGACAGTACTCCAGTTTAAAGTGTCCCTGTGGTTTCAGCATGGGAAAGATGGCTTGAGCAGAGCATGGCCTGGCTTAGACAAACTACTGCATTGTTCCCTGCCCCGTGCTACATAGACACTATAAGCTTTTCTTCCTCTGCTGTCTCTCTCTCAGGTTTATTACTGCTTGTTTTACCCAGTCCTGAGCTCTCTCCCTTTTGGTTTACATGTAACTTTCACTTGTGACCAACTGTTCCCTGTTGTTTACAGTCCTGGTTTGTCTATTACTGAGGGTCCTGTGGCGCGGAGCTGCTCAGCTCCTCCCTCTTCTGTTCAGAGAAGACTTCAGGGACAGAGCCCTTTCCTTTTATGGCACTGACCTCTGACCTCTGCACTTATTCTGCCCACAGGGGCGGCCCCTGCGAGAACAACAGGAAGTAGCTGCTGCCGTAATTCAGCGTTGTTACAAGAAGTACAAACAGGTAGCTTACCCACAATGCATTTGTATCAGCTAAAACAGCATTACAGGTGTCTTAAAATTCAAAAATAATCTAATGTATGTTTAGGTAGCATGGGTGGTTTACCCAAGCCATGGCATAATAGTAATATCCTAAAATATCTAGTTAAACATACTGCTTACTGTTTGTCTATTCCTTTACAAGCTTACATGGATAGCCTTGAAGGTAAACCTCAGTCTTATTTAGAGTAATGGCCAGATTTAGGATGCCAGCAGTATTGTGTTCTATCCCATAAGTGCAGAGAAATGACTCACTTTTCTTTCTGTGGCAGTATGCACTTTATAAGAAGATGACGCAGGCCGCCATCCTTATCCAGAGTAAATTCCGCAGCTACAATGAACAAAAGAAGTTCCAGCAGAGCAGGAGGGCTGCAGTGCTCATTCAGCAATACTACCGCAGCTACAAGGAGTGTGGTCGACTCAAGCCCCACCACCGCGGAGCTGCTGCCCTGGTGCAGCACAAGCTCAGGTACAGTACAGTCTGCAGTGTCACATATACTGTGTGACCCTTGCACTGAGAGCCTAATGTGTCTGTCTGATTATAGAGGCAGTCTACTTACTAAGAGGCAGGATCAGGCTGCCAGGAAGATCATGAGGTTTCTGCGCCGCTGCCGTCACAGGTAGAGCTCATATATTGAACTGAAAACAGACACTGAAATAACTCTGCTAATGTAGATGTAGAGTATATGTGCAAGCACCAGGCTGTTGGTTAAGTCTACTTTTGTACTTTTGGTACTTTTGGGTGGTAAGACCACAGCATCCTCTCCTTCAGTGTACTGGCCCCACCTGCACCTGCCCCTCCCCCACAGTGGCTACTGTGTGCTAATAGCTGTCTGGTATTGTTTTGCTGTTTATGCCAAGCCCCTTGATGGACCATAGACTGTTCAAGCGGGTGAGTGCAGTCTCAGCACCTCGTGCCTCTCTCCCTCCTCCCTGTTTCCTCTCTTCTCACACTCTTTAATAATACTGTTATCTCCTCTCTCATTTCCTCGGCTCTGTCTCTCCCTCCCTGCCCCTCCATTACTGTTGCTTGATGCCTGCTTGCATGAAGGCTGCAAACTGGAGCCACAGGTGGACTGAAAAGCTCAGTCTTAGATCAGAAGTGTCAAACTAACCAAATGCTGATGAATGACAATGTCTCTTCTACACTTAACAGCACCTCTGCTCCTCTGTCTCTCTTCTCGGGAATATTGTCCATCATTTCTTTTCTTTGTGGTGTGGTTGTGTGGATAGCCAGTGTCAGAGAACAGGAGGCTTCTCTTCTGCTGCATGTGGAGTGGTGCTCTACCTTTAGGCATGCTACAGGCCTGCTGAGTATCTGTCTCTCTGAGTTTAGACTGGTTTAGCTTTGCCTCAGACCACAACATGAACTGTGTCAATTTAACAAATGTAGTTTATCCCCATAAACATGTGTGTGTTATCTGAATGTAAATTCACATGATGTGTTTACACTACACAACAATAGCTAACAGTGCATTCAGATCAGGCAGCTCTTAATGTAAACACTATGTATGGCAGGCTTGTCATGGTGCTGAGATGTAGGTTAGAGCATATAGGTCACAGTAGAAACACAAACAATAGGAGCCTCTGCCCACTGGGACCACACCGCCTCTGCTCTTTAATGGATTCATTTCTCCAGGGACATCAGTGCGGCATGACAGAAGCAGCACACACATGCACAAGCACACACGTGCAAGCACACACATGTGCACGCACACATGCGCACGCACACAAACACATGGACACACACACATGCACGTGCACCTGCCTTTTCTCATCGTGTCTAACTGGCAGAGCATTCACCAGCACAGGGCCAAATCCATCCACAGAGCACTTCATGTGCTCAAATCTGCTCAAACTGATTACAGGGCCACACAGTGCACTTGTGTGAGCGCATGTTACCTGTGTATCAGGGACAGAGTTCAGTCATCCACAGATCCATCTGAAGTTATAGTCCCCATATTCATTCTTAATCTTGAATAAATACATCTGATCGCTATCATTCACGTAGCATAACAGAGTAGCAGTAGGCAGAAAATAAAGTAGACTTTTAACAATGTGCTTGTTTTATTTCTTCTATCTTAAACTTTGTACATTTCCCTCCACAGCCAAGTGCTTCCTGATAACTACTTCTTTCTTTGTTTTGTTTTACTCGTGCCAAAGTTCAATAAGTGTTGTGTTGACTGGGGCTTGTTTCTGTCTGTGTTGCAGGGTGAAAGAATTGAAAAGGGCCAGGGAACATGAGACACCTCCGAAGAGCCCCCTCGCAATGTGACATCCTTCTCCTGACTTTATTTTTGTTCGTACCCAAGACATTTTACAAAGGGAAAATTGGGTGTTGGGGCAGCGATTCATAAACTTATTAAGGGTTTCAAATAATATCACGTGTACAACAGCATTTTTTCACATCCGGACGGAGAACGGCGACTCTACGGGACTCTAAACTCCAAGGGTTAATGTGTGGGGTGCTGGACATTTGCTTTGCTGCATTTTTTGCACTTTTTGTCATGGATTTTATTTATTTTTATTTAAATTTTTTTACTTTTTTTTTTGGGAAATGACATTGGAAGCAAACATGGTGTGAAGATTAGACTGAGAAGAGAAGATCTCAGAGGATAGGGACAAAGACACTCTGGGCTCCAATTCATCATTTTTTTGGATTATTTTCAAAAACCAAAATGTATTGATCAACCGCACCTTCGTATCCACCGCTGTAGATAATCTTAGTTGAGCTTCTCATCCTTCCCCAGCCGCCTGCCCACGCTCGGGTAGAGCTACGATTGAATGTAGTCGGGGTTCACCACACAAAAAATGGGGAGATGAAATATTTAGTTTGGTCATTTTTTTGTCCCAAAATATCAGTGTCCCTCGATTACTTGAATTAGTTCCACACTGTCCACTGTACCTGTTACATCGTTGTATTAGTGAGCTGTATCTCCAGACTATATGTGGTTAAATACTTCCCAGAAAAATGCATGACTTCTTGGGGAGAAATTGTCTGCTTGTGTGCTTATGGTCTAGTCTTTCAGCCTATCCTCTGACTTCATTTTGGATTTCCAGTTTAGTGGTCACTCATTGGATATTGCTCTTCTCAAACCCAGATAAAAACTTGCCTATTTTTTGTGTTGTAAGGTCATGCGAATTTTAAGTGTTGTTTTTACATGAACTTGGGGGTCCGCTTGAGACCCTTAAGGGGGAGATCACATACATTGCCTTGACGTCTTAGAGATTCTTTGAGGGGTCCCTAAGCTTGTCCCAAACTAGGGGTTTGACAAATCCATATTTTTGACAATTGAGCGATTTCTGTATATAAAGAAGGCTGAAAGTAAGTAGAAAAAAAACATTTACCCAAAGGGGATTGTATTTTAGAAATATATTATTTTATTCATTAAAAAAGGGGTCAAAAACTGGTACGTGACAAAAACAAAATATTTGTATAGTTTTGTTTGAATGCCTCAGAAGTATGGTTGTATTGTTTGTATATAGTGTAAATATCTGGGATCTAAATGAGCTATGTGCATGAGAAGTACACAACAGAGTTAAAGGGAAAAAACAACAAAAGCAGTAGTGGCTATGCTCTGTAAAATGAAAAGTATTTCACTATTAGAGTATTTTATTTTATTTGGATTGTTCTTGAGGAGAACAGTTTTGCTAAAGCATGATATTATTGCAATATGAAAAAATGAAAAATACAGTATTTAGAGTTAGGAAAAGTCTGCAGATTATCTTAAAACAACTTCTGTTTACATTTTTTATTTATATTTATTTTATTTTGGGCTACCAAGAATCTTTTGCCAATGGTGCCAAGTGAATGCTAACTAGCTTAAGAGTTAAGTTATTTTTGCAGAACAGATAATCATCAGTGAAGTCCACACTAGCACTCCAAGCCGTAGGATCACAAGAACAAAAGGAACACAGACTGCGTAGAAAATCCCATTTAGCCATCAAATGTCATCACATGATCATAGAAACGTAAGCATTTATTTTGAAAACCTCTGAGCTTTTAATGTTGCGGTCATTTCAAATGGAATGTCATTTGTTACTGTGGTTTGATCTTAAAGATTGTAAAGGCAGCCTTGCCCATGGTGACACCACCAGCCCTCTCATTGTCTCATCAAAGACACTTTGTGTCAGTATCACTATAGTTATTCTGCCATAAACCTAGTATTCAAATGTGTGTTATGAAAATATCCCTGTTCAAGGCTGCCAAACCTGAATATGCTATGTATTCAATGTACAGACCTACATTAAGACCATGTGTAGCATAATGTACATGGGGATGATCACAGAGCAGCTCCAATGTTATTGAATGCCCTGGTGCCATGTTAAGTGAAGGCTGTTTATGAACTGTAACTCACTAGAGCTGCTGATTTGGTGCCTGTCGGCTGCTGCATTATTCATGTAATATCTGTAGCAGAGCTACCAGGAAGTGTATTCTGTATCCAACTGACACCATTGGATTATTCAGACAAGTGCCACTGCAAACCTGCGTTTGTTCATTGATATTGTACCATGTGATTTGGTCCACAAAGGTTCTCCCTGCGTGTTATGTAGAAAGTGCCTCTTCATATGTGCATCACCTGAGTTTGTAACTAAAGCTAATCCTCACATCCACTCAAACCCAGCACCGCTGCAACTGTCCACAGGCTTCCCTTTGTTTGCTTTACGTCTGTTCCTCTGTTTCCAATGCCTTTTCAAGTCACACTACAAATGCCACTACTGGGGTTTGTTGGGGCATTCTTCCTCAGTGCTGTGGTCAGAATGCATAGCCAATGCAATGTGGTGGCAAAGGAGAAGGATCTATTATGCTTGCATGGGTAAAATAGTTAACTTGGTGACTTTGGTGCACCTAAAGCATGCTTATTTTCCTAGAATCGGTAGTCGGATAGACTTGTAAAAGACGCTGCTTTGACGTGTGTCACAGAACTCTGAAAGACAGAGAGCGTGTGACTGCAGAATACAGTGAGCACCACTCAGAGACAGGATTCACTTTAAACAAACTTTGAACTTTTCTTTTTAACTTTTCCTTTATCATTTAGATGTAGACCATTCCAGGCTTGGGCTAGAGCGAGAGTAGAGACCAGTGAGAGAGACACAGTAAATTAGACACAACCGCATATGCACAAGGACAGGTACGCACACTCACACACTACACAAACACACATGCACACACAATTACACAGACACACACATACACACACAGACACGAAGCACACTCTCTCTGTATTTTACTCAGGCGTCCAAAATGGGGAGGAGGAAAAAGAGCAGAACAAGCTCTGTTCAAACATCAATTCTACTCAAACTTCTGGGCTAAATTGTAATATTTTACATCCAAATGAAAGAACCGGGGCGTAATCTGATTTCCTCTTTGCGCCGGAGAGCATTACACACACCAGTGGAGCCTAACGTGCCATTATATATTGCTCATTAATATAAATGATTTGACATTCTTTCACAGTTGCCCATTCAATCAGGGTACAAGTCTCTGGCGGTTATTTGGGCCTTTAATTTATCTTTGACAAAGTACAGAGGGAGCCCCGATCCAGAGCGCACTTATCTGAAAGTTCACCTGCAAATCTTATTTTTACTGCCACTACTGAATGAGATGACAGGTTAGCTTAGGGGCACGTCCTATTCTCTTGTGATACGGCCACTCCTCCTCTTCCTTTGACCCTCTCAAAGCTCCCCACAGGTAGCCACAGCCGGACTAACAGTCGTTCAACATGTACCACTCGCACACCAAGCAATAAAGAACTATTTGTGGAGACCTCTAGACCTAGTGACAAATGATTGGATATATGTAGTCGACTTTCTCTTATGCAAATGCCAGTATTGCAAGACAAGCATTCAGTAGTTTTATGGACAGCAATCTTATGGCACCCTTTACCGAAACTGCACGTTTTCATCAATTCCGAAAACCGTAAAAGAAAAGCAGGCCCTGCTTTGATAGGAAGTCTTGGGTCCTCGACACTTTGCATGTGAACTAGCGTTAGATCTGTTTTCCGCTCCTATAGTTGTCTATCTCTGTCTTTCTCTGTTATGTGACCTCATTTATTTTACAAGCCCCGCCCCCTCTCCTTAAAATACTTTCATCTTCTCTGGGTTCTCCTAACGTGTTATACTTTTGTCCCTTTTTCTTCCTGTTCTCTTCTTTGTAAGTTTTATTTTTGTAATTGTGCATGTACAAGCGTCACTGACTCGATGGAAATGTTTAAAATAAAAAAGAGATTTCAGCTGCTGAAGCCATGCAAAACATTTTGAATTGCCCTTAAAATATGGAAGATGTTTTCTGAATGCTTTATATTCTTTCTGCTGTAAAATAATAAAAAAATGAAATAATTGAGAAAACTTGACAAAATGATTCCTATGTGATTTTGTTCCCTTTTCAAATGAAATGAAACAGAACCTGAATGTACTTTAACATGTTTTATTAAGTATTGTACATCATATTCACAAGATTAAGTTCAAAATAGTCAGTTCCAGTCACCTTCATAACACAAAAGTATGGGCTGTGCATGCGTGTCCACACATACATGTTCAAAAGTAATCCTGTGTAAGTGCAGAGAAAGTGCAGACTCCAGTGTTAGACACAGTATTTCCAAAAACAGTCAGCTGTCCCTGCTCTCTTCCTGAAGTGTTTTCGGATGCCCAGCACATGGCTCAGTGGACTGAACACAGCAGCCTGTGGCACAAGGGGAGGCACTCAGACAAATGTCAAACACAAACATGGACAAAACAAAGGAAAAAACTCCTCACCTCTCTGCTCAATGCTCTTGGAAACAGTCCTGTTGTTCTCAGATCTGACAGAGGTCACAAAAATACACAATTATTCAACAAGTTACTTAAAGATCCATGGAGATGACATTGGCATCTTTATTTATGGAGAATAGGTGATGCCACTTGGCCAACTTACAGATAATTAAGAATGCATTTTCTCAAGATATGTATCAAAGTCTAATGCCATACTGTTGAACATTCCTGGCAAAGCAATAATCTTTCTCTGAGATCAGCAGGTGACAAGCTTTATACCCGAAGATCTCCTAAATCAAATTCATCTGGATCTATCCACTGCATCAAACAAGTCTATAACCAAAGTACAAGAATGACATAAGTTATGCACTTGGCACCCTAAGTGAAAGTGTCTGACCGTCTCTGCTGATGTCCACAGGGAGCAGAGTGGACAGTCTGAGAGCTGCTGCTGCGTCCGGAGGCTCAGACAGAGACAGCTCGTCCAGAGTTCCCAGAGCGTGCTCCTCCACAGACACTGAGGGGACAGGCGCTGTGTCAGTGTATGTGGGCAATACTGAGTGAAGTCCTTTTATTTTAGTCCTGCTTTAGTCTGGTAAGGGCTTTAGTCATATTCATGGCTTTCAGCCTTATATTTATAGGTGATATTTTCAGGACTTTTGACCATTCGAAATGTATAATTTTAGTTGTAGACTGTAAATTGATTTAGCAACTCTGCAAATGTTTCACCAATTTGAAGCCCATTTCTGTTGACATCAGTGGTTTAGCGCTGTTTTAGTTACTTTTTAGTTGTGCCGGTGCAATGCATTGTTACTCCATTCGTTTCCTGACTTGGTTTTGTCCTAGTTTGATTTATTTATTTTATTATTATTTTTTTTTTTTTTTATAAAAGTGCACTCTGTAACAATTCTGGTGTGAGTCAGTTACCTGCTTCAAATAGCATTAATCAAACATTTCACCAAAAATACCTTGAAAAGCATGACTTGTTACAGTGAGTGGGCTTGCCTCTCCACAGATCTTACCTGTAACTGGGCTTGGTCACATCACCTGCTTTTTCCAGGAATAGTGCCATTTAATGCCGTACTGTGGAACATCCAAGGCAAAGCAATACGATCCACGGAGACAAGCAGGTGACCCTCCATCAGAAAAATTACATAATGCACTTTTACGTCCTTCTTTGGCCCTGTATTTGTCCTGTAAGGTCTGTTTAGTTCTGGTTGAGAACTAGTGTAAACTTGCTATTTTATCAAAGTTTTGTCGCTTGGTTTTATCACAAATGTGTTGTTTGGTTTTATCGCCAAAATTTTATATTAATTTTAACTTAAATGTATGTATGAATACTTAATCCATAATTAATAAACAGTTTATAACGAGTCTTATTATGATTAATTCTTAGAAACTACATAATACCCTAACTCCTAACCTTAACTCCATAATTAAGTGGTTACAAAGCCTGTGTCATTCTTGATGAACTATTTGTTCCTTGTGGATTAAGTAAAAAGTTGTTTTAGTTAAAGTGTTACTGACTTACTGACTTCCACATATTCCTTATATGTTACAAGTTTTCTTCTTACCTGGTCCTTGGTAAGGCATTTCTGCAGAGTCTGTGATGGGATGAGCCAATAGTGAAGCAGCGCTCACGAGGAGAAAGGCCCAGGACACGAGATGGTTCATGCCTCGTTTGAAGAGTGAAGGTTTGGCTACTGTCCTCTGGCTTAACAAACACTGCTATTGTCTCTGTCCATTCAAAGCGCTTTATATATTCTTCAATCTTTCTCCCCCTCCCACTTACACTACTGTACACGACCACCGCAACTAGCTCTATCCTGTAGCCGCAGTGACCTAACACTACCATAAATCTACATGCAGTCACAGGTGAATTATGGCCCACTATAAAAACACAAGTTGCGGCCTATGCGTCAAGGGCACTGTGATGTTTTACCATCCTTTTGATTTGATTGACTGTTTTCACTCAGTTGCTAAATTGAATTGAACCAAGTGTGTTGACATTATACATATAAGGGGAGCAGGTGGCCATCCAGTCAAATTATGTTTTTATATCAACATTCATTCATCTCATTTAAATCCGTTCGACTCAAGCGCTCATAAACCTGCATCATTGCCAGTACATTTGCTTAGAGAAATGTTAAAGAGGTCGAAGCGTGCCAGTTTGACATTAATTTTGTTTTGTAATTAATTTTGCCCTGCTCAAAAAGCACGCTGATTGATGCATAATTTTTTTAGAGGGAGAAGTTATAGTCTCCTCATGTCAAATAAATACCACTTTATTAGGTCAAGCTGTAACAGGCCTAGGTAGCCCTTTTCTATTTGTATATTTATTAGAAATTTGGCGTCAATCTTGTGCTCCTTGTATGATAATGAGGCTGCTTGAAGTTACACTGACATTTAATTTTATGGTTGGGAGGCCAGACACTCGCTTGTGTTCTGTGTTGCAGTATATCATGAAAACCTATTAAGATTTATATAGTCTATTAGGCCAGGCCCTGTCATTCGCAACTTATTCCAGCCACTCAAATAAATGTGCTTTATGACACCTGACCCGAGGCCTGTCACCACAGATTCGAGGTCCACTTTATTGGAAATTAACTGTTTTGGACCACATTTTCAATTACTGCCAAAACAAGTTAAGATGAACTACGCATAATCACTGTGCATAATCTGGATTGTAGAAATTAAAGTGCCCATATTAACATATTTTCTGATCAATGTTGTAATGTTGTTTCTGCATCGAAAACATACCAAGAGCTTTATTTTGTTTTATTTACATGTTTATCACACAAATCCTGCTTATTTAGGCTGAGTTCTTCTCTCAAACAGAAAACACTCTGTTCCACCTTGTGATGTCATGTGGTAATACAGGAAGTGCTCTATTGTGTTTTTAAACTTCATACACCTTCACTAGAATAATTTGGACAATTTCAGCCCTATCTCTACTAAACAAAACACAAAAGGGAGCTTGAAAGGTTAACTTGAAAAGTAGCACATCATGACATCACAAGGTGGAACAGGACATTTTGATCTTTGGAGATGTAGACAGATTAATAATAAAACATTTAAACTTAACTTAATAAAATTTTTAAAAACTCAACTGTTCAAACGGGCATTCCCTCCATGATTCCCCCGATTTCTACTTTCTACTTTCTTCTTATTTGTTTGCAAAGCATCTTTGAGTGTCCAAAAAAGCGCTATATATAAGTCTGATGTATTATTATTATTATTGATAAAGGCTTACTCAAACATGTGTGAATGAAACAAAACACAACTCTGGGTTTGTTTTTGAGGGGGTATCAGCATTAGAGTTCATTTTGAAGAGTTAATTTAACATAATGTAGAACTTTTACGTAGCCTACCATATTGTGCATTAATTAATGCAATGTCCTTCCAATTACATTAACTTCAAATCATAAATCAGATCTTACATACAGTTAGGTTCATCATTACATTTTCTCTTTATTCAGTTGTTGTTTTTCCAAATAACTTTTGCTTTTACTTCAGTAGTTTCTTTCATCACAACTTTATACTTCTACTTGAGTATTAACATAAATCATTAGGCCTGTTTATTTTTCTCAATATTTAATTTTTAGTTTTATTTGAACAATTTACTTCTGTGGTTGATAATAGCCTAATTAATTTACCCTGGCATGTTAGATTACAAGTTGTGAAAATTGTTGTTTGTAATACTTTTATGAGACTTACTTTAGTGAACATGTATCCGTGGTGTACTGTAAGCGATACTAACATGCATTTTCAAGCATCCATGTGTTATCTCAAGAGAAAAGCACAAACAGCTGCAGATCGGACTTGGCATGTTGGACATTCTTTAGGTTCTGTGCTATGTGATCTGACAGGTCTGACTGGTGCAAGCACTCAGCAGAGGGCAGCATTACCCCTACAAATACCCTTTAACATTTGCTCTATTTTGCATTATAGACTTTTAAATGTCATAATTGTAGCCTAAGGTTATAGAGAACTGCAAGTGGACTTTTGTTTTCTTACAACAAGTGATCCCTATTGGGCTTTTCAGTTTGCTTTGCTGACCTAAGAAAAAACAGTGGACCTATATAGACTATATTTAAACAATGCAGATTGAGTTTAAAGCAAGAAAACTGCCTGAGTAAAGATTAATTATCAGTCATATATATTTCCTTTTTCTTGGCATATGTTTTCATCTTGTTTTACACTATAGTTGCCTATTGGTACCATCAGATAGACCTAATTTGGGACAACATACTGCATACACTGTTTATTCAGCTTGTTTTTCTTCCCTTTTATTTAATAACAGTTGGTTTCACAAAGAATCTATTTAGTGCACATACTGAGCATTTGGGCAGTCAAAGGAGGCATTCACAGTTTTTGGACAAAGAATTTCCATAATGTCATTCAGCCTACGCCACGTCTCAGCTTCAATTAATCTTATATTAGTCACACAATTCGTGCAACGCCGTTTTATAACTATGAAATGAGTTATTGTATTTCGTGTAAAAGGTTAATTTAAGTTTATTTAATATTAGATCATCGTTTTTGAGACTAGCGGACTGTGTAGAAACTTTGGAAGAGCGTATTGTGGAGAGGTTCCGTGAACGCAACCCGCCCACTCTGAACAGGAGCCGTGAAGAAGCGCAGGCTGTGGGCGAAGTTTGTCCACACGGGCTTCCCATCAACCCAACCACGGGGCTTTTGTTTCGCAGAGAACAACAGCAGCCCTAAACACCGCTTTTCTACCTCTTTTTACCTTTAATCGTGTCGTTTTTGTTCATCCAGAAACGCGTTCTGAAGAAGAGAAAGAAAAAAAGTAGGTGTGCGGCTCGGGGGACGCGTAAAGTTGACAGTTTGATGGTGTCAGGACTTGTTGAGTCGAGTAGTTTAAAGACAGCACTTCGCCTGGACTGGACTGGGAAAAGGTAGGCTACGAAACTGTTTTAGATGAAAAGAAAGCAATAATGTAGCAGCCAGCTTTCTTCAATGTAAATGACAATGGCTTGATAAATAACCATTACCAAACAATAGCTTAAACGTGGAAGGAAAAAACGCATACACACTTTTTGTCTGTGAATTTCTGTACGTGTTCTTTTGTGATTAGGTTTGGTGTGTTAACTTTTTTTTTTTTCCTTAAAGCTTTAAAAAGTATATATAAAAATGTCAGAAAGAGGGTTTCTTTGACTTGTGTCTACATATGTATTAACATTAGTCTATATGTCACAAATCTATCAAATCTTATATCTATCTATCTCATCTAATTTATGTTCACATCTATGTTCATATAGTATGAAAGTGGTTGTGCGTGCGTGAGTGATGATGGTGGTTGGAGAGGTCAATGGCGTAGACTGGCATCCATCAGTCTGCCCCAGAGCAGCTGTGGCTACAATAGTAGCATAACACCACAGGGTATGGAGTGAACGAATAATGCTCTGTAAAGTGTCTTTGTGTGTCGAGAAAAGCGATATATTAAACTGATGCTTTTTTTTTTTTATTGTGTCTCTCTATGTTAATACGTTCTTCCCTATTATTGTGCTGAATATTATGTGCTATAAGTGAGACATCTGCTTGATCACTGGACATGTCTTCTTTGTGGACAGTGTCCCTTGAGTCACCATGAGACACTGACAGCGCACACAACAATGGCAGAGGTGGAGATAGACCAGTCTCACTTACCCCGTGTTGAAGAAGGTAAGCCCACGCACGCGCTCACACCTTTGGCACCACTTTTGCCTCATAAAAAGTTAAGTACACTCCCATACCGCCCTGGGATACTGTGAAAGTGTTTCAGTGTGTGCTGTGTGAACATGTGCTTTTGTTTAGACCCGCCAAATGCAAGTCAGAGGTGAGGGTCAGCCATTCAAAAGCCAGAACAAGAAGCCAGAGATTTATTGAATAGTGGACAATGAAGTAGTGTTGGGTTATATTTGGTTCCTCGCAGTTTAAAGGGCTACTATATAACTTTTCTGATGTCCACCACTCATTACCACGGATATGACTTTGTCTGGGATTTTCCATCTTATTGCATTGAATTTATCTGTCTTGCAATCATTAATTTGTTGTTTTTATTTCTCAAAAATCATTGAAGAACATGCATGCATTGCCTGTTGTGAGCAGGCTTGCCTCTCTGAAGATCTGCTCTGTAACTTGGCCCAGTGGGTTCATTTGATTGTCTCTCTGGACATACTTATGCTCAATCATACTGTGGAACATTTTAGGCGAAGAGACCAGAAAAGTTGCAACTTGCTACTTTAACAAAACTGTAGTCGGTGTGCAACAATGTGCAAAACAAAATATAGAAAAATGCCCAGTTTTAGTTGTGCCCTTCTAATCTTATTCTGTGTGTACAGTACAGTTTTTCATTGCATGTTAATTGCTATGTAGTGTGAGCTGGTTGGAGACCGTTGACACATCCTTTCACACTGAACCAGAGCAGAGAATAGAAGTAGGTCTGGGCTGCTTGTCTATTATCAGCCTGGGCATAATTCAGCTGCACTGTTGTCTCCAAAACAAAGCGGGCCTTATGCTGCTCCGCCTTTGTATCTATTGGGATAACCGCACACAAACATAAAAGACCAATCTAGTTCTATAATGCCTATACACTAAGTACCTCATGTGTAACCCTTTACATCTGTCTACGTCTCCAAAGCTCAGAATGCTCTGTTCCACTGTGTGATATCATGAAGCGGTAGGTAGGCAATTCCAGGGCTAAAATTATCCCTAGTGATGCTGTATGGCGTTTAAAAACACAGTAGAGTACTTCCTGTATTAATGCATGACATCACAAGGTGGAACACAATGTTTTCCGTTTGATAAATTTACAGTCTAAATTTGCAGGGTTTGTGTGTTAAACATATGAATGAAACAAAACACAACTCCAGGTCTGTTTTTCATGAGGAAACCACATTATAACATAGGTCAGCATAATAGGGGTCCTTTAAAGTACAATCTTATAATCATCCCAATATCCTGACTAAGATTATACCAAACTAGGACTAAGTAAGATCAACAAAGCATGATATATGTCACATAAAACAGTTGTATAGTTCTTTTCTTCTCCAATTATGGACTCAAAGCACTAAACTGAGCTCTCTTTCATTCATACACAATTGCACACAGAAACTTGAGGTTAGGTCCGTGCCTGGCCTAGCATGCAACAAAGTTAGACTTAAACAAACTTTACCGTTTCACAAGGGAAATTACAAGGACACATAGCCCACAAATGCATAAATAGTTGTTATTAACAAAAAGTAAAGAAAGAGTAAGGTTTGTATTTAAAGTAGTAGCTGTACAAGGCAAAGCTTAAGATATCTGATATGCCTACTCTGAACTACAAAGGACTTCTGAGCACCACTAAGAGAACTCCCATACCACACAGATATTTGTACCATAGTTTGAGAACCATTTTTAGACTATGCCTTGTTCATTTGTAGCAGGATTCTCCGTCACATCCATCTTTATTAAGCATTTGTCCTACTTTGTCTCATGTGGGTTAGTTTTGCTTCTTGTTTTCAGTGTTTATGTAATGTTTCCTCTGGAGGCCTACTTCCCGTGCCCCTCTTCTCCAACACTTTCGTCTCACGTGAACCCCTAATCATGTCAACTTTCTTTGTTTTCTCTGCTCCTTATCAGTTCCTGTTTTTGCTCCTCTTATGTCCGTTCTTGATATAGCTCATGTGCTGAGGGAACGCTGCTCCCAGTAGAATTCCAACCCCCCTCCTCCCCCTCCTTCACCTATTCCTAATTTCAGCCTCTCCAATGAATCCACAACCCCATTACCCCATCACCTCCTTTTGCACTCCCTCCCCCCATAATGATGACAGTCCTGGCCCAGATCTGGTCCACAGCACAGTGCAGCAGACAAGCAGTGGATGGAGAAATATTTTTGGAGGAAAAAGCGGTGTGTAGGAGGCCAGAGCAGAGGAAGGAGGAGAGGGAACTGAAAGGGCCGAGCGAGTGTGGGTTGAATCAGCGAAAGGGCAGGTGTGGGAGAAAGAGGGAGTGAGGGGGAGAGAGGAGGAAAGGAGAGAGAAAAAAAAGAAGAGAGAGAGAAAAGGGCAGAGAGAGAGCAAGAAAGAGAGAGGAGATGGAAAAAAAAGGAGAGAGTGGGAGAAAGGGAGAGAGAGCAAATAGGAAAGACTGATAGAGAAAAGAGCAGAGGGAGAGAGAGAAAAAATGAGGGGGCAAGAGAAAAAAGGGCATAGAGAGAGAGTGAGAGGGCAAGGGGGGGTGAGAGAGGGAGAGAGGGAAGGGAATAATAGAGGAGGAGAGAGGGAAAGAGAGAAAGATTTGGTCTGAAAATAGAAAGCATGTCATTTTCTCCTCTGGCCTGTGTCTTTGTGTCTGTGTCTGCAGACTCCACAAGTGACTGAAGATTTAGCAGACTGCAGCGACTGTGCTTTCATGTTTTATTCCCCTGCACTTATGGGCTGCTTTTTATAATGCTGTGGGACGAGAGGCACAACGTCTGCAACTTCTTACAACTACCATTTGAAAAGTTTGTTACTATAATGCAGAATGAATGTGCTTAATATAGTAGAAACAATATTGCAATAAGAATGCATTTTTCATGTTCTTAAGCATACTTTTACTTTTAACTTTATGAGATGCACAGAATAAACTCTGGATTCCAAATAGATCTCACTGTATTCGTTATAGTAGTAGCAAACTGCAGTTAGTACTGGTAATAATGGTTCCAGCCGCAGCAGTAGTAATAAGTATTTTGGCCTCAGTGGCAAAGAGTAATTATAGGACTAATAGTACTGCCACTCAAAACAAGAGGGGAAAACAAATCTGGTTATTAAAGGTGCACACTGAAGCATTTCTGGTGCAGGGTCAGCTACCTATCTGTCTCCATGGGTGTGACTGCTTTGTCCGAAATGTTCCACAGTATGGGATTAAGTTATCTATTTTGCATTTAATCAATAGCATGTTTTTATTGCATGCATTCTTATCAGCGATGTTGCCTCTCCACAAATCTGACCTTTTAAATTGGACTCTAACTTGGCTTTGTAGTGTTACTTGCTTGTCTTCATGTTTAGAGCCATATTGTGGAACATTCTTGGCAAAAGAAACGCATCTCCATGGGCACAAGCTGATGGCAAACCATTCACCAGAAAAAGTTTTCCCTAAATAGTCCATCTTTAATGTTCACTGACCTTTTTGATCTTATGTAAAATGTGTAGCAACAATATGTTTACAGATTACTAAAGTTAACAGTTAAAGTTGTCTAACATTGAAAGTAGTTCTACGTGAGCCTTGTCGTAACTGTCAGCTCTCCCAGACTGAATAATGTTATTGTATTAGGGGTCACATGGGTCACTGTTTCCTGCCTTTCTACAGTCCCCTTCCCTCAAAGTCAAACATCACAGATAAGATCCAATCATGTTTTCACTTCTTATCTCCATGGTCAGGCTTCTTGTGTTCTTGACCTGAGCATCCAAATGACACATCCCATTTCTGCTGTCTGCTCTGAGCTGGTCGCTGAACATCCTCTTAAGAAACAGACTTTATGGGGTCCACCCTATGGCCTTTCTAAGCTGATTACATAGAGAGTCTGTCTTAAGTCTATGAAAACACTTCAGGCGTGTGTTTTACTGCTGGCCCTGAACGTCTCACACCCCAAACCTGTCTGGCAATAGTAATAGCAGTCTAGAAGTGTCCCTCCCCTTAGAGTCTATTGTGACAGTTGTGCTCCAAACAAGTTATCCCGCAATGTAGACACACCCACAACCACAGAACTTATTTCTCTTCTCCGTCACTGCTCTCACAGCTGGTCCATACAATTAAACCCTTTCTGGTGATATTACTTTTTCCTGTCAGATTAAGATTAAATTCAACCTGTTTTCTCTGACATAGGCCATAACCCGTGAGGCCAAATTGTCTATCCGTTTAGTGGTTTCAGGTTAAGCTCCTCGACAGGTGTAAGTGGCTGTGTGTCTGTGCTGTACAGAAGGCAAGCTTCTCTAATGATGTAAACAGTGAGAGCTGATGCCCCGTTGACTTAAAGTGACCCATGAACTTCAGGGCATCCTTCATTTTTGACAGTGGGGCCATGCCTAGATTAGCTTTAATTCTCTTGAAGAAAAGAAGGAAAATATTTGTCTGGTGGAAGGTCTGTCTGCTGCTCGTCTCTATGGGAATGCTTTTGCTTTCCCTGGAATGTTTCACAGTATGGCATTAAACATATCAATTACAGATGTGTTTTTTTTAATTATTAAAACGGGTGTTCTTACAGCGAGCAGGGTCACTTCTCCACAGATCTGACCTGTAATTTACCCTAGTGTTATTTTAAAGTGCACTATAAATCAAGTTTGGACAGTTTCCCTGCCATACTGTTTTGATAGCATACATACTTCTTTGTTAGGGTTATTATTCACTAAGGGCTGGTCAAATGCCCATGTACTAATTGGAACTTGTGACTAAATTGTAAGCATTATAGTTGTACTCACATCAGTGGGATACATTCTGACCATTCATGAAATGTTTTACTTTGCGGATCTACTAGTATATACGAATTCAGATTTGTATTGTATGCAGAGGAGATTTTTTTTTTGCCTCCATAGTCTAAAAATAATCTGAACAAAAAAATGGTCAAACTAATCACACTGTAAACAAATAGAGTTAACTTTGTATCTGTATCTGTATTTAGTCTTGTTTTTATCAGCAGAGCCAAAAATTCACGTTATTCTCCATATATTGTATTGAATAAAATATGATTCAAATATGAGTCACTTGTGTTAGTGTAGTCTCAGTAAAACTTGTGGGAAACACTGTTACACACTGAATAAAAAGATGGTTATTATCATGACTGCAGTATTGACAGTTATTTAGTATCAAACCTTTCCCAAGTTTAAAATGCGAGTATTGTGACAACACTAATCTACTATCAGAACTATAATCTCATAAACCTGTCATTATGAGCTACATGTGTCTTAATGTGTCGTCCTTCTCATTTAAAGCATGTGACACTAAAGACATGGACTTGCACTGTTGTTGTTTCAGAGGCATGCAGGCGCTCGGGGGAGGGATTAAAACCAGACAGATGATTTTAATTGGCTCTGCTCCTGTCCCGGGACCCAGGCTGTTCCCACTGCACCCAGCTCGCCCTAATCTCCTAAACACAGACCATTTCTCTGCCATTTCAACTCTCAAAAGGTAGTCATTTAGCCCGGCGTGAGAAAAGGGAAAGCTGACAGGAGTCCTTCCATGCACGCACCATTACTGTGGCCCTGTTTATATTCACTTGGAGAACTTGTGAGTTTGTTTGACAGGCTCCAAACAGAAACGGACTATGGTACATTGAAGTAGTCCGAACCATTAAACACTATTGTAAACACAGTGCAGACTTTGGAGGCAAAAGTGAAGCTAAGTAAGGTAATAGTTGTGATATGTGCTCTTACTGTTTTCAAAATGTCAGTGCTCAAACAAAATCTGCATACTGAGGGCACATCTAGACATCATCGAGACATCTTATAGAGTAGTGATTCCCAAATTTGGGCCCTAAAGAGTTCAAACTGGACAGCTTGATCTAGAATGAAGGAATGGTATGTTAAGTGCTTCTATACTGTATTTATACTGTCTAATGTCTTCTAGCGTCTACATCATTGTTATATTTTTCCTTCGGGACAGTAACTTCTCAGGTTGGAGAGGGATTTGGGGGTCACCAGCATATTACCTGAAAAAATAGAGGTCACAGAGAGAGAAAATGTGGGGGACTGCTTATAGCTTTATTAAGTATATGAAAATTGGTTTTATTAGTTGTTGTTTTTTTTGCTCGGCTCATTCTGATTGGTTTTAGAATGCATTCATTTAACTTAACTACAAGTTGTTATTGTAAGAACAATAATTGATGTTTTACTTTACAAATCAGACTGAAATAGTTATTATTCACTACTCCCTTTTTGTCCACTAAACCCCCGTGTTATGCCTGAAACATTTATGGACCATTATTCTTCTAAGATTCTCACTTGTCTGTTTAAGCTCTTGTTCTTCTCATGGTTTGCCAGCTTTTAAAGAATAACATTGGGATCCTTAAGCAGTGACATGAAAACTGATCTGTTTTATCATGGCGTCGCACAGCAGGTGGCTAGACTGGGGGATTATGGGATATTGAATGGTACCTTCTACTCAGAACGGCTTTACGGAGCTTTTAGTGAAATCTTCTGGATATAAGAGACATTTCACTCAGTGCTGCTGCATTGGCTCCATCTGCAGCGCTCTTAGCAAACCAACTTTGCATCTTCATTTGTTATTCAGAGAGTGTGTTTAGTGAGCAATCAACCGCACATACTGATTCCCTGTCTAATATATTTCTTCAAACTGCTCAACAATTTAGGAAAATATGTCATTGTGATTTTTCTGCATTGCAAATTGATTTTTTGAATTAAGATTCAGTTCACAGTGCATGCACTCACATTTTAGCATCTCCCAAGAGCATTCATGTTTGTGTTTAAACAGAAATAGTTATAGCTTATCTAATACGAGAATCACATGCGGTTCATGAACATATTTCTCGGGGGCCTAACAGAGTTGGCAGCTTGACATAGGACTGCAGTCAACAACAACAGAAGAGCCTTGGTTGACTAAAGACATGCCCTGTGCTTTGATTAATTGACTAAAAGTACATACAGAGAAGTACTTCTGCTCTATCTGCAATTGAAGTTCCTAACTGATAAATAGTTATTTTAATTAGATTTGAACTGCATATTTGTAAGCAATAAGGAAAATTAAACAGTCCAATCATCCTTCAAACTTCAAACTTCAAGTCACTCTATACTTTCTCCTTTCTGCTGTTCTGCATATAAATCCTATCTATAACTAAAAAATATTAAGCTAAAATAGTTAGTTGACCAACTCCTTTATTACTCACCTAAGACTCCACCAATGATTAATTGAATAAAGAACTAAAGAACTAAAGCCCTAGTTATTAGCATGTTGTGTCTGGCTGTCTGTTTTGATGTTTTTGATTCATTGCAATTATTTTTGCAGGCCTAGCTTAAAAGCACTTGTACCAGAATATGAAATCTGATCTCTGTCTTCCATAGCACTATAATATAGACATAATGTGCACGTTTAGATGACAGTTGTTCCATAGCCTCTTCCAGCACACTGCTGAGAGAACACTTCTAAATCGGGCCCTGTGTTTTTCTGGAGCTCAGCCGCCGTTCCAGTTTGGGGGTTTTATAGGTGCTGCTTATAAAATGTGTTTTTATGCCCTGGTGGACTACATACTGTTATAAGAGGTTCTTTGTCTCTTTTCATAAAACCCATCGATATAAATTCACTTTTGTCTTGTTCATGAGTGTCTTGTTGACCATTTAAGTTTTCTTTTCAAATCGTACCACAGCCGTCACATCCAAAAGTTGTTAAAGTTTATGTTAATTAAAACATGCTGTAGTTGTTTGTATGTTGTGCTGAAGTAGTGCTTTTTGTGTTTTCAGTGCGTCAGAACTTCGCTGTGTTAGAGGATGGAGTCTTGGCACACAGCCTACAGGAGCAGGAGAGTAAGTACAGCAATATCAGAAAATAAAATATTCAATCGATTACTTATCTGGATCTAAATTGAAATCATTAATATTAGAAACGTTTTTATACACTGTTTGGATAAGTTAACCTGTAGAGGAAGAACACACCTACTATCATTTATAAGTAATGTATTTTTATGTTTTTATAGCCTTTATAGATTAGATGAGTGGCTTTGCTCCAGCTGCCCATATGCCCATATCATTTAGAAGTACAGTTAGTTTTTTATGACACACTTTTTGTAATTGATTGGTGCAGTAATGGGAGGATGGGCATTCAGTTACTTGCAGAGCTTTATCTCTTTTTAGAATCAGATTTGTTGTGGGTGCGATTGGGAATGTTGCCCAAACTGCCTTTTTTTGCAATAACTCTATATATTTTCTAATAAAATTATTACTTTTTTTTTTCCTTAGTTGAGCATTACTACATGACAAACATCCAAAAGAATCAGCTGGTGCAAAATGACATCCGTGTGGCAAAGAGACTTCAGGATGAGGAGGAGGAGCAGAGAGCACAGTACAGCGCCCTCCTCAGGCAGACTTCAAGACAAATGTACGTTTTATCAGCAAAATCAACCTTATAATTCAAATTATCAAGAAATTATGAAGAGAATGTAACACACAAAAAACATACAGTATTTCATGTGGCAAAGTTGAGACATTTTCTACTTTATTGAAAAACAATTTGTATTTTTTAAGATAAGATAATCCTTTATTTTAGTGTAATCAAGGCCAATTTTAAGTGGTAATACAAAACCTAAAGAGACACTTAAGCTATACAATTTTGGAAAAATATCTTTTACAATTTTTCTGACAAGCATTGTGATTACAATTCGATTTGCAATTTATGTTGAGATAGCAGCTTTCTGTTCAAAGTTCACATTCGAAAGAAGGAGCATAAACAGAGGTCAGAATTACAAGGTTAACCATTTTTTCTTACATATTAAGAAAGGATATTTTAGTTTGCAGAGAAATGTGTTACTTACACGATTGCAATCTTTTCAATTTGTTCATTGCAAATATTCAAATTGCAATTTCAGTTTGTTTGAGATTAGTCTTGCAGCCCTAATTCTTACCTTTTGGGATATATTGCATTATGGATTTACTTTCTTGTGCTCTGTAGTAAGTAAAGTCATAGTTTTCACAGATATATGTTCCTGCCTGTTTACATATATCTTTTTTGGGATATGTTGGGCTCTGCGTGCTCTATAGTAAGTAAAATAGTAGTTTCCACTGATATATGTTCTTGTCTGTTGCAGGGAGGAGCGGGACTTTGAGTACGCCCGTGTGATCCAGGAGGAGATCCAGAGGAGAGCTGAGGAGGCGCGGCGCAGAGAGATGGACGATGAGGTGAATACTAATCTTTCACCTAAAACTAATCAATGTCATTCTATTGGTTGCCAAGGTTGTAAAGCTCCATTCTGAAAGATTTAGGCCTGTAAAAACACAAGTCCTCTCCCCTGGGTGTCAAGTGTCGGCCAATAAATAGAGCAGAGTAATGTGCTCAATGAACTAGTACAAGGATGTGTCAATGAAAAGCAATTAAAGCCCCCGGCAAGTGCTGTTTTCTTAATAGAGATTATACTAGTGGTTAGAATCAAAATGTCGCCCTGAGCAAAGTATGTCATTGTGCGCATAGGAGTAGAAACTAGCACAGAACTTCGAGATGTTGATGGTATGGTGGCATAGTAGTCAGTGCTTCTTCCTCACAACTAGAAGGTCCCTAGTTAAATTCATGGACCATGTGAAGTTTTGAATGTTCTCCCTTTTTCTACCAAAAAAATATGTACTTTAGGGTTGCCTCAGAGTCCAGTGCTTCCCAGGAAAATGATTGATTTGAATTATGGCTGGATAATATGTATTTTTCTCATATTTATGTTTTTATTTGATTAAAATTTTACCTTATTAAAAACAGGTAAAATTATTTTTCAGAACTTATTTTATGATCGTAACCAGAGGGATCAGTTTCATTTAACACAAAAAAAAAAGTCAAATGTAAGTTGGATCTCAAGTCCAAAACGCACACTTGTACTGACAGAGAATTGACTGTAGAGCTCATCATTGACTTGAAATTATTTGATTTTGATTTGATTAAAATTTAATTACATTCACATCCCCAATCTGAATCATAATGGAACTTGCATGATTGAAGGAAAGTAAAAATGAGAAATTATTACTTAAATTATATCAACTTATTCAGATATAACAGAACTATTTTCCCTTTTCTACTGATCAATTTACAAAAAGAAGCCATATAAAAAAAATTGAGGTGGGACTTGATTTTTAAAAATTAGTAATTAATAATAGGCTTTGTAATTAATTAATCTCAGTTAACTGTTTAACAGTATTTGGGATGACACCTCAGACCAACAGTTCCAGCAGGTTCTGTGCTCTCTGTCACATGTTTTGCATTTAAATGGTGTCGTAGGACTGAGGTGCTTCTGTAATATGCAAACACTTTTCTGCATAGTCCGGAATAAAGTACGCCTTTGTCAATACTTCCATCGGGTCATTTTTTGGATAGAAATTTACCATCCAGCAAACCCAGAGCACTTTCACGCTCCATTGTTCGGAACTGTGTGCATCAGTATAATTGGCGTAAAACAATATGGTGCACAGACAAACATTTCGCATGCAAGCTGCGAGAAAATGCGTTAATATTTTTAATGCAGTTTTCTTTGTAATTAATCGTAATTAACGCTTTAATGTCCCATAAAAAATTTTTTTTTAAAAATTTGTATCCATCTGTCGTACAATAAATTGTCAAGACTTTGTGATAGTGCTGTCCATTCCAGTCTACTACAGTCCAGTCTAGCTTTGCTTCCGCTGTAGGGAGTATTATACCTCAGATGACATAAACCAAGATGACCAAGGACTGAGCTGTCAGTGAGAGCCCTACATACAGCACTTTTAACACCATCCCCCAAAATAAAACAGTTGTTCAAGTTTTATATTTTGTTAAAGCAATCTGGTCGAGCTATACGAACTCAAACCAAATGTCCTATTATCATTTACTGACCATAACGTTTTGCACCATTAAACTTTTGGCAGAAATAATTGGAAACCCCAAGTAAAAAGCCAATGGCCTTTATAAAAACAGAGTACATTATCCTTGTTACGATTCTACAAACTGCAGAAGCCTGAGAGATCACTATGAGAGCTGATCACTGGACATGGCTCCAGGGAGACACATGTTTCATTATGTTTGTGTTGGAGGTGATCAGGACTGGAGGTGTTGACTGCACTATTAGACCCAAGAGCTGATTTGGTTTTCACTGCTGCTTCATAAGAGGCCTGTCGAGAACCAGCTAATGCACAAACAGTCCACTTAAACTAATGGCTATATTTCCAACAACACAGAAGAGGTTTTGTGCTTGTGTCACCACTATGTGTTGTTATCAGCATTAGCGCTACATGATAGTGTTAAAAAAAAGTCAAATTGCAGGATTCTGTTCATCGTGCATATTTTTAACACCTAGGAGGAGTTTGAAATGCTGAACGAATAAAAGAATTCTCCACATTTTACAACATGTTCCTTAAACTACATCTAGATTCTAAACTCCAGAGTGTTTTTTACAATAAACAGAATATATTGGCTGATTTTGTTACTTAAATGGCCCATATTATACTATTTTCTGATTTCCTCATCAAAAACATACGTGGATTTATGTTCAGACAAACCCTGCATATTTAGGATAGAAAAGACCCCACGGGTAATACAGGAAGTACTCAACTGTGTTTTAAATCATTTGGATAATATCAAATCTGATATTGTCTATCTCTACTGATGAAGAGGTAAAAGGTAGCTGCAAACTACTGCTTCATGACCTCATGAGATGAAACAGAACATTTTGAGCTTTGTAGATGAAGACAGACTAATAATAATAAAGGGTTACTCAAACACGTGTGAATGAAACAAAACACAACTCTAGGTATGTTTTGAGGAGGTAACATAACATGACTAAAATAGTCAATTTTGAGTAATAAAAAATTACAGCTTTTGTGATCTAAAATTAAATTGTAATTTATTGTGCAGAATTTAGTGATTATTGCATACCATTCTAGCTGATTTGCGAACAAAGCAAGTCTTAGCTCATCTTAAATGTTAAACAGATGGTCATGGTCCATAAATTATAATTATACAACTGTCATTTCTATGTCTATACTGAGCACAGTTGGAGAAGCAGCATCAAATTCCTTGCTCTGTTTTGATTTCACAGCTCTATCACAATTGGCAGCACATGTTTTCCATCTTGTCAGCTCATACACCACTTTTACAACATGTATTTCTTATTGCAGATTTTAATGACTTTGGTGTAAGCTATAGGGGTAAAATAAATGACAGGGCTAAGCTTTGGAGGACGAGAGTGTTTGGACAAAAACAACTGTAGCTAAGAGCGTTCCCAGCTGGCAGTCAGAGCATAATATTTTCCTCTGGCTGCTAGTTTAGTTTCCTCTCTCTCTTTAGAAGGACACCCTTATGGTTTGGAGGAAGTGAGGTCACAGGGCTGTGGGGTTCATTCATCACAAAAGGGTGCTGTTTTGGGAGAGAAGGTCAGGAAAAGGCCTTTAACTTCAATTTAAAAACATCTCAGACAATAAAAAATGTAAGTAAAAACAGAAATGTATTGTAAGCAAACCTTATATATAAAAAAGTAATAATAGCATAATTAATTCATTGAAGAACATAAGATCCTATAGCTGTGTCACTACCTCTTGTCAGATTGATTGTATTTACTTTTCACTTTCAACTTTACCAATTTATAGTGAAAATATGAATATTATGACTATTAATCAGGTATAGAAAATGTATAATTTGCATCATTCTGTTCATGATACAATATTATGATGATTATGATACAATCTGCAAAGTTTATTGAGTGCATACAAGGATAAACTAGCACAGAACCTCAAGATGTTGACAGTACGGTGGTGTAGTGTGGTGGTTTGAATGTTCTTCCTTTTTCTACCACTAAAAACAAGCACTAAAGAGTTGCATCAAGGGCCAGTGCTTTCCCGAAAAATGGTTAAAAGTTCCATATTATGCTATTTTATGATCTGTTATGTTGTTTCCTCATCAAAACCATTACGTTGTTTTGTTTCATTCACACATTTAACAAACAAACCCTGCATATTTAGGCTGAGTACTTCTTTCAAACAGAAAATACTCCAGTGCTCCATTGTGTTTTTAAACTCCATACACCTTCACTAGAATCATTTGGATAATTTCATACCTGCACTGCCAGTCTCTACTGAACAAAAGGTAAAAGGTAGTGGTTAACTTGAAAACTAACATGACATCATAAGCTAATTTTGAGCTTAATAAAGAGTTGCTCAAAAAAGGTGTGAATGAAACAATACACAGCTCAATTTATGTTTTTGAGGAGATCACGACATTCTAACATTGCTTAAAGCTCACAATAATCCATTTGTGTAATACAGAACCTTTAAGACATCTGATGCACTAAGGACAAACAATAAAATAATTTAAATAATGAATACAAATAATTAAAATGCATAAGGACAAATGGAGAGGGGCACCGGTGTTTTGCCCATGCCTACTATAGTTTCCCACTCTTATTATGATTCGAACTTTTAAGTAACTTCTAATCATGTCTTACATAAACATGCGAGTTACTTCTCATGTCTGTTTAATTCCCATTTGAGACCAATCATTTTGTTTTGTCAATGTTGATGTAGCAGCAGATGAAAGCACTCACGGCTCTGGCTTGCCTTACCTTTCCTATTGACTGCAGATCAGTAGAGTTGATTAAATATGGGCCTCCCTGTAGGTCGTGTCTTTAATTAAGGAGCAGAAGGCACCAGGCTGAGCAGGTGGAAATGCCAGCTCCCGTGGCACTGACGCCAACCTGCCACGGCGAGCTGCTAATTGTCTGCACTGATGTTGGAGAAACAGCTGACGCCAAACTCTGATTAGGACCAGGCAAGAGCTGTGTTAGCGCTTTGTTATGATGAATGTTGTGAATGTTGTCCATAGAGAGTCTTCACAACATACTAATGTGAAAAATTTACCGCTTTGAATGGGAAAAAAAAATCCTAAATGTGAAGTCCTGTCACAACAACAAAGTATTACGTGTGATCTATGTAGTGTAGAGCATTGCTACAGAAAATACCGTCACAATAGTAATGCCTAATTTATGTCACTGGTACGGTAATCTGAAAGTTATCATCTATCACCATGATTAGTTGTTTAGATCGTGAAAGGCCCTTTTAATTTGAGATTTTAAAGGTCCTTTATTACACAAAATTGGATCTTGTAAGTTTTAAGCCATGATGGAATGCTGTTACCGCCCCAAAAACATACCTGGAGTTGTGTTTGTTTCATTCACACATTTGGGAAATCTGTTATTAGTCTCTACATCTCCAAAGCTCAAAATGTTCTGTTTTACCTTGAGATGTCATGAAGTAGTAGTTTTCAAGTTAAGCTACCTTTTTATGTTTTGTCCAGTGGCAATTTCACGGCTGAAATGATCTGAATGATTCTAGTGAAATTGAATGGAGTTTAATATGGACTCTCTTGCTATTTTTGACGCAGATAACGGTAAAGCCGCTTGAGGTCATGCTAACGGTATAATTACAGACAAAATAGGTTATTCTTATTAAAGTTTTCTTTGATTACCAAATTAGTTGTTAACATTATATAATATATATTATATTAATCAATTGACAACAGGCCTACTATTATCCCAGCTTTTAATCTTTATGTTTTAGCATATTTATGTTGGATTTACATAATATTGTCTTAACATTGTTATTGATATAGTCCCAAAAATATCTAGGTAGATGTAGTGCTAACTTTATTTAATTTATTTATAATGCTTTGTGATTCATGTTTATGCAAAGTATAAATGTTGAGGGGTAATGAGTTTGAGCAATAATAATTTGGAAGTTATAGTTTAAGTAATTTCAGAGCACAACCCAACTTTAAAGAGACCTGTAATTATCATGGTGCTGTAGTTTCCAGAGCAGGACAGTGGCATGTTAAGGAGCTGCCACATTCCCTGGTGACAAGGTGCTAACTCAGTTGTGGAGAATGAGCCTGTCCACATTTCCATTACCTCAGGCCTCACACAGTTTATCAGATCTTTTATTTCGTCCACTCATGCCTTGATGTTATTTCCTTTTTTTTTTTTTTACAAAATGTTTCTAAAAATTCCACCTGTTGCTTCTTTAGCCATAGTGCAGTTATATAACAGCTTTTCTTTGGAATGGCACTGATGGGTTTAAAAATAGCTGCATCAGATTTGTTATGATCATTATCCACTAATAATCTTCACTGGATCTTTTGCTGAACTTTCCTGGAAAAGTTTGACAAAGTTTTCAGTTTTTCACACACCATCGAATGCAGTAAACAGTAACATAATGATCTAGTCATGCAAGTTAAATTCATATTCAGTATTCACCTTGTAGCTTGTTTAATTAATCTGTCACTAATTTCTCAAACATTGTCAGGCTGTCATTGCTCTTTATCTGCCTTTTTATTTCTGTGCTATACTGCCATCTTCTGACAACAATTTAAAATGAAATCAGAACTGCGTTTTGGTTTCTAACCTATGGATTTCAAGTGTAACTGATTAATCAATAATTGAATGACTTACTCAATCAAATCAAAAGAACTCAAAATGATAAATCCTACTGACAGTTTAAGTATGCAAAGAGAAGTACTTTCGTAAATTCATTCTATAGCCTATACCAAAAAAAGTAAACCTAAACACAAAGTTTCTTGTCTCATTAATGTTTCAGTTTCACTCAGAAAGTTGGATTTCATAGTGACTCACGTACTAGAGGACTCGTAATCTATTAGACAGTGTGAAAGTGAATGAAGGATTTCACTGTTTCACTTGTCATGGTGTGATTAATCATGCATAATTCCTCTTCACGCTAATATGTGATATTGTGACATTCCCACTGTAGTTAAATCTATGTACTTTTGTGTCTTTACAGGAGTTGGCCAAACAGATACAGGAAGAGGAGGAGGAGAGGATCAGGAGGACCAGAGAAGGTACAATATTGAAACGTCTACATTAACGTATTTGGATGAGAATAATCTGTTGACTCTCTTAAAATAAACACTCTAAAACAGAGCACTGATACTAAAACTTGTCTCAGAACTGGACTCAAGAATTGATATTTGTAAATGCATGTTGCTGTTGGTAAATGCTTGTCACTGTAATATTATGCACGAGATACAGTCATGGCACAAATCAGCTTGCCTTTTATAGTTTCAGCTAAGTCAGGTTTTTATGATCAGATTGTGTTAAAATAAATGTCAGATTAAAGTGTGTAACAGAGCCTCAGACAGAGCAGGGCCTATAGTTAAACATCAGCTGCACAGTGCCAATACCACACGAAAAAATATTCCCTAATACCTACAGTCTTTTTCTTTGAGTTTGTGTCTTTATGGCAGACAACAAATACTTGGTTAGTATTTGTTGACTCAGCCTTTTGTACTAACTCAGAATGTATGCACTAACATTAACAGCCTTGGCTCCTGCTCTTGTGTTGCATGTTCGGCTTGACTGTAGCCAGCAGCAGTGGTTCTGAGGAGCAGTACTCTCCCTTCTCCAGCAGAGGGCAGCGTTCTACCTCTGACTACAGCTCCTCACACTTTAACAGCCCTCAGGCAGGAACCCCCAGGGGACACAGAACAAATGCACGTTTACGGTCAAGTGAAGGACATTCATTTAGAGATCCAAGAGAGCGATTTTTGAGCGAAGAATCAGACGGATCAGATACAGTTTTCTCCGAACGTTCTTCTGTCAGGTCCAAAACTGTGCCTTCTCAATGCCAACGCCAGCTACGAGACAGGAACTGTAGAAGTCTAATGTCTCATACAAGCTTTCCTGAACACTATAATGACTATGAAAGGGAGCACTTAGACGAAGACTATAATGAAAATGGTTATGATGAAAGGAGCAGACCACGGAATCACGCTATAGAAAGGGATTCTAGACAAGAACGTGATGGTTGGCATAGAAACCAGGATCTACAGACTGAACTGGAAGAGGTGAGGGAAAGGAGATGTAAGCGAACTGAATCAGTGAGGCTCCCGGACAGGCGTAGACAAAGTTTTCGGGAGGCAGCCAAAACATGGGCGTACAAGGACAATCCTGATAAACATGTGCGATTTCGTGATGAATCCGCGAAATCGCACAGGTCTCAGGACGGGCACCAAGAAGTGTGGGAGATGTTGGGGCAGGTGCTTAGAGAGAGGGGCGTCCCAGTAAGGATGGGTGACAACGGGGTGCCTCTTCAAATAGGAGCATCGCAAAGGAGGGAGAGGAGAGACAGCCACTGTCTTTACGGGAGCGAAGCATCCTGCAGTGACACCCAACCACATCACAGGGCTTTTCAAAGGGCTGTCACCGTGAGACACAGTTTCCATGGAGATATCCGCGAGAGGAGACGCAAAAGCTTCAACCGGGAGCAAACCCAAGGCCAGCACTGTGAACCTGTACAGCTGGACAGAGAAATCAGAAGAAGAGAGTCGAATTTGAGCAGGGAAAGACAAGGAAGTAGAAGATGGAAGGAGCATAAATATGTAAGGAATGATGAAAGCAATGGAAACGAATACCGGATCACAAGGACTACAAGTGAGAGGAGGCCAGTGCATAACAATGTACACAGGAGTGCAGAGGAGGAGCGACCGGACAGGAGAGCCCCAAATAGGAGCCAAAGCCTGAGCAGCAGCAGGGCTTTGAGGTCCAGACACACGCCCCCCACAGGTAACAGGTGGAACTGCAGCCACCTCTCATCTGCAAATGGTAGCCTCTTCTCTGTGTGAAACCACTCCTTTTAATCAACATCTGATCCCCTGAATGGTCTCTAGTGGTGCTCTGGGGCTTTCTGTTTCATAAATCTAATTCAAATGGACTTGAAAAGACTCTTTAGTGTGTGCTTTCATTTCCTGTTTCAACTCTGATAATGAATACCGGAATGTGAAACCAAACAAATGGTACAACCTCTTACAATGAATGTGATTCTCAACTATTAACTGTTGTTTCAGTACTTTTTTCTCCCCAAGAGTGTGGTTATGGGATTCTATTGTAGCATATATTGTCATTCTTGCCTTGACTCACTTGTGTTCTGTTTTTGCTCAGAGCGAGACCGGACGAGCCTGGAGCTGGGGGAACTGCAGCAGGTTCTTCATGATGAGGAATTAGCCCGAAAACTTCAGGAGGAAGAGGAGAGAGTGCTGAGCAGGGTAAGCATTTTTATGTATTTTTATATACGCTATAAATAAGCAACACGTGTTTATATAGACCACATTTATTTATTATTTTGTAGGATGTATTTCGTGTATTTTTATTAGAAATTGAATGTCCCCATTGCATTTATATATCTAAGAAGGATTAATTAATTATCCATTGATAGAATTTTAAAACATGTTTCTGGTATTTAATTCTACTTTATAGGTGCATTGTGGCTTTTCATGAGATGTTGCTTTGTCTGGAATGTTCCACAGTATGGCATTAAACCTTTCTATTTTCACAGAGCCCAAACTAAATTACAGGTCATATCTGTGACAGAGCGTCTGTTTTTCTTTCATTATTTTCTATTCATTATAGAGGGTGGCCCAAAAAAACTGACATCATTTTGCAGGCCAATCATTTTGGCAGCTCTTTGGGAGTGAACGGCATGGCTAAACCTGAAACCAGAACAAAATAAAACATTAAATATAAAATCTGTTGCTATAGATTCTGTGAAATTTTGAGGTAATTTCAGCAAGAATTGCCAAAATCATTGGCCTGCAAAATTATGTCAGTTTTTTGGGACACCCTGTATTTTTGAGCTATAAAGCCATCTATAATTTAATAAATGTAAGGTAATATAAGTATTTCATACTTTCCAGGCAGAGCATATTATAGACAAATCCATAGAAACATCAGGTGACAGACCCCCAACCAAAGAGTTACATAGAGCACCTTTAAGATATTATGTAATCCACTGAAATGTGTAGTATTTATGTTCTGCTATGCACTGTATCATAAGTAGGGTTGTGTGATATAACTTAAATTTCTTCTTCACGTTTACTTCTTCAAATTATCCTGATCTCCAAATTCTTTTTGCTTTCTTAATTAAGTGCTGTTCATTCCCACAGAACCCCGGGCCTTCACCTCATAATAACTCCAACCCGGATGGAGACTTCAAAGTTGCCCAAGTTGCACAAGACGAGGTACAAAGAAGTACAAGAGCTGTTGTATTAAGCCTGTGTGTTTTTTGTATTGTCATAAACCATTAATTTCTTGACTGCTTCTTGCCTCTAGGAAATTGCACGCTACATACAGAAACAGGAAATCAAATCAAAGCACCGATCTCGTGAGCTAGAAGGACCTGTGTCGTGGCGAGAACACAGAGCTATGATGCGTCAGCATGACAGAAGGGCAAGAGAGGTAATCAGTTACCCTAAGTACTACTAATATGATGTGTACGAGGATGTGTGGTTATAGTAGGCTTGCGGTTGGGCTTATGAGCAGTTTTTCCATCTGTATAGTAAAGTAATTAAAGGAACCAGGTCAAATCTAGTTCAATGGTGTGTTTCTTAAAATAACATGCAAATAAATATAAATAGTGCAAAAATATTATGCTGCAGTGTTGTATGCCATAAATGTTATTGCAAGAAAATACATACAGTACCCTCCAAAAGTACTGGAACAGCAAGGCAAATTCTCTTATTTTTGTTGTTCACTGAAGACATTTGGGTTCAAGATCAAAAGATGAGCATGAGACAAGAGGTCAGAATGTCAGCTTTTATTCCTTGGTATTTACATCTAGATGTGTTAAATAGTTCAGGACATACCAACCTTTGTTTAAACCCACCCATTTTTCAAGTGAGCAAAAATATTGGAACATGTGACTGACAGGCGTTTCCAGGTGTTTCCAGGTGTTGCCTTTTAAAGTTGACTGTCCAAGCATTAAATAGTTCTGCATGAATACTAGTCTACTTGTTGGCTGCAAGGCTGCATTTATTATTAAAGAGCATAAACCAAAATGAAGTCCAGTGAGCTGTCTATGGGAGAAAAGGAAGCCATTTTGAAACTGAGAAAGAAGGAAAATCAATCAGAGCCATTGGACAAACATTGGACATAGCAAGCACCACAGATGTCGAACAGGTCGGCCATGGAAAACAACAATAGTTGATGACAGAAATATTGTGGGAGCTGTGAAGAAAAACCCCACAACAAATCACCAACGACCTCCACAGGGCGGGTGGAGGTATCACAATCCACTGTTCAAAGAAGACTCCGAGAGCAGAAGTATAGAGGCCATACCACAAGATACAAACCACTCATCAGCACTAATTGTAATGCCAGACTGGAATTTGCAAAGAAGTACAGAGATTAGCCGCAAAAGTTCTGGAACACAATCCTATGGACTGATGAGACCAAGATTAATCTCTACCAAAGTGATGGAAAGGCCAAAGTGTGGAGGAAGAAAGGAACTGCTTATAATCCGAAGCATACAAGCTCATCTGTGAAGCGTGGTGGAGGTAATGCCATGGCTTTGGCATGCGTTGCCCCTTCTGGAACAGGCTCATTAATTTGATGATGTAACTGATGATGGTAGCAACAGTATGTATTCAGAAGTGTACAGAAATATTGTATCTGCCAACGTATGGAAAAATGCATCCAAACTTATTGGGAGGAATTTGATCATGCAGCAGGGCAATGACCCTAAGTACACTGCCAATAAAACAAAGGACTTCATCAGGGGAAAAAAGTGGAAGGTTTAGACTGACCAAGTCAGTCACCTGACCTTAACCCGATAGAACATGCATTTTACCTCCTGAAGGGAGAAATCCCACAAAACAAACAAGAACTGAAGAAAGTTGTGGTAAAAGCCTGGACTAGCATCACAAATGAAGAGTGCAACAGTTTGGTGATGATGATGGGTCACAGGCTTGAGGCAGTTATTGCAAGCAAGGGTTTTGCCACCAAATATTACATTTTATTTAGTTAAAGATTTTTTATTCCTTTACTTTTGGTCACCTAAAAATGCTGTGATGTAATACAAATGGTGATGTATCCTAAGTTGTTTAACACACCTAAATGTAAATACCAGGAAATTCTGAACTCTTGTCTCATACTCTTCTTTTGCTCTTCAGCCCAAATATCTTCAGTGAACAAAAATAATAAGGATAAGGGAATTTGCCTTGCTGTTCAAATACTTTTGGAGGGGACTGGATATTGCAACAAAAAAAGTTCTTCACCTGACTGAAACCTTTTTATATTTTCCTTATGATCCTACATTAAATTGGGTTGGTCTTGGTTTAGTTACAGTTTCGTTCTCATTACTAATAAATGGAGTTATACATTTTCAGTTTTAATTTTACTTATTGTGGCAAAAAAAGTTGTTGTAATACAAAACATAATGATCAAATATTGCATCTTTTCTCATGATACAGCCCTATGTATAATGCTTACAAACACCAGTTCATTTATTTGACATGAATTCAACTGATTCTTAACAGATTTGAAGGCACAGACAAAAGTAGCAAAGAGATTGAAGATATTTTTCTTTGAAAGTAGACTTGGTTCGATGGTTTATGCTGTCTAAAGATCTGTAGCGCTGCTGCGGATGTCAAGGAAATTTGATAAAATCTGATAAAATTATTATTCATTACCCAAATACACAACCCATGACACGTGAAATACTCAGAATAGTGAGATGGGGGCTAAAACTAGTCAATGATTTACTGATAAATTTGCATATGTCCTTTCAAACACTGTGCTGTACTGTCTGTGGTCTGGTTGTTGACAGAAGTGCACAACTGCGACTGGAATGTTGTGAGCCATTGAGGAAATTTATTATCGAGGGTATTGGTTCACATCCAGAGAGGAAACATCAACAGTGAGAAAGGATTAATAGTGAAAATAAGAGTCTTCTTTTGTTTGTCAAATGTGAAAGGATGACAATAGCGTAAATCAGGGGTGTCAAACTCATTTTGGTCTGAGGGCCGTATCCAACCTACTTTGATCCCAAATGGGCCCAATCAGAAAACTCATGGCATATATACCCCAAAAATAGCAATAAGTTCAAATATTTGTGCAGAGAAATGCAAATCTATTACAGAAATCTTTTTTAATTATTATTAAATAATAAAAAATATGATAATATCATGAACAACCTGAAACTTTAAGAAAAATACAATTTCAACACAATGTTTTAACATTAACCTGTATGCAAATAGGAATAAGTCAATTTTTCTTGGAAAATCCTGCACTTGGCATCCACTTTTCTCATTTTTGACATGGTGTCACGATCAACAGTCAGAACAATCGTCCTTTAAGAGCATTTGGAAAGAGGCAAGTCTTCATTTGTGCTGCTCTGGTGGGGAGTGGCTATGCACAGAGGCACTGGAGACGCTGCTATGCTAAGCGGCACAGAAAATTACCAATAGTTTAATAGAAAATATAATTAAAATATTTTAGTAGAAAATCAGCCGAGAGCCAGATTAAAGGTCTTGGAGGACCGGATCCGGCCCCTGGGCCGTATGTTTGGCACCCCGGTGTAATTCATCTGTTTGTGCAGATGTGTCGGCATGCGCTCTTACTTTTTAGCAAAGCTTCGTTAAACGTCACTCAGGTTTATAATAGAAACTGGTCAAATGATTAAAGTGGGCTTTCAAACAGAGCTGTTAAAGATTAAAGGGGAGAGTGAGGGGAAAGGAGGGGCGGGGTCTGGGTTTGGGAGTAAAAGAATAGTGTGATTGATCCAACAGGTATCCACTCTTCAAACTGCAGCCAAGTGTTCGTAATCTGAAACACATGACTGAAATCAGGGCAGTCAGTGGATTTAAAATTGCAGTAGGACACACTTGACAATTAAAACACAGTTTAGTGCAAAAAAGGTTGATTTAGTTTTTAGTTCAATTTTAAACAGAACATTTTCATAGAGATAAAATTCTCATATGTATTACTTTGTCGGTATTATTGTAGGTCCCTCGAGAAAGACTTGATTCTGAGGGTCTCCCTTCTCCCACTGAGGACTGCTCCCCCGAGGAGCAGCCGCACAGCCCAGTCTCCACACTGCAGTGAGTCTTTTTGCCTTATACACCATGAGACTGTCTCCCTGTATTGAATATGTGGTATTTTAAAGTATTCAAAAATACCTAATTATTAGTAGTTACAACAAGGCCTGTTATCCTGCCATATTTATTAAAATGTCCAAATTGCAATTAACAATTGTAAGTTATTAATTAATTCATTTTCACATGAAATCACAACATGTTATGCCCATAATGCCAAATACAAACTGGGTGAGACAAATGCTAGAAATCGATTTTATTTATGAAATTTTTGTTTTGGAAATACACAACAGTCAGTACAGTAATTGACTGTTGTTCCTTATCGTTGTGCCGTCATGACATTTTGAGAATCTGAAAACAATCATTTCTTATTTAACCCAACAAAAAAGCTGCATATTAACAACAGCAATTTCTTGTGTCCTTAAATCTATTCATATTAAACATTAAAAAGCACAAGCTCTCAAATACTGTATATTGTGATATAATCTGAAAATCAGCCAAAAATGTTGACTTCAAAATTTTATCTTTCAGAAATGCTTCACAGATCAGGAACATTGCAGAGGAGTTGGACCCAACATTTCAGGTTCGGAGGCCGGGCACAGAGAGCCTCGGGGCAGCACAAACCGGTAATGCACAAAACTATTTACAATAAACAATCAAAGAGGGATGTCGCAATATCTTTTTTTTTTGTTGTGACTCATAGAGAAGAAGCTTCACTATCTAATGATTACTTGCATTTACTCTGATCTGTGACATTGTTCAGTTTCTTTCACTTCTGTTATCTAATAGGTCATATTCCTGAAGGATGTGACCAACTTTATGTTATCAAACCTTCTGATAAAGTGAAGTTAAAGGTGTAACTGTCTGTCCTCTCCATAGAGGTTATTGTATTGCTTTGCCTGGAATGTTCCACAGTATGGCATTGTTTGCAATAAAGCAGCTGTGCCATATTGTGGAACATTCCAGAGAGATAAGCAGGTTTCTGCTTTTAATTTGACACAAGATCTGTACATTTAGGGCCACATTAATTTTGCTTCTAAAATTTGAGCATTTACAATTACATTGTGACCTGAATAATCACAATTGACCAAATAATCTTGACCATCTTCTACAGTGGAGCAACATTCAGATCTGTGTCCTGTGGGTCAAATGCAGAGGACAAATTCAATTCACCTATTCGTGTGCTTTTCTACAGGCTCCTGCTGTGTCCCACTTCCAGCTCAGCAGTCAGGTTTTCAGGAAGAGCCCACCTTTATCCCACCCACCAAAAGACAAGCGGAGAAATCCGTCCGACCTAAGTCCAAAGAGAAGAGGGAAAACTGCAAACAACAATAAATATTTGACACTGAATCCAGAAACATATAAATCAAAAATGATAGTTTTTCTGAGCTGTTAGCACTTTAGACCACAGGAACAAACTACATCATCTGTGTATTAGTCAACGCATGATTATGATTCAAAGGAGCAGACCTACATTAAGTAATGTAGGCCAAGTATTGTTTGATATTGTGTTTATTTAAGCATATTCAATATATTTGTTGCATTTATGTTGGATTCTTTTTTTAAGGCCTATTTTGTAATGGAAATTACTTTGATTCATTTATACATGTATTTTGTATGAGTATTTCCCATGAATGGCATGTGTCATCTATGCATTTTTCAAGAAATGAATGATATTAAATATGAATATTTAAATGCTGACAATCAAATGACGTGTTTGAACATTGTTCTATAAATAATACAGCATATTTACAAAACAGCTGTGTCATTAACGGGAAGTTTGACTCATTAAATGAACAATTAGTAAAGACGACTCACTAAAAAAGTACACTGAAGAGCTTTATAAGCGATGACTCATGTTGACAAAGGAGTCCACTGTACTTTAGAGTTTTTAGTAGTGTTCTACATGAGAAATAGTGGCCTGACGGTATTGTCAAAATGCTTTCAAGTTTTTCATATCTGATGGCATCGATTTGTACATTTTATATAAAGTATGCCCCTGCTTTGCTACCAAGTGCTGACTTACTGTTTTTTCACTTGACTCTGATAAAATAGTGTGCTTCTCTAATTTATATATATTGTAAGTATATTGTTTACTACTTTCTACATTTTATATACACTCAGAAAACATCATATACATGAAGGTAGAGGTATAGAATTGGCTAAGAAATAGTTAAATAACGTTTTGCTTTTATAGTGCTACAAACTTTTGACTTTCTCTCGGTGATCTTTATGATAAAGTTTCCTGAAATGGGTTACACGTCATAGGTGTGCATGGTCAGGGTCAGGAAATGCCAAAAGTGCAAACCAGGTTTCAAAGCAAAGGGTGGTTATGACTACTTAAAAAACAGTAATCTAAAACAAGTTTGAGTTTATATTGTGTTTACTATGTTCCATATTTGTGCTTATTCATGGTTTTGATGTTTTCAACAAGGATCAACAATGATCCCAAGGGTTTGCCACACTGCCACTCACACATCACACATGGTCCCTATGTATAGAAACAGTATAAAAATAAAATTTATTGTTGTAATACAAATAGTATGAAGTAAAACAATATATTAGTACAAATACACAAAATATGTTACCATGACCACCTAATGGAGAACTACTATTATCATAACAATTGCTTATGCAAAAAATAATGAAAACATTAAAAGTATCTAACTGTAAAACATGGATGTAAAAAGTCCAGTGTGTAACCTTTGATTGAAATTTCTTAATTCACAGTAAATGTCAAAGTGAAGATCTTAAGTTACCTCGTTACAGGTGACTCAGTCTTGGTGACACATTTTGGTAAACCCAGTGTGGGCTGTCTGTGTCAGAGTTCCATTCACATAAAAACAAACACTGAGCCTTATAATGTCAATTGTGTTTTATAATGATTCCATTGAGACTTGTCCCTGATGCAAGGAATCAGTAAATGACTCATGAGGAATGCTGGGATAGCTGCTTAAGTTCAATCCTGTCCTAATACACACAGTGTAACAGTTTCTATAATAAGATGAGTAATCATTTACATGCACATAACAAATTACCATATAGGAATGTCCCTACTCTGGACTATGCTTTGCATAGGGTTACAAATTGTTGAAAATATATTTTGGTTGATGTTGCGTGGGCTTGAGTGAAACCTCTTAAGCTCTGTACTGTACTCCCACTTTCAGCATCACGTCTAAGCCATCTGAGGTCATACTGTCTATTTATTGTCAGTCACAGTATAATTAGTCACATAGTATCAGCAACCTCCCTTAGCTCCAGTTTGACAGAGAGAGTGGCATTCCCCTCCTCTTATCATCAGTATAAATGCTTCATTCAGCTCCCAGCCCACCTGACCTGACCTGGTTAGTCAACACTGAGATAAAGAAAGTGGAGGAGAGGTGTAGTTATTCACTATAAAACAAAAACAATCCTCTGAGCTACACTTACACAAAAATAATCTAATCTGATCAAGGAAGTTTTGTTTCTTATCCTTGTAACCCCCAAAACAGTAGATCTTTTTCAAGGAAGAAGTGACTCAGCACTGCTTCCCCGTTCCTGCTCGGCTTCGTGAAAACTGCATTCAATAGCAATTAAAGTCATTGGGTCATCTGTAAAACAAAAAAATTTCATAATTTATTACAGTAGGAATATCTATCCCATAGACTGTAGATACATTCACACATTCATTCCAGGTGTCAGTGTACATAAAATTAGCACTGTTTTTAACTTTCAATGACAAAATGCCTAAAGGTCAATACATTAGAGTGGCCCTTTTATTTACTGTAGTGTTGTGATGATACTAAAATTTCAAACTTGACTTTGATACCAATGCATAGACTCAATACTCAATCCCAATTCTAATACCAAGATGATCAGTTCTTTATTTAGATAATTATTTTATACAATAGGCAATAGAAATTTTCATCTCAATACTTTCTTTTATACAATGTAGTTTTATACCCGTTGGTCCGGGGCGTATATGTCTCTAGTACTGTATGTGCTCTTATACTTCTGATACAGCTCAAAATCATTCTAAAGTCATTCAGGACAGGTTAATTTCTGTCCTGTGAATGAGTCCTGAGAATTTTTTTATATCAATACAATCTAGTTTCAACACTAGTTTTGTTTGGTTTCAATTTCAGATCAGATTTCCAGTACAACCATATCTTATTTTTGACTGTGTTTAATCATTTATCAACTGGGCTAGAGAAACCAACACAAACCAGTGGGTTGTGCCAAGGAACTGCTTTCCAGACTTTGAGCCAAAATCTTTGTCAAGAGAATCCAGGAGGATTGGCCTACTGTGCATGACTTAATTTCATGCTATAAACTGGATCACCCAAAGAAAATAAACCCAGGGAGAGGCTGAATATTGGAGCTGTCTGTAAATGGCATTGATGGTTTGTTCTTATGTGATTCTGTAATTCAAAGGTTTACTAAAATAGAGCTTTAACTGACAGTTTTTTGTTTGTTTGTTGTTGTTTTTTTTTTGGTAGTTGTTGATTATTTTTTTGGATTACAGGATTTGTTTTTAAATTATTATAGGTTTGTGAATATGAGATTTTCCCTACATTTTACCATCTTTAAGCTAAAGTCCATGGGCTATTCTAAATTTTTTGCATCTAAAACTATTAATATACATAGTTCCAATTTATTTTTATTTTTTTTTATTTAATTACTGTTTTGTCTGAGTCATAGATCTCTCAGCTTGCCATTTTTGGAGTCCTTTTATAGTAGTGATCACAATTATTTTAGTACAAAATTGATAACTGATCAGATGCCCTAATTTGCATAAAATGTTGGCTGTACTGGATACCCTTAACACAAAACCATATGTACCTGTTGGGGTTCTGATTATAGTGGATTTTGTGACCGCTTTCTCTGGCTTCTCTGGTTGCGCTGGCTTCTTGTACTTGACTTGGGCTAATGCCATGATGATTACAACAATGAGAAAGCTAGGAACTGCCACACCAAAGATTGTGCATAGTATTATAGACAGATTTCCTGCGGATTCAGGTCTGTGAGAATCTGCAAAGTCATGAGAGAATTTATTTTTAATTTATGGCACTGTGTTTTGATTGTCTTTTATCTTTTCTTTCTTTTTTTTAAAAAAATCAAAATTCCAACCTTTTGGCGCTGGCACTTTGGCCACTGGCATGACTGAAATATTCTCACATTCATTGTCACTGGATGCATTTCCTTTTGTCACCATGATTTGGTTGGATGAACACCTAAGAAAAACATATGTATGCTTTAAAATTAAAAGCAGTTCAATTACAAACGAGGGGTAAAAGACTTTAATTACAATGTAAGAAAATGAGTTTAATGATACCAACCCTGTCCATGGTTTACACTTCTGATGAATCTGGTCATTGTAGGTTCCAGATGGACACGGCACACATGAACCTGCACAAACAGACACACAGTGGATTTAATACATATAAATAATAAAGGACTTGTTATGTTTTGGGGAGAGACAAGAGAATACGATGAGGTTCAATCAGAATCACTGCATTGTTGTGTTGTCATGATACTAGTATTTCAAACTTGATTTCAGTACCAAGGAAAAGGTTCAAGTCTCAGTTCAAATTTTGATACAGCATTAATAATAAAAAAAAAAACATTATTCACAACTCAAAATAACTTTACTGAATATTACCATGTGGTCTTATACGTGCTTTTTTAAACCTATGAAAACTCTGGAAATGACACACTTAGTCCAGTTTATATGACTGTCACGGTCAGTTAATATACTAGTGTTGATTAGAATCTAGCAGAGGTGGGACCAAGTCGTTGTTTTGCAAGTCTCAAGTAAGTCTCGAGTTTTTGACCTCAAGTCTGAGTCGAGTCCCAAGTCAAAGACAGGCAAGTCCAAGTCGAGTTTCAAGTTACTGGCCCATAAGTAGAAGTCAAGTCCAAGTCGTCTGCTTTGAGCTTCAAGTCCTTTCACGTCTTTAAACCAAAAAAGTGCCAAATATAGCTTAGATTTTTGCAATTTATATGATATATCAATTTATATGATTTATCGAAAAACATATTTTTAGGAGAAGCTTCAAGTCTTCTCAAGTCACAGACCTCACGTCAGAGTCAAGTCCCAATCACTGACCTTCAAGTCCAAGTCAAGTCCCAAGTCTTTGTCTATTTTATCAAGTCAAGTCTCAAGTCCTAAAAATATTGACTCAAGTCTGACTCAAGTCCAAGTCACAAATTGCAAGTCCCCACCTCTGGTATCTAGGTATCATATCAGTAAGTGTGACAGCTCTACTACATTTTAGTTATTGATAAAATAAATAAATACATCTTGTCCAAATTGTAAACACGTGTTATTTATGTATGAAGATAACAGTTGTCTGATCATTTGGTTTTAGGATTTGTTTCAGAAAAGTTCAAGCAGCATCTGAACCACCTGTCTAAAGTTCAGGGAATGGACCGGACCTTTAAACTGTTATAGTGATGTTATGTTGTCTTACGGTCATCAGTTGGTTGTTGTCCTTTTCCACACTCCTCTATACAGAAGGAGCACTGCTGATTTCCACATAAGAAGCCTTTTTTACAGCCACACACTGTGTCTTTGGACTTGGTGCATTCCGCCAGCGTCACCTGGGGGTCTGCAGAGGAGGTTTAATTCACAAACATCACAAAATCTCAATATTTCAGAGCATCAGCCGTCAAAGGTACTGTACCTATGCACTGGGTACAGCGGTCACACCTCTGCGCGCTGGTGGAGGTGGTGAATGTATTTGGTCTGCAGGGAGTGCACAGGGCTCTAGGGTCAGAGCCACACTGCGACACAATATGGTATCCTAGAAAAAAAATAATAAAAAATCACCTCATCATCATATCCCAACAAGAGATGCAGCAATTTTATCAAAGGTGAACTATGTAACTTTTCTGGTTGGAGGTCCCTCACCTGCTGTCTCCATGGAGATGTGATGGCTTTGTATGTGATGCCATGGTGTTACAATCATTCAGTTAGCAATGTTTTTTTATTGTTAGAAAGTAGTTGTGAGAGTGCTTGTTACCTACCCGCTTTTCTGCATGTTGATGATGTTGATTTAATGCTGAACTTTTAAACATTTCAGATAAAGCATTAATATCTCCATGGAGACAAGCAGGAGGCAGACCTTCTACCAGAAAGTTACAAAGTGCACATTTATAGAAGTCATTTAAAGATTTATAGATGCCAATTATAGATGTCTTAGTTTAGTAAGGTATTAGAAGCAGCATCTAAATGTATTCCAAGGTACATCAAATCATAAGGAAATCTAAAGAAAAGAGCCTTTCCTTGTATATACCTTGTCAATAAGCAGAAATCTAAAAAATACTTATAGCTATGGCATATGGTGTCCCTTCATACAATAAAGGACTTTTAATATATTCAGTTGGAGTGCCTCGGGTTTCTACCTTGCCCACTTTTACATTTTCCAGTAAGGGTAACTTTTTGTTTAAAGACTATTGTTTTAACCCTCGTAGAGCACCTGCACTGCTGTTTTTTACTCTTTTATGACCCAGTGAAGCTCTACCTCTTTTTCTTCATCTGACATACTTATAGCTATGTTTATTCTTACAATTCAGACCATATTTCCACAAAAATACGACATACCAACTGAAGTCTTTAATAATGCTATTCTGAAACAATGAAGCAAACCATAAACATGTATTATTGGTCTTAGCTAAAACCACTGAAACTGTTTGTATGGTTTCTATAGGAAAACACAAATGGAAGAGCGCCCTACATCTAACCACAGTTCTCAGGGTTTCTATTGATTGAATGTGAGCTGAATAAGGCAGATCTTGTCCCATCAGTTTGATTTTATTTACCGCCACGGCTTGATCAGCATCTTTTTTTTTTTTTCAGAAGCAGTAGTATGACAATTATATCTTATGATTTTTCAGATTTTTGTATTTTCAGAATTTCGAAATTACCATTTTATAATTATTTGGTTAGATTGTGTTTTAATGAACAGTGCTCAAATAATTCCCCTTGAGGATCAACAATATTTGTGTAAGTCAAATCAGCTCACAAAGTCATAAAACACAGTTGTTCTAAATTTCACTCACTCAAGATATCAAGAAAGTAAATAGTAACTGTTTATATAAAAGTTCTCTTAAATAATGTTATGTTAAGAGTATTTTAACAGGCAGCTTTTACAATGTCTTCAACCTCTTATCACAAAACATATTATTTCATTGATTTAGCATTCCTAACATGCATTCTTGTATTACCTGGATAGCATGCCAAACAGCAGACCCTGTCTCCACGCTTGTCCCAATGCCTGCACCCCTCAGCAAGACCACAGTTTGAGACACGCACAAGCAGGCACAGACCCATAAGCACCGGTATTACAAGCATTCTGCTTCTCTCGTTCTCTCTCTTCCAGAAAAGAAAAAAAAAAGTATTATCCTGTTAGAACATCTGTAACAAAGCTTGAGATCAGCACATGTGAATGGAAAATTGTGCTTAGAGAAATGTAAGACATTGGTTTTTGTGACTATGTAGTGGGCGGAAGTAACACGCCCACTAAATTGCTTGCGATATCAGATGACACAGAGACACAGAGGCAGCATAAATGAACTTTGCTCATCCCCCAATAGAAATTATTTGGTTCAACATTTGTGAATTTACCTTTTTGTAAATAACATCATTTTGTGAATTTTACCTTTTTGTGAATTTCATAGAAAAATACAATGTTATCAATAGAAAAAAATGCCTGACTGAAAAACCATGAGTAGGATTTCTTTCATCTTTTCACCATACAGTCATTTTCAATACATTTTAATACTTAAAGGTGCAATATGGAACTTTGTGGTCGAGGCTTTGTCACCTGCTTGTTTCTATAGATATGTCATTGCTTTACCTGAAATGTTCCACAGTGTGACAGTATAACAGCTCTACACTAAATGTATGCAATTGCAGGTGGTTTTATAGCTCAAAAATACACAGAAAACATGCACTAAGATGCCTCTCCCAGATCTGACCTGTAACTTTGGTCTCCATGGAGATAGAAAGGTTTTATGCCATTCTGTGAAACATTCCAAACAACATAATAACATCTTCATAAAGAAAAGCATTTGAGGGACCCTCTATCAGAAAAAGTACACAAGGTACGTTTAATATTGAATATGAAAATTGAATTGTATGGTTTTATAAACAATCTTAAAGGGTTTCCTGCTTTCTCAAGATGTTTCTGATATAATGAGAGTGATTTAACAATGTCCTTGAGTTCAAGCTTGTCTGAACCTGTCTTAAGCTGATAATGTGTGGCTTTATCTTAGTTCAGTTTTTCACCACTAAAACATAATAAAGTCTGGTCATGAGAAAGCAGGAGCTCTCATAGTACAAACAGTTCTAACAGTGAACAAAGTCAAATTAAGCCAAAAAAAAAAACAAATAAATAAAAATAATAATAATAAATATATATATATATATATATATATATATATATATATATATATATATATATATATATATATAAAATAGTTCATTAAATGAAAATGAAAATGATTACTTCTGGCAGCAACTCAGTTAATAAACCCATGGATACATCTGAGTCACCTATCATGTGAAACTTAAAAAAAGAAATTAGTTGCCAAAATGAAACTGGAACCCCATTAAATGAAACTGGAACCCCATTATTAACTCATGTATTCTGAAAATGTCTTCTTACAGTAATAACTGGGGAATTCGGTGTAGTGTTCATAGACACAGTCATCTGTGTGAACAATTGAATTTTTCTTTCATTTTAAACATCATTAAATGTCGGAATTATTACAGCTGACACCTTTTACACTGAGCAAATGTGTCAGGTCAAACCTTTGCACAGTATTTCATACTCCGCTTGTATACATATGTTGTATATTTATTACTATTCTATTAGCTCTTTGCAATCAAGATGTTTGAGCCACGGTGTCCAAGTAATTTACCTATTGAGTGGGTCAGAGTTTTGAATTATAACTTAAAGCTGCACTATGTAACTTTTCTGTGAACTGTCAGCCACTTGCTTGTCTCCTTGGGGATGTTATTGCTTAGAATGTTCCACATGGTATGTATTTCACTTATCAATCTCTACAGAGACATACAAATACCGGATTGATCTATAGGCAATGTTTCAACATATTTCTGAGCAATAAAACAAGTTTAATTGCGCAAATATAGAAGTTTAAGACCATACTGCAGTAATTTCCTGTCAGATCAATGATCTCAAGTGTGAGGTTACACAGTGTATTTGTAATTCAAATATACTACACTATGAACTTTGTAATATAACAGATTTGCCTTTGACATTCTGTTATGGACCGTGTATGATGTCAATCAACCTACGCACACGTAAGAAACACCTCCCACTAGTGGCCTTATCCTCCCCCAGCTCTGATGTGCTGCAGGCACCCCGATTACATACTACGTACTAAGTGGAAATCTGCCTATGTATACACTCTTTGTGCTGGTAAATGCATGTAGGTAGACCACAGTCAAAATGCAACCATGTTAATTATGGCAGTGTCTTAAGAATGTGCATGAAGGTGGAACACCCAATAAGAGCTCTCCAGGGCTTCCTTGCGTAGGTGGAGGGGTGGGCAGGTCTATTACACTGCGCTGACATCATTTCCTTCCTGATAGTTGCTGCAGTTTATCGAGGGCCGTGGGATGGTGGTGTGGGGTCAAGTGTTAACCCAGGGGTCTTACAAGACACTTTAGTGACAATGCATTGGTCTAGACGACAACCCACGGGGAAAGTACAGCCTCGGAAGTTCCACAGGAGGTGAGTGTAAGTCACTGTGCGTACTTGTGTGGTTACTGCAGTTTAAATATGCACCCCAACGAGTCTTCAAACATAACAAGAGCTTGATGTAAAAAAAAACAACACTTGTGTAGTCCTTAATTTGTCAGATGTAGCTTACATGACTGTCCGCTCTTCAGGTTAGGAACAAATAAAATTCACATTCTTAGACCAGTGCCAATTGTATTTGAACATATATATTTTATTTTTTATATATAATAAATTTCTATGTACAATTTCTTTTCTTTTGTTAAGAAACAAAACAGGTTTGATTGCAAACAGTGTTTGTACTAAAGAAAGGGGACAGACAAATGGGAAAGTTTTTTCAGCATTATTATATTGACATTTTATAGGTGGGATTTGCCAGTGTTTGGCAAAGGAGTTTTTGATGTCAGACTAGGAATTTCCTTTAGTTTACAATGAAAAATGAAAATCCCTAGCCAGTGCCTTCATTATAATAGATAAATGCCCCACACCCTGAGGCATTAGGCTTAAGTGGCACTTTTCACGCCTCACAGAGTGCAGTGTGTTCTGCCCAGCTACTGTTAAACTAGTGTTAACTGTTTGCAATCTGTACAAAGGTATTTCCACCTGTGTGGACAATGGAGCAATGTTACATTCAACACATCACAGGAGGACAGAGAGGACACTGCACCTCAATCATGATTGTCTGTGTCTGTCAGACAAAGTTTGACACATTAATGAAACATGTTACATAAATAATATTACAAAATCATCCAGTGTATGGATCCTTCCAATATTGGCAACAGGAACAACTTCCTCAAATAATACTTTCAGCAAAATCAATTGTTTCTTGTCATTAAAGCAGTAGAGACAGTCATGCAATAAGCAGCCAACAGCAGCTATGGCCCTGAAGCCTGTGTCAGGGCCCACAGATCCACAGACTGTGGACTTGGTATGAGCCGTTGGCACATTGAACTCACCTCAAAGTAAAAACACAGTTTGTCTTTAGCACAACATGCTAAACCCATCAGTCAAACAGGGCCAGCTCTGAGCCGTAGGAGAGCTTGTGTTACAGTAAGTGCCGCTGATTTGGAGCTTAAAGGACTGAATAGAAACATGAGCTGAATACACTCCACTAAAACACTGCATCTGTAAAGGACCACACGGGACACCACTCAGCTCCACAACTGTACACAGGACTTAGGCCGGCTCAGACCAGGAGTGAGGAGGGCTGGTCTGGCGGCCCATAATCCTTTGCTTTGAGAGAGATGCAGTCTGTTGCTTTGTGCTCTGTGTTTAAAGGCACCTTCCTGTCACATGATCCAGTCACATGATGTCCACAAAGAACTCACATGGGTTTCCCATGGCATGCTGAAAGGACTGTCGGCTGGCGGTGAGTTCAGGGGGAACAGAGGCGAGCTCTCGGCCCGGAGGGGCACCAGGGGGGGTGCCACTACCCGCGGTGGGTTTGGGAGCGAGGCGTGCCAGGCAGTATGGAGGGGGTAAGCCCGGGGGGCCATAAGAGGAGGCGTGACTCCTGTCACTGTGAGCACAGGAGCCCGGCCCGGGCTTGGTGAAGGGGCCGTGGCTGTGTGTGAAGGACGGATGGCTGCGATGTGATTGGCTGTTGGAGCGAACATGGCTGTGCTGGCTCAGCTGACTGGCAGAGCGGTCGGGACGCCCCCCTCTGTGGGCCGCAGGGGTCTCAGATTCACTGCACTTCTCCTGAGGAGAGGAGCGTCGGCCTTTGCCTGCACTCGGGTTGGAACCACTGCTACGGCTTCCTGTAGCAAAGACACAGTGGAAATGTCAGAAATACTTGCCCTTTTTGTCATTAAAATGGAACGTGACAATTATGTAAAGATAATAAAACATTATAGCAATTATTTCATTGGTAACCCCTACATAAAATCTATAAACCTGACTTTGGCTTTGGCATTAGAATATATCATAATATAATGAAAAATGTACAGACTTTTATATGTCAAAAAACATGTTCTAAGTATTCACAGAGAAGGCAGAGTACATATCAAAATGGTAAAATAGGCCATTTATAGCTTTCCCTAGAGTGGTGCATGTCCACCCCCTGTCTGTGAAAGATGGTACTGCAGTGATCTGCACAGTCAGGTGCAAGCCCAGAGGTGGACTATGGCAACATGTGTATAATAGACTTGAACCAAGAAAGACAAATGAGACAAATGAATTGGACCAATGGAGGAAAATAAAAAAGAATGACAGGAAAACACAGAGAGGGACAGAGAGTGAGTCGGATTAATGCAGGACAGAGAGAAGCAGAGGGGGTTAGCAGCTTACCGGATCCCCCAGTGTCCTGGGTCTACCTCCTCCTTCAGTCTACCGTTGCCCAGCATAAACAGAGGAACAACAGAATTACACACACCTCCTAGCCCTACAGATCAGCCTAAATGTGACACATGCTGATTTTGAACACACGCAGACCAGTGCAAAATTATAAATACATTCAAATGATATCCAATATGTAGTAGGAAAGTGAAAAGATAAACAATGACTAAAAACAGGCGGAAACACAGGACAATGGAGGAGACAGATGGAGACATGTAACTTACCACCATCTGTTTTTCTGGTCCTGACACATTATAATCAGCACCACATAAGTTTTCCCTCATTCTATCATTTAACTCTCATTTAAAATCATGCAGAAGCAACAGAAAACCTCAAAGCAACAGTGGAAAAATGATGAAATGCTATAGTTTAGAACTGGATTTCAGCAATGCCAGAAATGCCAAAGTAAGACTACTATTATATGAAAATGCAACCAGGTTTTGATTAGAGCTCAGATAGAATGAGTCAGGCTTAAAGCTGACTTCAGAGGGACAGAGAAGATGTCATGCTACACATTGTCACAATCAAAAGTGAAAAGCTCTTACCCTCACTGTGTTGACTGCCTGCACTGCCGCTGTGGAAGCTATGGCAAGGGTCTGAGTATCCAGGAGGGAAGCTAGGGGGCGCCGAAGGGAAGGGGGGGTAAGGGAAGGGTTGTCCGCCCAGGGGCCAGGGGTTAGCGGTGGGAGGGAGGGGTGCTAAGGTGTCCTGCTCCGAGCCTCCTCCGCTGGATCCCTCGTTCAGATTGAGGGACGCCATGTCTGCAGATAAACAAACCACACAATCAGAAATAGTACTGAACAAATATGGTAAAACCATTTAAAATCTTGTGTGCTACATGTTTATGTGACAGGTCAGTTATAATTGTCAAAAATTTATTTATAATTATAAGAATTAATTCAGATGCTCGTTGTTGCCAAATATCTCAAATAATATTGTACATTAGGGAAAAAAGTAAAACACAGGCAAAAACATGCATGGCCCAAGGATAGAGTTAGTCAGAATTAAAGGTGTACCATGTGATCTCTAATTAAAATTGTCATGTGAAGATAATATATTTGTCATATTAACATTATAAGACCTTAGATAGACACAGTTTGCTTGTTAATTTGCTGTACTAAAAAGGGGATAAGTATAAGAAAGACTTACTTTGGCAGAGGTCACCAAAAGTGTAGTAGCACTGCTCTGAAAAGGTGATCTTGTTGACTGTGTGCCTCAGGTAGCCGTGTTTGAGCAGACTGCTGGCATATTTCCTCGCATCACGACGATCCTTGAATCCATCGACTCTGGAGTAAAGCCAGTCCACTACATCCGCACCTGACAGCAAAATGGTCACAAATTACATGGTGACAAACACTACACATACACTGTACAAGCTATGTATTTTTGTTGGTTTGAAAGGTAAGGTTACAATGTAACTAATACATCTGCTGAATATATTTTATTTAAATTGCCATCACAAGTTTTCATGTTGTTAATAAAATATTGTGTGTTAGGTGTTTTCAATAACAGTAATATCACAACAATAGTCATGATAATTCATTTGTTAGTAAGGAAGTGTGTTAAAATACAAAATAAAAAACATACTTTGCACACTCTTTCCTGTAATATGCAATTAGTTAACTTCATTAATATTTAAATTTTCTGTAAAAATCTAAAAATAACCAACATCAAAAAGCATGTGTCTGACATCTTTATTGATACTTTGCATCTGAAAGCACTGCTCTGTTAAAAGCTCTGTTATTCAAGTTAGACTTAATCTGAACTTTATTTTAACAAATCTGAGAAAAAAGAACTGACTTTGTTGGAACTACAAACGATGAGATGATTTGTGCTCTTTAACAAGTTTCTCACATAAAATTAGTCACTTTCACCAGTTTGTTGACAATCAAACACTTAAACAGGACCGTGAACGCTTGTATTGATCACATGCTCCTGAAAATGTGTTGTTTGAATCCATTTTGAGATCTTAAAACTTTTTGTCTGTGTTTGCTAATGTGTGCATTACTACTTAACATTCTGCCAAAAAAGAAACATGTAGAAGCCTGATATCACTTCAAAGTACCAACTTACTTATTTCAAAATTACCGGTACCATTAAAATAAACCTATAACATGGTTTACATAATGATATCCTGAACATGCATTTTTGTGGGTTATTAATGAATAACTCTTTTTCGTAACTAGAGTTTATTTATCATCTATCTTTATTTAAATATATAAGGTAGACATATTATAGCTACCTCATGCATATAGCAGTAATTACAACTAAATATTTCTCATAAGTGTCTAGTTATGTATCATGGTTCCATTCTGTGGTTAAGAGTGGCCTGCTTACAGTTAAATTGAGTAACTTATAGCAAAAGTGCGACCGATATAGACCCACAACGCAGCACTTCTCACCGATTACAGCATTGGAGATGGTGATCTTCAACCACATCCTGTCGCGGATTTCCAGACCAGAGTCGGGCAACTGCATCACCTTGACAATTGTTGCCATGTCTGTTTTACTTACAGACAGAGGCAGGTCATCGAATTCTGGAAATGAAAGCAAAAATTTACATTAAAAAAGAAGAGTGCAGTATAGAAAAAAAACATTTCAGTCATATTCACAGCAAAACGAAACCATTTTCAGCTTGGATTTAAATATTGCCAAAGTAGACGCCTGTCTCATATCTTCAGCAAGTGTGTTCTAGATTTTAGCTCTAGAAAAACGGAAACTGAAATGAAAAACTACACAGCTTATCAAGACATATGTTATTATTACAATTAATTATGTTGATAGTTATGAATAGGATTATGACTACAATTAAGTTATTGGGGTTTTTTTACATCTAAAAAATCATAACTTTCAAGCTCAATAATGTGAAAATAAAAATGGCCAAAAATGCTAGAAAATACTAAACTAATCAAATATTTATAGTTGGCAGTACCGTAGTGTGGGAATGGTCCTGTCAAAGCTGTCGTATGGGAAATCCAGGCTGCAGGGTCGATGGGCCTCACAGGCTCGGCTAAAGATGAGAACAAAGGCATAATTGAATTTGTTTTACAATAATTACAATAATAACTTCATTAAATTTAATTCAGAGCATCAGGTTCATAGGGAACAGTTAATTCTCACCACGTGGTATTGTAAAGTAACTCCTTGGAGATGGGTCCCAACATTTGGCAACAGTAAGACTAATAGGACTGAAAAAAGAAAAGAAGACGCAAATGTTTAGAAAGTCACACACTATATTTATATATATATATATATATATATTTCATAATGAAGGCAAGAAAAAGGGTTGATCATATTGAAATACATCTTACCCAGTTTTAGAAACGATTTCTCTTAGGATTCTAACAGCATCATCGTTGCTCATGTTCTCAAAATTCACATCATTCACCTTGACAGACAAAAAATATTAAATTTTATTATTTTTATTATTTTGTCAGTGAATGCATTTTTGAAGCACATACACTGAAACAACAGAAAATGAGCCTCTTAAGGAATAACTGAATTTGACAGTAAAGATCAAATTAATCTGTACAGTGCAAAAACAGAGGAAGTGATGAACGTTAGCGGTGGGAAATAACAACCCACCACAAACCTCAGAATGCATGACTAAGAATGTGATTTAGAAGCAACATCTGCTTTAAACTTACCCAGAAAATTACTTAAATCACCCTTTGTATGAAAATACTGAAAATACTAAAATTTGACCTTTTGACATACTTGCTTACTTGTCAGAGCTTTACAGTCATTTGCATCAGATTACCTGCAGGAGCATGTCTCCAGGCTCTATCCTGCCGTCCGCTGCCACAGCACCTCCCTTCATGATGGAGCCGATGTAGATCCCTCCATCTCCTCTGTCGTTACTCTGACCCACAATACTGATGCCCAGGAAATTGTACTTCTCTGTCAACACAGGAATGAAAGCAGTGAGCTCAGTGGGCTTGACATTTACTGGTAGCTTCTGAGTTTTTGTTAAAAACATATATTTTTTTGTATATCAGCACTTACTTAAAAGCCACATATCAATAGAAACTGAAAAAGCTGGATCTATGCAGCTTCACTATATTCTGGATTCAAAAAAGGAGAGAATGGCTGTGAATTTATTAGTGATCACACCAATGTTTGGACTACTTGTGAGTCTTCATGGTAGACATTAGCCATTGATCCGAAGGTTGGCGGTTCGAATCCTGATCTCGATATAAACAAAAAACATTGTTGGTTGAGAGGTCAGATCCACTGACCCACAGGTTGGCGATGGGATTCGAGCTCTCACATATAAATGCTGTCATTGTGTCCTTGGACAAGACACTTAAGCCACTTTGCCTCTAGTGTCGGCATACACTGGTGTATGAGTGTGTGTGAATGGGTGAGTGGTTGCTTGATATAAAGCGCTTTGAGTGCCCTGAAGGTGAAAAAGCGCTGTGTAAAAATGTGAGGGGCCAGTGTACAGTCACAGGTGTGATGCCTTTTATACAGGTCACGAGACAACCACGTGAATGATAAAGAACAAAAACAGACATCTATAAACTGTACACATTTACACTCATAATCATAAAATCATAAAACGAAACAACAAGCCACTCTAGACAAAAACAGATCCAACCCATTGCTCTGGATAGGTTGAAATGTAGTTAAAAATACATATTCCCCTTAGATTTTGGTTTCTCTTTGACAACTGAAATTTAGAGGGTTTTTTTGTCATTCGATTGTTTCTGATACATATAAGATACAGATATAAGGCTGTAAAAATACATTTAACAGAAAATGTAATACTGTAATACTATTGTAGTGAAAGGAGGTATAGTTTAGACATATAGTAGTTCCTACTATGTCCATGTTCTTTTACATGATGCTTCCCTTAGGTATCAAAGCTCTCTGTGGGAAATTAATGGACTTACATACCCCCACTCAGTCTGGCTCCTGATTGGCCAAGTGTTATTTCAGCCCATTCATTATTATAAGTGTAAGGAGGAGGTGGTATAAATAATTTAATTATATTACTTACCCATATTAAGAGTGACAGTGATAATGTTGAGGCTCATAGTGGAGTCGGTGATACTGCTAAACGATGAGGACTGTAAAACACAAAGGGAGCAGAGTAAGTGAATATAAGCAGAACGGACATTACATCCATATCCATCAGAGCACTCATTTGTTTGTGTCGCTACGGTTACAGGCAGTGGCTCTGATGTGCTGTGCTCAACTCACCCGGTCGATCTTGGCCACTTTATGCCTTCGCCTTCGACGTTTGTGGCGACGCATCAACTGTGACGACGAGCTTTGTTCTGTAGAGCTACTGAGCCTGGAAAACAAAATAAATGGGACTGTTATAGAGCTCCACAATATGTAAGACGTATGGGAGGCAAATCAAATTTATGTAACGTTAGTTCTTGGGTCTAGTCAATGATAGAAATGACCAGGTTTAACATTTGTACATTTATCTTCTGGAGAGGTTCTTGCCTTCATCTGGGAGTATAACATCATCATACTCTAAAATTTGAAAATCACCAATGTCTAGATGTATATACTTAAAGATTTAAATAATATGCATGGGGAAAATGTTGTTGATTCATTTCAGTATATCATGGAAATTAGGGGGCAAGAATGAATATTTTCTGGGAACTTTTCATTTATGATAATCAGAAGATATTTTTGCAATGTAACAGAAAGATTTTTTAATTATAAATAATATACTTGATGTTCAAACTTTGCAAATCTTCAAAATAGCATTTATGCAATTTTTCATGAATTGGCCATTGGTAAATAAAGCAATCATACTGCATTCTGAGGAAAAAGTCCCATTATTATGAAATTAAAGCATTTATGTCTTAACTAATTAACTAATAAAGGGACATTGTAACCATGGTTTAAGAGCAAATTATATGGAGGGTATAAACTGTGTTGAAATTCTTATATTTTTTTAGATTTTTGACTTTAGTATATGCATTTAGGCTAACACTTGACTTAGGCTTACAGTCATACATGGCTAAATTTCCATATGCACAATACTGTATGCATTAAAGACTTTTTAGTGCTAAAGTGGTTCAGTTTCACCCTTTATAATATTGAAGAAAAGACTGAGTCTGGAGGCAGTGTTAAGAAAATCTTGAAACAATGGCCCTTTTATCAGTGCTGTTATCCATACAGTCAGATCCTTTACCTGCTTGCATCCTCGTCTTCCTCACTGTCCACAAAGGAGCTGGACTCAAGCTCACTGCTCATTACTGATGTACTGTCATAGCCCATAGCTGAATCTCTGGCTGTGCGCTCCGATTTCGAGTGACCGTTGATCCGCGGGACTGAGAAAAACAAAGCAGAGCCAATGAGTCACGCAGGAGGTCAGGGCACGTTAGATGCTTTAGACGAGATCGAAAAAAAGGAAGCAACCAAGACAAAAGGAAGCACTGCTAATTTGAAACACAACAACAGACAGGAAGGCATCATAACGAGGAAAAATGGACAAGCAGATGTCTCTTACAAACAACACAGATGAAACAGGTCTAGAGTATTATAGTTGGGTTTCAGCCAGTATCACAATACCCATGGACTTTATGGGGGGCTGGTACAATTATTATGTTTATAATATACTTCAATGGCCCTAGTCACTAATTCACTGTAAATGATTAGGTTCAACACTGTTTCCTTTAAATATGCCATATGTAACTTTTCTGGTTGTTTCCATGGAGATATTGTTTTCTCTGGAATGTTCTACATTTATTACCTCCACAGAGACAAGCAGGTGACAGCACCAGGCAAAGTAACAGGTCAGATTTGTAGAGAGGCAATACAGTAGAAATGCCTTTTTTTGTAGTTCAATTTTGTAATAAAAAACACACATAGAAAATAAATCCTAGATAGATATTTTTAATGCCCTGCTGTGGAATATTTGAGGCAAAGCAATAAAATCTTCATGGAGACAAGAGGGTGTCCTGTCCAGACTAGAAACGTCACAGAGTGCATTTTTAATATATTGCTTATGCAAATGCTATGTGAGCTCATGGTCAAAATATTGAAGAGTAACATTATCACTCTGTACAATCTAAAGTCTTCAATAAATATAACTGCATGCTCCAACCTTTTACCTAGATCCTGCATTCTTCACAATACATACACTTGAACTTTGGAGGAGCACCCTCGGGAAAACAGCGGATTGGCTGAAATGGTCTTTTAAGCAGAGAAGGTGTGGCCGGCAGCACCAGTGCCGGGAGCGAGCAAAACATTCCAACAATGTAGTCATTCCCATTTTAGCTCCGCCTACAAAGGTGCTCCTCTGTTTACGTGTGGAGAAAGTTAGTGTGGATACAACAACAGGTCCTTTTCAGAGGTCACTACGGCACATTGCTTTTCTCACAAAAGAAAAAACACAAAACAGTAGTGAGTGTTTCTGCGCAGCTGCATCTGGGCCATGGAATCTAACCACCAAAAGCCCCATATGCTCCTCTAGCACCATCAGCTGCTCAAGCGCTTCACAGCTCATCTACAACACAGACACCAGAAAGAAGATATCAGCGTCAAAACAAATAAACAAACACAGGAAGAGCTAGCCAAAAATGTCTATTTCAACAAGAGCTTTAGGAGAATACCTAAAAGTAATTTTCAGTTAATTGCTATTTCATATTTCAATATAAAAAAAAAAAAAAAAAAATATATATATATATATATATATATATATATATATATATATATATATATATATATATATATATATATATATATATATATATATATATATATATATATATATATATATATATAGTATTCACTGCTATAAGCAAGGAATTACATGCTTTAACCTTTGTGAAAAATGTTATAATCTATACTACAGGCTTAGCAGGTTTTGATTTTGACAAATGTCCAAAAATTCTTTCATCTTTTCAAATTGCTATCTACAACCAATAAAATTATGATTTCAGTCCTTCCTATCCTAACCTTCATTTCTACCTTTACTTTCATGGATACCACAAATCATTCTAGCGAGGGTCTATACTAGAAAGGGTCTACATTAGCAGTAGTGTGAAATTAAAAACAAAATAACAAATTAATAACAAATTTCTCACCAGTGCAGAAACTATTATCCACTCACACAATCTGAAGTGAACTATCCTCTGCCTGCCTCAATATGGCTACGACTACATACAGACTGCTAATCTGCTCTGGACCAATCAGCAAATGGCATTCTTTAGAACGGATCATATGAAATTGTGTGTCATTCTCTGTCTCACCACTGCCCGGGGTAAAGGAGGTATCAAGTGCTTAACGAACTTAAGCAAAATCTCTTTGCAGCATGAATTGGGGGGGGGGGGGGGGGGGGGGGGGGGGGGGGAATGGGTTCCCACAAACCACATCAAAACCAAGACTAAACTTGGACAAAATCTAGAACTAAACCAGGACAAAACTAGGACTAGACCAGGATAACCTGAAAAGATCCAAACCAAGATAAAACCAGGACCAAACTAGGACCAAACCAAGACGAGAGTGAAGGGGTTTTAAAACAGATTGTATTACTCCTTGCAACCCTATGGCCACTTTAGTGCCTGACTTCTAAAACTGCCATTCTAAATCTTTTCAGTCCAGAATGCTGTAGTACAAGAAGATAAGGTTGCCATCACATTAGCAGTTAGCGGTGAGACAGACAGCATTCACCCTGAACACCTGAAGGGGCTGGATTGAGTGACAGGGAATTTCCTGCTGCAGCTGCTGTAGGCCAAGTCTGAGCACAGGGGAGGAGTAAGAGGCCCTATGAATCCAGTAGGCAGTAGGCTATAAGGATACTGTACAATGTTATGTAAGTATTATTATAAGATTCATTATCTGAAAAATTCTTCATCAGTGTAAATTCTCATAATAGATTAAAGCTGGTGATTTTCTGGTCTGTCACCTGCTTATTGTTGTTACTGCAGGAATGTTCTATAGTATGGTATAGCATTAAACTTATTGAAATGGAAGCAAGTTATATTTGCAAGATAGATAAGTTTAAAGCCATAAGGTGGAACATTTTAGGCAAAGCATGAACATCTCCCAGGAGACAAACAGATGCTGAGGTCACCACCAGAAAAGATACAAAGAGCACCTCCATGAGAAGACAGGCAAACAGATAAGATAGACAACCCTTTATTATTTGTCTCTCTAAATCTTCAAAGCTCAAAATAATCTTGTGATGTGACCACATTGTGACGTCATGGTGAGGTAGTTGTCAAGTTAGCAGCTACATTTTATATTAAATTCAGTAGAGATTTACAATTCTAGAGTGGAAATTATCTAAATGATTCTAGTGAAACTCTATGGAGTTCAAAAACATAGTCCTGTATTACCACCTAACTTCACAACTTGAACAGAGAGTTTTCCGTTTGAGGGAAGACCTGCAAATCTGCAAATCAAAACAAAACAAAACAAAACAAAAACAAAACTCTGGGTATGTTTTTGATGAGGAGTCAGCATTCTAACATAAATCCAAAAATAGAGTAATATGGGCCCTTTAACCTCTTGCCAAATTGTTATTATTTAACATACACATTTTTTTCTGTTTATAAAATAGAATTGGGCCTCCATACTACGTAAATCCCATACTGTTACTTGATGCTTCAGAATTTCTTAGTGTAGTGACATCTATAACCACAACAAATTGTAAAATCGATGAATGTTGACATCCCTTGTAAATGCTGGGCCAAAATGAGACAACTGAATTAGTTAAGTGTGGGACTGGTTAGATTTATGGACCACTAAATCAGCAGTGAACTACAGAGCTCCCACAATTCCCCTGGTGCCTTTTGCCTCTTAATTAACACACGAAGAAAAGAAAACTGACGGAGCATCGTATGAGGTGAATATGACAATTATTTTTTCAATGGAGATGAATAAACAGGAAGAAAGTTAAAATTCATTAGACTGGGTATTTTTAACACGTAACTGATTCTGAATACACAAACACAATGCAATGATAACATTGGCCACATATTGAAGTCCCAGCGTATTGTAACACAGCCATTCCCCAAGGATGCAGCAGAGTACATGCCTAATCCACTCCCAGCTCAAGAGATGGCTGTGTCCTCTGCTTGAGCCTTATGGTGGCCTAATAATTGAGCCCACATAAATAATGAGTATTTGGGTAATGAGCCTAGAGCACAGGATGCAAAGAGGCAGGCTGGCTGTGAAGAGGGGAACAAGAGAGGAGACACACAACAAGCGCCTGGTCTCTGGCAAAACAAAAACAAACTCATTTAGAGAAAGTATTAAGTGCGTGACAAGGACAGCAATAGACTGGAGTGGGCTTCCAGTTTACATGGCGGGTTCTACAGCAGCTTGTTTTTGCACAGTGCTGACAAATACAGGCTCTTAATTAAGGAGGTGAAATCATGAAAATCCCACATTATTAGACTTGCAATGTGAAATTATTGCAATACTGTGGGTGGTATAAGATATTATGGAAACAATGGTACTTACGTATTTTATAAAATGGCATTGATCTGGTGTAATCATAATTGTCATATTTCAGGAGATTCAAGTGTTTATTAAAGGTGGGAGGCCTGGCTTTATTCTTGTAGAGATGTCACATAATGAAAATCCCACAGTCTTAAGCACATAATAAGTTTAATGCAGTACTGTGGGTGGATTAATGTATTTATTATACCAGAAATGAAAATTATTCCAATCTCATGTAATAATAACTGTAATATGTATGTGATTAATGTATTTCTATGTAGGTCAAAATCACAATAGCAGCTTTACAAAATGTAACCAACAGAAAGAAATAGAAAATTAAACATTAAGTCATCTGTCAATAAAATGTTATTAGATTTATTTATAACTACTAAGGAAAGATACTGGTTGCAATGAAAGTGTGTACACAGTAGTTTACTTTTTCACATTAGTTGCCATGATGTGACTTTTTTTTTGAATTTTGCAGCAACAAAAATGCAACTCATACCCATGACTAGGGATGGTGATATAACGGTTCAAGTATTGTATCGGATAGTATTAGTATCAGACAAAATTGGTATCGGGCCATTTCATCACTCAATACCGATCAATGATCCAAAATAGAAATAGAACAGCATTAATAGGCTAATAAGTTAACACAAACATGTAACAAATGATTTTATCTCTCATGATTTGATCTTGCATATTTTGCTATGATTTTTACAGAAGTGAAAATCTCATTTGTGATCACTACTTTGACTTTGGCTAAATATCAGTATTGACAAATATCAGTTATCGGTCACAGTCGGAGGGCAAATATCAGATATGGGCTCCAAAAAATGCATATCGACCCATCCCTACCCACATGACCTCCCACATATCTTAAACATATCACAAGATGCCAATGATATCATTAAAACACAGAGTGAAAGACTAGCAAACCCTCTCATAAACCATAATAAGGTCCTTCAGGGATAAAATATAAATATTAGACCATTTGGATAAAAGAGGTTTTTGTAATGTTCCATCCAACAGAGCACCAGCTGACAGTCAGTCATAAGTCAAAAGCAACATCACCATTAATTATCAGGGCACAAAAGGGCAATTGTTAGGCAAGACTGAAAACACCAAAAATACCCAATCACAAAACACACTCACATACACTCACGTGGCCTTGTACTTCCTCTTTCACAGTTCATCTGTCAAATAACCTCAGTGCAGTATGTGTCAGCCACAGTTTAAATCATATTTAAATTTTTTGGGAAAATACAAAACAAACTTCCTATTAACAAGATGACTGTAAAGACCTTTTCTGATTTCTGAGAACAGAGCCATTTAAGGTAGCAACAAATTATTTTAGTAGTCGACTTGTCATCAGTTAATTTTTCGATCATTTGACTAGTCCAACAAAACTACATAAGGGTAGAAATATGCTGACGGCATACTCCTTAATTTTGTTCTGTTATAAACTATATTTTTGTATGGGTTTTAGTCTGTATTTATGTATTTATGTGATGCACTTTGGTCAGCTGAAATAGTTTTAAATGTGCTATATAAATAAACTTCAATTGAATAGGACAAGTCAAAATGATGATCAAAATATGTCTAAGATTATTTTTATAGTAACGATTAGTGGATTCATTCGCAGTAAAGCCAGTGGCACATACAGATGCAGAGAGTAGAATGAAACAGAAGACTCAGTGACTTTCCTTACTTTGAAGCCGATGATGTGATAACCATATTGAAGTATCAGCAGGCCAAGCATAGTAGATTAACAATATTGTATGGAGCTGAGTGAGAGGTGGTGAAACGTAATCAGTTTGAAATGAGTCGATAATGTGATTATTGAGGATGCATCTGCTGCTGATCAGACTCACGTTCAGTCTCTCTGGCTCTTCTCCGTGCGCGCTCCCTCTCTCTCTCTCTGCGATGGCTCAGCAGAGACTCTGTGCCTGTCTCTGTGTCCAGGCCGTCCCGACTACTCACTGCATTGGCACTGTAAAACAACACAACAACTTCAGTTACATATATATTAGGGAACCTTGTAAAATGAAGCAAATAAAACAGTGAGTATTTTGTGACCACATTGTTTGCAGGTTGCATTCATTGTAAAGTTTAAAGCAAGGTTGTGAAATAAATGGCTTCATGGATACTAATACTGACAGTGACACTAAAACTATTGAAAGTACTGTAGATAGTCATTTGAACAAGTATTGAATGGCATCAGCATAAAAAAAACAAAATTGTACCTTTTCAGAATAGTTTACAATGCTCTGTATCTGCATAAAAACTGATATTGAAATCAATCAGCTTTTGGTGTGATTAAGGTTACAATCTCTTTCAAATTAGTTTTTTGGAATGTCTATGTACCTATTTAAGACATAAAAAATCTATCCATATTTTTTTTTTATTATACTGGAAAACATTTGTGGTAGTGATAGTAGTTAATAGACATTAAGTATAACAGTTGACTTGATCTCACACTATTGATTTGCTTAATTTTCCTTAAAATAGAGAAATAATATAGCATCCCTCTCTGCATTTTTTACATTATCACACATTAGAAAGTGAACACAACTTATTAACATGATCTCTCTTTCACACAGAGGCTCACTTTTCCTAAAGCTGTGCGTGGGTAAGGGAGTAACTGTTTCAAATTCAGTGCCTCTGGTCACTGTCGCAGGTTCATTGTTGAGAAGTACATGGTGTATTTTCTATGAAGTGTCCTAATGACCAGACCCACTGGAGGAGCAGTTCTCCATAACACAGGCTTTAATGAGACCTACTGAAGGGCCAGATGGTGCCTGTACACGGACAGAGAGGAGACTGACAAATCACATTTAAGGAGAAGATGTGGTCAGGTGCGCCGAGCTCAGCATATAAGCATGACACAGGGTGAGACATGAGTGACACATGGGTGACACAGGGGTAGAGGTGATGTGGGAGGAGTCTGGGATCAGAAGGGGTGGGGTAGAGGGCTGAACTTCTGTCACTACAAACACCATGGTTGCCAGTCAAATTATTTGCACAAATGCTGGGCAAAAAATTCAAAAAACAGGTTATCATTAAATTAAATGAAAATTGTGATTTTTAATAAATATGCAGTATGTCCGGAACTATCCAGAGCAGGATGCAAAATGCTGATGAAGGAAAAACTCTCTTTTAAAAAAGCACAATGTAACATTTTTGATACACTATGGAGAATTTTAAGTGAGTTCCATAGTATGGCAATAAACTTATCTATCTCCATGGAGACAAGCAAGTGATGCCTTCAGGCCAAATTAGAGGTTGAATCTGTAGAGAAGTGACCCCACTCACTGTAAGAAAACAAGATAGATAAATTGAATGCTATACTATGGAACATTCTAAACAAAGCAAGAGAAAAGTTACATACTGCACCTTTAAATGAGGGCAGAAAGCAACATTTTAGCACTATTATGATTACTTTTACAATCAATTCCCCTTTTGAACAAAAGATTATCCCTCACCCTTGGGAAATCAGTGTCAGCTCTGTAACTGCACTGAGTGAAAAAAAAGTCCCATTGTACAGAGGTTATTTGAACTTTAATTATTTTGTTTCTCTAAAGATTGAATGCCTTTTGATTTAAAATGTATATTATAGACTGTAATGTTTTCATGTCTAAACAATATATAATGCCTCTGGATATATTTTTGACATATTCATTTTCGTCAGTATCACCCCTACACCTCTGAGCCTCCCTGAAACATGAGGCAGCTGGGAACTAGCCTCACCCCTGTCAAAGTGTCACCCGCTGTGAGGAAGGAATGCACCTCGCACTGTTCACCTGCGTCAATAACCAGACCACTGCACACACTCTCTGTTTCTCTGTTATTCTTCTTTTCTGAACACATGGACACCCAACACATACTAGTATATATAAACAAACAAGCAAGGGCACGAATCACCAAAGTGCTGTGAACTGTGGAGGGAGATCAGAGAAAAATTGACAAGTCATAATGTCTTAATGATGTTGAGATTATGAGATTATCAAATGATATGTTTGCAATCAATGGCGTACAATTTTTGAGATTCAACAAGTATCACAAAAGTGAATGGACTGTAATACTAACTATAAAAGGGTTGCTCTATCCCTTTTTATTACTTGAAAGGTTGAACACAGTTTATATTCTTGTTTTTTGGGGGGGGCTTTTACAAAAATGTGACAAAATCTTAGAAAGATTTCAACATACGCTTGTTCAATTAAAATTTTTAATTGGCTAATTTTGCAGCATTTTCAGATTGTATATTTATTATTATTAACAATTTATACCCTATTTAAATTTTCTCAATATTATATTATTACTAGTTCCACATGTCCACACTCTTCAAAACAAATAAATCCTGAAATCCTTATCTGATTTTTAATACCCTATAAAGGTCTGTTGACAAATCAGTGGGAGTAGCTAGTACAGCCCTGGTCAATAAGGACAATAAAAAACAAATCAGTTGTATTGAAATATTGACATTTACATTGGCCCAGCAGGGATTGTTCTGGCAGGATGAAGATGTATGCATTTATAACAGTATGTACAGTGTTCACACAGCTGCTTATGAGAATAGAGAGCTGTGGGAGATAGGACACAGCAGGAGGCATGCTCAGACCAGACTCAGACAAGCAGTGCACCTGGACTGGGCTTCAGGGAGTGTATAATAATAAGATGTGGGACATTATAATTTGGCAGATCATAATGAAATTGATGTTTTGATGATAATGAAATTGATGTTTTGATGATGTGTAAAATTTGAATACTGAATTTAGCATTAATAATTAAATAAAATAAATTATCAAACAAACAAACAAATAAATACACACACTCTAATATATATATATATATATATATATATATATATATATATATATATATATATATATATATATATATATATAATGCTACATTCATACCATATTCCAAACAACTGTACAACAACTCTTATGTAATAGATAACCTACTGTAATGTCAATCACTATTTAATCTTTGCACTGTTTCTCCTTACGACGTCTTGTATATAGCTGAGACATATATTTGTATTACTGTATTTCTATTTTTTTTACTTGTAAATCAGTCATTTTTGGAACTTATTTTAAATGTATCAGCACCATTTATATTTTTTGCTCTTTGTTATTATATTATATTGTGATGTGTGAGCTACTGTGTTCAAATAGTTTCTCTTGTGGATCAATAAACTTTGTCTAAATCTAATCTAAATCTATTGAAATAATACAGAAAAATATCAGGATCTCTTATCAATATTGCCCATCCATGTCCTGTATAATCAAGTACATTCAGTGTCTGTGTCTGTGGTGGAGAGAGGGGAGATTATTGATGTGGAGGCTGCTCGTCTGCTGGCCCAGGTCGGCAGATTCAGCGGGAGATTATCCAAGGCGCGGGACGGCAGCTGTGAACAAACGGCACCCTTTTTAAATCCCCCGCTCCCCCTCTCCCCCACTGCCCCGTCCCCTCCTGGGAAATGTAGATGTGCGCTTTTAATGTTGCTTAATCCGGATTACCAGGCAGCCGCACAAGAGCTGTGTCCATTCTCAGACAAAACCACCTATTCTCTGTGTGCATCAAATACAGCCATTCAGGCCTGCAAACACATGAAATGCATGAATAAAGCAAAAAAGGGAATAAAGTGGTAATAATATTTGAGCTACTTTCAGACCAGCGGTTAAGACTTGGGAGTTTGGGGAGTTGTTTTAGAAAGGAAAACCACTCGCTACAGGGATTTTACTGACTGATTCTGTGAGAGCAAAGCCTCCTGCACAAACAGAAAGGAAGGCAGTGGGAGGGAGGGGAGCAGGGGAAATGACGTATAGCAGAACATGGGCTGGTACGTTATTATGCTTATCCACAAGGGGGCGATAATCAGAGCGCAAACAGCCCAAGAACAATAAAACCATCAGAGGAGCTGACAGGCAAAACAGCAGGAGCGGTCCATAGAGGGCGAAGTGAGCCATGGTGTCAGGCAGAGGATAAAGACATACTCACACATGACAGATCGCATGTTCTGAATATAGAGTGTGCGCATACTGCTGTGGAACTGCACCGGCAGCTACCCCCGCCCCCGCCCCCCTCCTCCCCCGCTGCCCCCTCCTCCCCCCTTTCACTCTCTCCCCCCCACCGAGGGCCTATATTTAGCCCGGGCCTTCTCCTCACAAGGTCCAGTGATATTCTCCAGTGCCACAGTCCACGGCCAAGTCTCACTCAATAACTTAGGTTCACAACTAGGTTCACATATGAGCTTGTAGTGTCAGTAATTATGTATTTTCTGTGTGTAAAAATGGGGAACATAAGCAAACTGTTTCACAAATACATAAAAGTCTGTTGAAAAATCTGCCGAAAGAGTCTATTACAACTAGTACGGCTGCATAATTTTGTAGCAAAGTAAGTATTGCAATTGCGATTAGATTTGCAATATATATATAAAAGTTGAGTGTAAAGTCTGTTACACACATATAAACAACTCCAGCAGCATTATCATTTGAGAGAAGACTGAAATATGAACTGATTAACTAATACAAGTTTCACATAAATTTTGTTCTTTACAGAGGACATTCTATTACTTGAATAATTGCAGTCTTTGCATTTGATAATTGCGCCAACTCAAATTTAGATTGTCATATATAATTACAACCTTTGTCAAAGTGGTACAGGACAGTTACAAGAAGCGAGCCCATTCCATATCTGTGCATGTAGGTGCCCGTATTTATGAATTTCCTTTGTGTAAAAATGAGAGATATCAATCAAATAAATATAACCTTTATAAAAGTGACAGCAGCCATTTATAGCCATATAACCAGGACAATTACTTTAATGTTGCACAATGTAATTTTGCAGTTCTTTGCTTGTCTCCATGGAGATGTTATTGTTTTACCTCCATATTTATCTCCATGAAGACAAGCAGGAAACATCAAAGGCCAAAATATGGGTCAAATTTTTGGAGAGGAGACCCAGTTCACAAAGCAGTGAGAATTAATATAGTATTTTTCAGCAATACTAATGGCTGTCATTTAATAAATGCAAGACTGATAAGTTTGATGTCATACTGTGAAACATCCCTGGCTAAACACGCCTATCTCCATGGAGACAAGCAGGTGGCAAACCCTCCTCCAGAAAAGTTACAGTTAAGTAGTGTACGAATTTCATATGTGAGCTTATAGGTGGTAGCCTTAGAGTGTGGCCATATATTTCCTTTTATCTGAGGAGGAGGGAGGAGGACCACAGTATGGATGAGTGCTTCTAGTTATTGAGTACAAAGAGCTTTCTCAGTGCCAGTATTTGCCTGAAGGTGGTTTTGCAATGAAGGCTATTTTGAGAATCAGCAGTGCCGCTATCATACAGCTCATATGCGCACTTACATTGACGAGGACATTTTTTATTTCACATGGGTGGGCACCGAAGGAGTACACATACAAGTGGGAATCACACCCCAGCGTCGCACACTTTAACACGTATTCGATGCCATATTCGCTCGCAGCTTCCTACACCTCCACACATTCCCATTCAGTCCCTGATTAGCACCTACTAAAGCACGCTGGGAAATAAAAGGGTCAACCGTGCTCTTGATTCCATCTGCCTATAAGCTCATGTGTAATTGAGCATTTTCAACAATAGGGCTGCATACGAATGAATCTTTTAGTGGTTGACAGGTCAGCAATTATTTTTTGATTAACTGATAGTCACATGATTCATTTTATTATAAATGTACTGAAGGTGTTTAACTATAGAGAATAATTGCAAAATATGAATATGTATTATTGATGAAAATCCAATATTGTTATTCGTTTTGATGTTTTCCTTTATTAATGCCATTAGTTTTGTTATAAAAAGGGATTTTCATGTGTTTCAGAGTGTAAATAGTAAAAAAAAAAATATATATATATATATATATAAAAATATATATATATATATATTTTTTTTTTATAGTCCACAATTAGTCCATTAAATGCTGCAGCCCTAATTCGAAGCCATATTCACTCACAGCTCCATTCACTCCTATTCAATCCCTGATTTGCATGTACTAAAGCACGCTGGGAAATAAGCAGGTCAAATGTGTGCTGGATACCGTCTGCCTACAAGCTCATGTGTGTAATTGTGCATATACCATACAATGACACACTGTAATCAGGCTACTTACTGAAAAGAGGGGGGCCGAGAGTCGCCTATGCCCCCTGTTCTCTCCAGAGGTGGGGGCAGCTCTGGGTGACTCTCAGTGCACTGGGATCCTCCGTCTGAGTGGGTGCTCTCTGCCAGGACCAACTGAGAAGAGACAAGAAGGAGAGAAGAGTTTTTACTACACTTTTAGCATACTTAGCAGCCAGGCAAACTGTAGTAAATATTTGTCAATTCGTACAGACCCCTTATAGAGTAGAGAGAAAGACGGAAAGCAAAAACAACTTAATATACCCAGAACTAGAAACACAGATATGCTATATTTTAGATGGTGTATCAGACTTATATTTAGACTTTACGGCTCTGTATTACACAAAATTAATTTCTTTCTTCTAAGCTTTAAGTCATGTTATAATATTGTTGCCTCATCAAAAACATACCCAGAGTTCTGTTCACACAAGTCTGAGTAATCCTGCTTTATTAGTTTGTCTGCATCTTCAAAGCTCATAATGTTCTGTTCCGCCTTGTGATGTCATGTAGTTGTAGTATTCAAGTTAACAGCTACCTTTTACCTTTTGTTCAGTAAAGATAGGTAATTAAAGGGCTGAAATTATCCAGGTGATTCTAGTGAAGGTGTATGGAGTTTAAAAACACAGAGGAGCACTTGCTGTAGTACCACATGACATCACAAGGTGGAACAGTGTTTTCCATTTAAGAAAATAACTCCTAATTATGCAGGGTCTGTGTGTTAAACATGTGTGAACAAAACAAAACACAACTCCTGGTATGTTTATGATAAGAAAATTACATTACAAAACAGATCATAAAAGCGTAATATAGGCCCTTAAACTGACCTGACTGTCAAAATTACAATTGTTTATACTTAAGAGCAGTGTTGTCGTGCTGTTGGATAAATATAGAAGAATAATGGAGCTTGTCACTAATAAAGCTCAACATTTGTGGTTTATTAGTCTATCAGCCAAACATTGGTAGATTTCCATTTTGGCTAGAAACACACTAGACTAGCTACTTGGCCAGTTGGATAATACAACTAAAAATGAAATATGTGCTAAAATGACCACATACAAAAATATACAGTAAAATTATGGCAAGTAAGGTTGTTAAACAAACTGTAATAAAACATATCTCAGCTATATTAGAAGACAATGTTTTTCTGATCTTGATCTGTATCAGAACAATAAAACCAAACCACATAATAACATTTAAAAACATACAGTATTTTATGTTGAACTACTATGTTGAGTACTAACTATTGTAGTGTATAAACTGAGTGTGATTAATCATTCTTGTGGTATCGAAATCACAACAGAGAATCAAGTCTGCTAATGAAATCAAGTTTGAAATGTTTAGACAAGACTAATGCCTAATGAAATCCCTTATTGTCTGGTAGTATTTGAAATGGATTTACCGCAATGTCCACTGAGCAAAAATGTGAATGGCAAACCCTGAACATAATTAATAACAGGATAATGACCCTTCCCTTCATCTGAATGCATGAGAAGTATTATTGCACAATCTTAAAACAACCAATACATGTCAGTGCAGTCATCAGAAGAGAAAGGAAATCAGATGCAACAGAAAAGTCACAAACGGCCATAGCCACAGTTTTCTCTGAGTGTCACTACAAAGGCTGCACAATGACCCCAGATGTAGACTTCCTTTCATCTGTGCAGGCAAAATGAAAGTGAAAGTGTGTGACAATTTATGCTGTGATTATTCTAATGTGAGCTCGGACACTCGCAAAGCCATAGTAAACAGTGGAATATTTTATGCGGCTACATTTGTAAAGAATCAAACCGAATTTTCCACTCTTTCTGATACTGTTTGTTGTGGTGGTCTTTGAGATACATCACTACAATTTCTAGTGTGTTTCTCTGGCTGATTCTGGTTTCATGTGGGTCTTCTTCTGTATTGTTTATGTTTAATTTAGAGACAATTGTACTTAGGTTTTGTTATTTAAAAAAAAAAAAAATTCTAGGTACTTGAAGTATTTTAAACCTAGTATAATCTTGTTTTTGTGTTAGATCTGGTGGGACTCTGAAAGACAAATATTATTTATAGGTAGTACTAAGTGTGAAATGTTTGAGAACCACTGCTCTGGTGTGATGACAATTTAGGGCTAGTAAAATTACTATTGGTAAAATGTAGTATTTTGGTGGTGTAGTCACTGATTGGCCCTTGTCCCTTATTAAGAAACATCTACAGATTTTCCTTTATGATACTTGACAATCAAAAAAGTGTTTTCAGTGATGCCAAACCCTCAGGTGTATAGGGAGGAGTCTTATTTCCTATATCGATTATATGGCATTATCCATCATAAGTCCTATATTATGCAGAATTGACTGTTTTAGCCATGTTATGATGCTGTTACCTCCTCAAAATATTTTCCACCTTGTAATGTCATGAAATAGTAGTTTTCAAGTTACAACCCTTAGTTCAATAGAGATGGGCAATTCCAGGGATGAAATCCCACAAATGATACTAGTGAAGGTGTATGGAGGTTAAAAACACAGTGGAGCACTTCCTTCTTCTCACTACCATAGTGTGTAAAATGTATTTACCAGCAGCAGTTTGTTCCACTGCTTGAAATTGTTTTGCTAATGGATTTCTATGGACATTTTGCAGACTTGCATCAACATAATGGATTTTTCCAATAACATTTTTTTATGTTATTTCCAAGCTCCGCTCTAATGTTTCTGTCCAACTACACCACACAATTTACAGAGTAACAACTGGATAATATGATATCTTCACCTTTCCTCTTTAACAATAAAACACTAAAATCATATATTGTGGAATGCTACAGTGTAATTACAGCCTATATCAATAATCCTAACAATGTAACTGTGACAGAATGGTCCTCAAGCTGAGAGCTAGTTGCACAGATCTAAGCTTTTGTTGTCACTGAGGAACTCTATGGCTACTATTGTGTGAGTGATTTTGACCTCTGACCTTCACTAATGCACAGCCACACTTGAGTAATAGAATACAATTTTCTTTAAAAATCAATAAAGCGTGAACATAATACAGCTCTGTGCACTTTGTTGATTAAAGGGGCAGTTTTATTACAGCTTGTCAAATGTTGTTTGAAGCTGATGAAGTGCTCCCACTGAAACAAGACTGAAAGTAATATTATAATATACAACATGTGGAACAAATCTTTTAAAATGTAAATGCATCTAATTATACTGCTGCCTGACTTGATGTTTAGATGTGTGTTTCAGTCCATTTTTCACAAACACTTAAAGATGCATTATGTAACTTTTCTGGTGAAAGGTCCATGAAAGGCCAGCCACTTGTTTCCATGGAGATGTTATTGCTCTGCCTGGAATGTTCAACAGAATTGCATTAATTGCAGATCTGTGGAGAGTTGCCCACTCTCACAGAAAGAATGCATGTTTTTTCTTTTCTCTTCTTAAAAATCAAATACATAAAAATTGCTGTAATTGAATAAATGCAAGATATAAACAGCCCCACCAGAAAAGTTACATAATACAAACGTATAAATACAATGCGCTTTTCACTGACATATTACAAAGACGCTTTACAGAGCATTATTCAGCATTATTCATTCACTCTATACCTGGTGATGGTAACCTACTATTGTAGCCATAGCTGCCCTGGGGCAGACTGACAGAAGCACGGCTGCTGTGCCAATCGGTGCCATCGGTCCCTCCGACCACCACCATCACTCAAGCACACACCACTTTCATATTGTACATTGTTGCTGCACTGCTGTCATTGTCATTCATTGCCATTCCTAACCTGATGTACACATGCTGGAGATTATACATGCTTCATTGTCCAACATAATGCTTGCACAAGTCCATTACTTCTAGTGTTTCAAATGATGATAGTGTAAGTGGATTTCCCTTTTCTGTTCCATACAACTTATATAATTACTATTTTTTAACAAGCTGATCATGTCAGTAGTATGTAGGTGGTGACTGTCTGTAGGGTTCTTAAAGCCAAGTGGAGTATTTTTACACTAATGGACTCACTTAGAGCGAGTGGGGCTGACATAAAGGTGAAGAGTGACTCTAATTCTCATAGGAGGCGTTTCACTGTTGCATTTACATGATCCACAAGTGCTCTACATAACTGCAGTGTGAGCCGCAGCTGCAGAGCCAGGCAGCCGGCCAACAGGGGGACCCATCCATCTCACTTACCCAGGACACCACTCGCCCGTTGAAGCAGGGCAGCTTGGCGTTGTCATCGGAAATCTCCTCTTTGACAACCCTGGGGAGGAGACAGAGACACAGTCAGACATAGCAGAGAGCAGAGAGCAGGAGAGGAGGAAAGGCGGAGAGGAGGAGAGGGTACAGAGCACACACACTGCAGGATGGATACTATTCCATATCCCTGGTTCAGCTGACACACACACACAGTTTAGAGTTTTGAGTTTTCATGTTGAGTTTCCATGCTACTAAGGATTGCAATAATTAGTCCACTAATCAAATGGTGACTAGCTGACTATGATAATCATTGCTGTATATTGATCATCGTAATTGTTATCTGGACTATTGCGGTAAGATACATCTTATTGGTTATATTGGTGTTCCTATACACTATCTCACTAATCAAGTTATCTGGACTACAGTATACAGATTCTAAAACACATAGATCTCACACTAGATCAAAATGTCAAAAACAATTTCTCATTTTTGTCAAAATACACTTCATGCATAAAGATTCTATTTAGATGTCTTGAGGCACCATATTTCAATCTCCAAAATCTGTTCAGTACACAAGAAGTACATTATGAATTAAGGGGAAGGGGTAAATTTAAAACAAAATCAGTGAGAAGTACCAGGAAAAGCATGTGTGTATCTGTGTGGGGTATATATATATATATATATATATATATATATATATATATATATATATATATATATATATATATATATATATATATATATATATATATATATATGGGTGTATGTGTGCATGTATGTATGCATGTGTATGTGTATATATATGCGTACAGTACAAAATGCATACAAAATTATATTTTGTATGCTCCTTTTCGAGAAATGTGCTTTTCTGTTGTTATATGATTATTGTTTCTCTCTTGGCACAAACTCGAAATAAAAATGAATCAAAACTTTACTGATAATGTAATGTGATTGATAATGTAATTAAATGGTCTCAGTGTGCAGTGTAAAATTAATTTCCTGGAGACTGACCCTAACCTTAACCATAAGCACTACTTGCCTTAAAGGTGCATTGTGTAACTTTTCTGGTGGAGGGTCAGCTGCACCACCTGCTTTTCTCCATGGAGATGTGTGGCATTAAACATTTTTATCATCATGGAGATCAAACCAGGCCAACTACTGGTCAGATGTCTGGAGAGGCAACACGCTCACAAGTCAGAATGACAGTTTTTTAAAGGTATTTTTGAGCAATAAAACCACCTGGAACTGAATAAATGTAAGGTAGATCTGTTTAATGTCATATTGTGGAACAGTCGAAGCAGAGCAATGATATCCATAGAAACAAGAAGGTGATGAACATCTAACCAAAAAAAGTTACACCTTTAAACCTTAACCAAGTTAACCAATAACTAAACTTAAACCATGATGTTAATTTAATAATAAAAGATTTAAGGCAAATTTCATGGGACCTAATTTTTGTCCCCATAAAAGAAGAGGCAGGTCTCCATTATGCGACTGTGTGTGTGTGTACACATTTTAGTGCCCACAACCCACCCACAGACACAGACACTCTCTAGTCACATTTTCCACATGGCTCTGAAGCTGCTTTGGAGGTAGTCTTAATGAGCGGTAGCACTGCTGCTCTGGGCTACGCTCTATCAGTGATTTATACTGGTTACACTAGCCACTACAGGGTGATAAGGGCAGCTTAATCTGACAAGGACAAGCTCATAAATCAGTAAACCTCTGGAGTATGAAAAGCATTATTCACAGCTGACAGACACAAGTCAAAAATCACACTTAATTATATATATGTCACACACACTGACTGCTACAATGATGTCACGATATGTGAACTAGGGTTGTCAAACATATCAAAAATCAGATACTAATCAATACTAATGCCAATAATCTATATAGGCTAATACTCATTTGAGAAAGAATCGATACTTGCATAAATGACATAAAAAGGACAAGTATGAACCTGCCCTGTTTTAGTTTTAGAATAATCTTGAGCTTTATCAGAACTAGTAAGACCATGTAGCAAACTAAAGACTAAATAAAGTACTATCATGTATTGTTGAAAATTACATTATAGTGCCAATTTTTTTTAATTATTATTATTATTTTTTTTTTTTTATCATCATCATGGTGTCAAAATTGGTATAGAGCGTCAAGCCTATTCCTTAGTATAAAAATTAATATTTATATATTATATATAGTCATACCTTTTGCATGTATTTGTGTTTCAATGTTAGAGATATACTGCATGGTTTGAGTCCATGTACAAAGATAATGTCTGTTTAATCACTGCTCAGGTGAGTACTGCCTGTTGCATACATCTTTATGTGATGTGTATTGATTTAGGCTTACACTAATGTTTGAGTGGGCTGTAAAATCCTGAGCAGTGCGACAACAAGGCGTCAAGCTGTGCGTCGGAGTATTAATAGAGTTATCGGACTTGTCAGCCTGCGTGCATCTTTGGCACTAAATTCTTCACACGAATACTTGAGTTAGCCTCTGACCTCCTGGGACACAGTTCAGGGCAGAGCGGAGAGACACCTGCTCAGCCTGATCAGCCTATGCACCTTACACACACTCTGTTAGGGAGTTAACACCAACGCTAATATGTGCACAAGTCATTATGTGTCTCGATGTTTAAAGACACCTCAGTCACACTTTATAACAACCACTCTTTAATAAGACTTAAAGGTGCATTGTGTAACTTTCTAGTGAAGGGTTTATCACTTTTTTCTATGGAGATGTCTGTCTGGAATGTTCTAGAGTATGACATTTAACAGATCTACCTTATATTTATTCAATTTCAGATGGTTTTGTTGCTCAAAAATACCTAGAAAAACAGGCATTCTGACTGTGAGCGGGGTTGCCTCTCCACAGATCTGACCTGTAACTTGGTCTGGTCTCCATGAAGATAGAAAGTTTTAATACCATACTGTTAAACATTCCAGACAAAGCAACATTTCCATGGAGAAAAGCGGACCCAAGTGACACAATGCATCTTTAATGAAACATGGAAAACTGAAGTTGAGAAGAAACTGTTCAATACGATAGTTAGGGTTTGGAGTTGGGGTATTAATTAAGTAGCAGTTCCAAAGATGGTAGTAGACCTCACTTTAGGAAAGGACTGCTAAAACTGCAAATAGAGTCACGATCCCTATTTTGAATTATTATATTCCAAAGGCTGCAGTTACTAAAATTTTAGGTAATACTATCCGATCTTTTTATGTACAAAATGTGCTCATGATTTAGTTTCTGCATACAAGTTCGGAAGTGCATGGGATTCATATTTTTCCTTTGCTCAAAAATTTAACACTTCAGATTGGATTAAAATGTGCACTGTGAATGAAATACTAGTTGCAAAACATAAACCAACTAATCACTCTGCTTACTGGCTATGCTTATTAGAAGAATACCAAATAGCAAGAATATTTTCTCATTAACCAAAATCCTCCTGCCCTACTTTAGCTTTGGCTTTGAACCTGAAAATGAAGATGACTGGCTTTAAAAGTTAGGAATGAAAAAGCAGATTCTACTGTGCAGGAGGGTCTAACAGTGACTGTGAGGTTTAGTGTTTGGCAGAGATTCCCTGTTACTGAAATGATTAGCCAGGCCAGTGTGTTTGGGCCAGTGGAGGATGGGAGCGGTGGAGGCGATAAAGTGGTCTTGTGGCAGAAACTCAGAAGTGAGGGTCTGGCTGCTGTCTCCCACCTCAGGGAAGAAGAAGAAAAAGAAGAAGAAGAAGAAGGGAGGGAGGGAAGGACAGAATAGGAAAGGGAGAGAAAGAGAGTGTGAGTGTAAGGGAAGGAGGGAGAGAAGGAGAGAGAGGAAGGAAAATAGGTCTTCGAAGTGACATATAATGCTGAAGTAAATATAAATGATAAATGATAATATTCAAACTAATTTATGCCACTGATACAATAATCCAAAAGCAGATTTAAACCACAAAAACAATTCTAAATGCGAAAAATACAATAACAAATACAATATTGTTAGAAATAATGAGCTGCAACAAATAAACAGCAGAATTAAATACTTAAGTACTTATTTTGCTTCTGTAATGAGTCACTTTAATTGTTATTATTAAGTCAACCTTTTACAGCTTAAATCTTATTGAATAACCAAAACGTAATTCCAAATATCCTACTAGCACAAAGAAAAAGTACACACAATAAATACTGAAAGAAAAAAATTGCTTTCCAGCTTTCATATATTGAACGATAAGTCGATATAGTATTTATCGTGATAGGCCTTGAGGAGGAGGGAGAGGGAGGAAGAGGGAGTAGTACAGTTACAGAACTACAAATTTTACACTTGATTTTGATACCAAGGGAAACAGTGAATACTCAATGCCAAAAAAAGCACAAGTTTTAGACAATATAATGTTATTTTCAACACAATCACGTTTCCTCAACTTAATCATGTGGTCATATATGAGCTTAATTTATAGCTCAGATAAAAGTGCAGACTATTCAGGAAATGTTCAAGTTTGTCCTTTATATAAGATTTATTCCAGTATTAGCACTTGGTCAGATTAGTATCTAGTTTTGATTTAAGCACTGAGTCATATCTGGGTATAGATTTAACAGTCCTAAGAGGGAGAGGGTGTGAGGCAGAGGGAGGGAGAGGAATGTGTTGGAGTGAGGAAGATAGAGGGACAGGGAAGGAGGACAGGGTGGAGCAGAGAAAAGAAAAGGAGACAGAGACAGAAAAGGGGGAGGAGGGAGAGAGAGGGGGAGACAGAGGAAGGAAGAGGAGGAGGGAGGGAGTCCAGGGTCCATTGCACCGGCTGTGTGCTTATGAGGAAGTGTTTGCATCCTCTTTCTCAAACCACCAGCTGCAAGACGACTTGTTGGAATGAAGTCACCACTATAGTTGTCAAAGTATCAAGAATTTGTATTTTTTTTAAGTCACATTCACAGGACAGAAATTAATTTTTCCTGAATAGCTTTAGAATGATCGTGAACTGTAGCAGAACAAGACTGCATAGATGAAGAGATTACACAGAAAGAAAAGTATTATTTAATGTTGAAAGTGTTTTTTACATTTTCATATTGGTATCAGGAT